TGATCCAGGGCTGAATGGCAGAACCTAACTGGATAATGGGGCACAGCCTAAATACATGTACAAAACTAACTTAAAAGTCCCTGTAAGCATGTGCAGAATGCACATGCTTACCACAATGCAATGTCAAGAAGCCCCCACACATCTGGGAGTAGGGCAGGAAATACTTCTAGTCCTGAGCTATATGATCTCTCACACTTACCACACACAGCATTTTTGTTCCTTGCATTAAGGTTACATGTTGTAAAGTTGGGCCAGAACTGTAGCATTGGATCTCTGATTTCTCACCCTGCTTGTCATTCCTTGCTTTAACATCTCACTAAGTGAGGGAAAGGGTTCCTTTAAACAGTGCACTTTTACTTTTTAAAATGGATTTGCATAGTAACTTTGCACAAGGTAATTTTGGGGTGTATTTTTCTAGTGCTGTGCTTCTATGACCTGTGACCCTGGGCTGTTGCTTGGTCTGTTTGCCTGCATCAGGGGCTCAATGCAGTTGCAAGTCGGCAGAGCATGAGACTTAATCTCTAGATCATAGACCCCATGTTCAGCAAAAGATTCCTGCATTGCAGAGGGTTGGACTAGATGACCCTTGTGGCCGCTTCCAACCCTACAATTCTATGATCATTTTTTAATGCACCTGTTTATGAAGAGGTTGAAGGACCTTAGTGATAGAGTCCTCAGCATTTTATTCAGAATTAAATCCAATGGATCTCAGTGGGCTTTTACTTCCTAGTAAGCATGCTTAAAGGGACGTGGGTGGCGCTGTGGGTAAAACCTCAGCGCCTAGGACTTGCCGATCGCATGGTCGGCGGTTCGAATCCCCGCAGCGGGATGCGCTCCTGTCGTTCGGTCCCAGCGCCTGCCAAGCTAGCAGTTCAAAAGCACCCCCGGGTGCAAGTAGATAAATAGGGACCGCTTACCAGTGGGAAGGTAAACGGCGTTTCCGTGTGCTGCTCTGGTGCCGGTTCGCCAGAGCAGCTTCGTCACGCTGGCCACGTGCCCCGGAAGTGTCTGCGGACAGTGCTGACTCCTGGCCTATAGAGTGAGATGAGTGCACAACCCTAGAGTCTGTCAAGACTGGCCCGTACGGGCAGGGGTACCTTTACCTTTTAAGCATGCTTAAAGTTACAGCTTAGGTATACTGTGTTGCTGACTATGGCACATGCTATAGCTAATGTATGTGGAATTCACAATGAGGTGGCTTAGGCTGCAATTAGGCAGCCTAAAGTCTGCTGAGTCCCATAGACTTCGGAGGTTGGGAAACAGGTTGGCATAGCAGTTCACCCACAAAACAGTTTTGCAAGAGATGAGACTTGAAACCCAGATTTCTCAGATCAGACCACCACCTTCACTTCATAACCTTTTCGCACCCTATCCCAGCTTTTCCACCCTGTATCATGCACACAGAAGCCTTTGCCTACAGAGCACTGGAGCATTGGCACCAAGGCGAAGTATGACAGTTCCTTGAGATCCATGTGCAGACTGAGGCTTCTCTCCCCACCCCCTCAGTTGCTGAAAGTCTTCACCATCAATTCTGAAGCTCCCGTTGCATGGGGGACAGCAATTCATCAAAGCCTCTGCTAGTGTGAAATTGGCTTGGTTGGTGGGTGGAATATTGCAGGTTCCATGCAGGATGGGAAGTAGGCAACTGCAGTGGCCTTTATCTCTCTGGAGCAGAGAAGTTGGCCTCTCCTCCCGGCCTTGATGGGATGATGGATGGCTTGCATGCAGGGGGCACTAAAAGGGCATTTGTCCTTCAGTGTTCTTTATTTTCGGAGGGCACGTCTGGCAGCCAGCGGAGAGAGCGAAATGAATCCCTTCAGTGTTGTGGCGTTCCCTCCTGCGTGGCTGTCGAAGCCGACAGAGCCTGGGAGAAGGGAAGATGGGACATGGCTCTTTGGGAGGAGAGCCAAGAGGGATGATTGGAGTATTTATGATAAACTTCCTCCTCATAGTGTGGCTGGGAAGCCTCTCCGGAAAGCGCAGTGTAACACAGGTTATTTTGTACAGTGCTTCCTTTGGCAAGGGGAAGCTTGAAAGGGAGGGGAGGAATAGCTGGCTTAGAAGCCAGCCCAATTCTCAGAGACAGGCATACAAAGCTCAAAAGAAGAGGTCGCTGTTTGCAGATCAACAGATTCTTTATCCAGTGGCACCTCCACAGAGTGTTCAAAACAGAATGTTTCACATGCATCCTCCAACGCTCAGTTGTGGTTGCTGGATAAATACCTCAACAAAGAGCCAAAGGAGCAAGCAAGCGGGGCCTTCTATTTATTTTAACAGGCCCTGTAATATATGATTCCTAATTTTCATAATGACTGTTGCCCTTTCATTGAGTGAGTTAGGGAATTAAAAAAAAATGGTTTCCCACTGATAGAAGTATTGGGGAAAGTTCAGAGTGTTCTTTGTCCTACATCCCAGAGTCATGAGGTACACATATGTCCATGCTGACAAGGAGAAGTATAATGTGTGAACTGTGGGTGGCAGATGGAGTTGGCTGGTGGCCATTTCTGTTCTTATACTGGGTGCACAGTTATGTTGTACTTTGTGAACCCCCACATTGTTAAAATAACTACAGAGTCCCTTTTTTAAAGTACAAACGAGAACATCACCATTCCACTTCTCTCAGCAGCCCCTACAGTAACTCTCACAGGGCCAAACGACACATTACGTTAAATGTGTGGCACTTAAAATGAACCCAGCATCCAAAGGAGGCTCGATCAAGATTGGTACCACAGCACAGAGGGAGGAGTTGTTCTTATCTTTAAATTTATTACCTGCCCTTCACCAGCAGGTCCCAGGGTGGGTTATAACAATTTAATATTCAGAATTAAAAACAATTAAAACAGATTATGCTCCCCCCTAAACATACCATGCTCCCAATTAAAATATTGCTGCCTCCCAGGGTTGCCACCTTTGGTCGGCCAAAATAAGACACAGGTTGGGAGGTTGAGGTCCACACACACACTCATGAGGCCAGATCCTCCACCACTTTGGGAAGGGGGCTCCCTGCATTCACCTTCCCTCACCACCCTGGCCCCGCTCTTTCCCTCAACTCACATAGATGGGCAGGGGCCAGGGATAGCCGGCCAGCTCCCATGGGCAATTTGAGCCACAGCTCCAGCTTTTCGCCCATGCTGGCATCGGAAGAGACTTGAGCGCAGAGGAAGAGGAGAGGTCAGGTTGGGGTGGGGGAGGGGGCCAAGCAGCGGCAGACCCACACCATGCTAGACTGTCAGGTGGGGGCTGAGGAGAACCAGTGAGAGGGAAGGAAGGGGAGAGGGAGGAAGAGGAAGGTCACTCTGTCCCCCTTCTTCTGTTGTCACTCTCACTGGTCTGGGCTCCTCATCAGCCGCCATTTTGGGCCGGCTGAGCTTAAATATGGGGAAAAGGCTTGAAGTCCAAACAGGACAAGGACACTTTTTAAATATATATAATAATTTTTATTAAATTTTCCAAATATTTTTAAACATGACATACATCTTACATATAATACATAAAGACCAATTGACCATCTTGGCCTTAGACTTCCCTCCTCCTTGACTAATGGTTTTCTTATTTATGCTCCAATATTGCATTTTGTTATTATTATCCTTAAATCCTATTCTTAAATAAATCAATTAAAAATCATACTTGATAATAATTGATAAATTTGACCCTACAAAACTTCTTGTAGCCCTACTTAGCGATGTTAATTGTTTACAATTGTCTTTCAAATACAACATAAATTTATTCCAGTCTTTCAGAAAGGTCTGGTCCTGCCGGTTCCGAATCTTCCCAGTTAATTTTGCCAATTCGACATAGTCCATTATCTTCATCTGCCACTCTTCTTTCATTGGAATTTCTTCCTGCTTCCATCTTTGGGCCAATAATATTCTTGCTGCAGTTGTTGCATAAAGAAACTATGTTTTATCTTGCTTAAGCAAGACAGGACAAGGATGTCGTTGTCCAAAAATGGGTCAATTCCCTTTTTCTAGGGATGGGTGGCAACCCTACTCCCTCCCTCCCCTGCCAAAATATTATTTACTGTAGGAAGTAAGCTGCTCTTGGGACTGGCTTAGAGAGGAAAGGCTTTAAAATCCCTTTGCCTTACAATCTTGATGGAGGACGCCCAGAATTGCTATTTTTGAAATACATCAAATGCAGTCGCACATTTAATGTAATGTGTATTTTGGCCTATCAGTTCACCAAGATTCTGTTCTCTTAAAAGTAAGTGGAATGAATATATTGGTCAGACCAATAGAAAAGTCTACCAAATTGCAAGGAGCAATTGCCACTCCCAGCCTCCCTCACCCTCCCACCGACTCCAAGGCCAAAACATATAGGTTATCATCACAGTAGAAGGCATTCACCACCTGTCCAGGAGTAATAAAGGTAAAGGGACCCCTGACCATTAGGTCCAGTCGCGGATAACTCTGGGGTTGCGGCGCTCATCTCACTTTATTAGCCGAGGGAGCCGGCGTACAACTTCCGGGTCATGTGGCCAGCATGACTAAGCCACTTCTGGCGAACCAGAGCAGCACACGGAAACGCCATTTACCTTCCTACTGGAGCGGTACCTATTTATCTACTTGCACTTTGATGTGCTGGAGCTCACCCCGTCGTGGGGATTCGAACCGCCGACCTTCTGATCGGCAAGCCCTAGACCAGGGGTCAGCAAACTTTTTCAGCAGGGGGCCGGTCCACTGTCCCTCAGACCTTGTGGGGAGCTGGACTATATTTTGAAAGGGGGGGGGGAGAATGAATTCCTATGCCCCACAAATAACCCAGAGATGCATTTTAAATAAAAGCACACATTCTACTCATGTAAAAACACGATGATTCCTGGACTGTGCATGGGCCAGATTTAGAAGGCAATTAGGCCAGATGCGGCCCCCAGGCTTTAGTTTGCCTACCCATGCCCTAGGCTCTGTGGCTTAACCCACAGCCCCACCCTCACTGGAGTAATAAGCATAATCTAACCCCGCATTTCTTACTTGCTGGGGACAGGGCGGGAGGAATGGAAGATGCTGCATACTAGCGACCTCTACTGGCAGAAGTATAATCATTCAAATAATGCAAATACAGTAGTAGAAACAGAAAGTGCTTGAGGATTTCAGTCTGCAGATTTTTCTGCCTGATCTGTATCTCTTGACCTAATATGCAGATTGGAGCTTAGCTCTCCACCAAATATTGGAATGAATATTTGTGCTGATGAGTGTTTCATTTATTTATTAAATAGATTTCTGGACTGACATTCACCAAAAATTACCACAGGACAGTTTGCAACAAAAGAAAAGCAATATGAAACATAATACTGTACATTATAAGCAGAAACATTAAAAATAATTATCATACAGCACATAAAAAAACATAATTAGCAGCATCACAACATAAAAAAATGACATCAGCCTTTAAATACCTTTTTTTTAACGTGAGTTTTTACCTGGTTTCTGGTAATATAAAGTGGATCCTCCAGTGTCCAAGATATTTGGAGTCTACACGTTGAGGAAGGTTGGTTTAAACATTTTTTAAAATGCATTTAGATACATATTTTGAAATGAACCTGTATATATACGTTTAAATCGTATTTTGAGAGAAAATACACATTTAAATATGCATCAAAGTATGTATTTACATACCTGCTTTTGAGAGGAAGTTAAAAAGAAATTTGCAGATCGTTGCAACGTGCAAAAATGTCCTGGACTGGAAATACACGTATAAACCCATCCCTACTATATACACTGCACTCCTGTCTGTTTATTTGCCATGGATCAAATAGAAGTTCTCTGGCTTGTTTGTTGCACAACCTTGCCTATTTATTCTTTGAGAAGAATCAAAGAGAAGAAGCAGAGTTGGAGGTTATCTAAGTCATTTTCAGAAGACCTTGACTTGGTTTCATCAGGAGGTGGTTAGATCCCAGACATTGTTTCTAGATGCTCCTTTAAGCACTTGGGAAGTGAAAATTGCCAGGGGCGGATCAGCTTATCACTACATATTGGACAAACAGTTCACTTCTGGGGCCCTTTCTTGCGTATGCTTGCTACCTTTTTCCTGCAGAAACTCCTTTGCCTTTAACACCTGCGTTCCCAGCAAACATTTAAGAGAGTGAAGCATTTCTAGAAATGGCTAGCCAGGTGAGGTGGAGCTGCCATGCTAAGTTCCTGGCAGGAGGGTCTCTATTATTTACCTGTGCAAAGGGTGGATTGGTACAAATGCACCTGCTGGAATGCCAAATTGGTGGCATTGATGTGCTTGCCAGGCAAAGGGCCTTCTTGGTTGTGGCGCCCACCCTGTGGAACGCCCTCCCATCAGATGTCAAGGAAATGAACAACTATCTGACTTTTAGAAGACATCTGAAGGCATCCTTGTTTAGAGAAGTTTTTAATGTTTGATGTTTTATTGTGTTTTTAATATTCTGTTGGGAGCTGCCTAGAGTGGCTAGGGAAACCCAGCAAGTTGGGCGGGGTATGAATATATTATTATTATTATTATTATTATTATTATTATTATTATTTTATTATATTTTATTTATTTATTTGAACTCTACTGACCTCCTCACCTTTCTTCTTCCCAGTAAGCCAAGAGCATCCCACCTGCCAGGAATCTAGCATAATCAATCCACTTCACCCAGCAAGCTGCTTTTGAGCATTTCTCATCACTACATCTTGGAAAAAACTTTGCCTGTGTTGCAGGTCAGTTTTATTTATTTATTATTATGTCTGTATCCCGCCTTTACTCCAAGGAAGTCATTTTATCCTCGCAGCAACCCTGTGAGGTAGGCTAGGTTAAGTGATAGGGAAGGGCCCAAGGTTTCACCGCTGAGTAGAGATTTGAACCCTGGTCTCCCAGGTTCAACGTTCTAACTGCTGCACCACACTGACGCTCTCATCAAAAGAAAACAATTTGGTAGTGCTCGAAAACAGTTGCTCCCTTGTTGCCCTGCCGTAACCCCCCCCCCCACTCAAATATTAAATATAAAGAAACAGATTAGGGCCAGAGAGCAGATGATCCTGCGCTGTGTTTGTAAGGTGCTTCCAGACATGGGGGTGTTGTCTGATGGGTGCTACACATGCATGCATTTTTTTTCAAAACACACGTTGTTGGCATCAAAATGCTGGCCTGTATTTCCCCCCATTTAATCTTTAGTTATCCTTTTCAAGGGAAATCCGAGGGTGCTGGAAAACCTGTTTCCAGTGACTCATTTGTGATACCTAAACAGCCTGTTTGCAACATAAAACTGCTCTTTTTTAGATTAAGTAGCTAAGTCAGAAGGAAGAAAATACAAGAAAATGAGAAATCTAAAGGAGAAAGCAAGAAAAAACTAAAGAAAGACAGAGGGTAAAATAAAAGGACTTCTGGCTCTCTGCAGCTACCTGTACATATGATATTCATTCTTTAAGATCCAACCATTCTATATTCTATAAACCAGTATTTTTTCAATCTTCAAATCCAGATATTACAAGGTAATTTTCTCTTTCACGCAAAAAATCCATAAGAAATTTCCAATCCTTAGCAAACATTAGTAATTATTTTTCTCTAATTAAACATGTTGGCAATTGTGTTTTCTATGGATTGCTGTTTGCTCCGATTCAGCGGTAAAGCATGGGATTTCACAGAGAAAGAGCCAAGGCAAACAAAAACAAAAACCCTGCTCAGATATGGAGCTTTAAAGTGCAGACCTGTGCCTGGAAAGCGCAGCGCAGAAGGAAGTCTGGATGAGCCCTGCGTTCAAGAGGCGCTGATTTGGTAGTTCCTCATTAAAGTGCTTTTGAAAAATTATTTGTCCTCCATCCCTAGCAAACACTTATAAAAGTCTTGCTGTGCCCTCCAGACACCAGTTCCAGACTTTAGTGGTCACCCCCACCTCCCATGATGCTGTCTGAACACACATCACCCTGCTGTGTGGCAGGGCCAGTCCAGTTTTGCACCTAGACAAAACTTTCAAATTCTGTCTGGGAAAAAGATGATGATCCATCCCTGGCCATGTGCTGGGCCTTTCTTTCTGTGCTTGCTGTCTGCATCTGTCTGCGTGATCCAGGAAATCTTCACACCATCACCAGAAAAGGCAAAAGTCATGCATCAGTCACTGTCTCTAAATAGGTACACAATGGGTGATTAGATTAGTCGCTGACTGTTTCTTTGAAATGATGCGTTCTGTTGGCTGGCACTTTCGGAACTTGGTTTGCACACTGACTTTAGAGCATCCGAGTGGAATAGCCTCTTCAGATGCTATATATCAAATTGTGTGGCCTTGTCCATTGGAGATGTAATACTCTCTGGTAAAGAAAGAACATACTACACCTTCCGTAAACGTTTGAAAGTTCTTAGTCACCCTGCAGCCTTGTCTGTAAAGGTAAAGGGACCCCTGACCATTAGGTCCAGTCGTGACCGACTCTGGGGTTGCGGCGCTCATCTCGCTTTATTGGCCAAGGGAGCCGGCATACAGTTTCTGGGTCATGTGGCCAGCATGACTAAGCCGCTTCTGGCGAACCAGAGCAGCACACAGAAACGCCGTTTACCTTCCTGCCGGAGCGGTACCTATTTATCTACTTGTACTTTGATGTGCCTTTGAACTGCTAGGTTGGCAGGAGCATGGACGGAGCAATGGGAGCTCACCCCATCACAGGGATTCGAACTGCCGACCTTCTCATCAGCAAGCCCTAGGCTCTGTGGTTTAACCCACAGCGCCATCTGCGTCCCTTGTCTGTATCTGCAGCCAAATACCTAGCTGGCTGGTGGCACCCACTGTTTCCTCAAAAAAGTGCAGTTAGGGGGACGTATGCATGAATTAGGGTGTTTGGGGTAGAAAGATAATGGGGCAATTGGGTGCAGCATGTTGCAAATGAGCAAAATATGTGAGATTGTAGTATGTGTTTGCTGCTTATTTCAGGCCCAGGGGCCAAATGTGGTAATCTGGGTCCCTCCATCTGCCCTTAGGGCTCTTTTCAGGCAATACCACCCACCGGCTTTACCTCACACCCTCCTTGAGTGTTTTTTGGCTGGGCTGCAATGTGCCCTTGAGCTCTCAGACTGATTATCGCTTGCCTAAATGGAGGAGAGAGGGAGATGTGTATGTCGAAACTAGTGTACTGTACAAAGGTAAAAACTACATTCATTGTTCTGCCCACTTTGCCAGAGCTAAGGCTCCTGCTAGTGCAATGAGGCTTCCCCCACTTCCCCCCAAATCCACTCTGGAGAGTCATGAGAACCCCCCAGAACAGAACGTAGGGAGAAGAGAAACAGAATAGTTCTGTCTGGCAATTACAAATGCTTATGCTGATCTGCCTCAGCAAGGCAGCACCATGTAAAGTGTGTTACATTAGTCTAGTACATGTGACTGTGGCAAAGTCTGCTTTCCTCAGGACAATTTGCAGCTGGCACATCCCCGATATTGTGGAAAAGCACCCTTGGCCACAGCTGTCACTTGTCAATTCAGAAGCCGCGGTGGACTCGGACGTGCTTCCAAGTTGCAAATTTGCTCCTTAAGAGGGGACTGCAACTCCATTCAGAATGGGCTGGATTCTGTGAAAAGCTGCTCTGCCAGAACCTCCATCTTGCCTTGATTGAGCTTCAGTTTGTCTGTTACATTATACCCCTTGTGAGACAGATTCTTCACACTTACAATGAGCAGAATTTTCAGGCTTTATAATGATATAATATGGAAAAAGCCAGCTGCCTTAACTCTACAGCTGCTCCCACAACTCCATAGTATATAGATAGATTACTGATAAGCCTAATCAGTTGCCGTATTGTATGACGGTCAGAGTTGAAGGGAAGATTACCACAAACATACTTTGGCATTTTACCTTGAAGTGTGGTAAACAAGCCCAGAGAGTTTCTTCCTCTGAATAAACACCACACATTTCTTCAGTAACCCAAAGAGCAGAGTGAGTAAAGTTTCCAGGGTAAGATTTTTGAGCTGTTCTGCGTGTTTGCCTGAACTGCAAATTAGTTGCTCAGAGCGGACTAAGAGGAAGCAGTTGTTATGACTGATAATCTTAATTAAAATAAATTAATTTATACCATGCCTAAGTGGCAATCATTTTGCAAGCACCATCTTATTCACCCAACACTATAGTACAGGTTATTCCTGCTTTGCAGATGGGGGATGGGGGCAGAGAAGCAAAATTTGCTCAAGGGAGCCCATTGGCTGAATTTTTGAAGTCTTCAAAAGTTCCAAGGTTCACATTTTATCCAGTGTGGTCTTGCAAGGGCTGAGCCAAGAGCAGCAGTCTGAGGTGGGAATCAAGAACTGTAGAACTAAATCGTCAGAACCAAAGGACAAACTGGGAATCAGGGTTCAGGAACAAGACGGGAAATTGGCTGGATCAAGAAGAAGCCAGACCTTAGGGCTGAAAAGCACGTCAGGACTGTAGGAAAAACAGGGAGGCAGAATCAACAAGCAAGCCAGAACCAAAGAGCAACCAAGATATCAAAAGCATGCAAAGACTAGGAAGGTATTGTTTCTCAAACAAGTTTCAGCTGCAACAGGAAGCCTTCTTATACTGGAGTTTCCAATAACTAGCCTGGGTAAGCCTTTATTGAGCACCCAGGGCCTGAGAATACTTACTGTGAACCTCCCCCTGGAGTTCAGCTACCACTATGGAACATCTACCCGCAGATCCCACTAGTGGTTAAGCGTTGGGTATGAAAACAAGGAACCCAGACTGTAATAGCAGCTTGTTTCCAAAGGGCAGTATGGGGAATCCAACCTCAAATAACTATTTGTTGTTTCTGATGTTTGGTTGGGAACAAGTGAGGAAACAGCTGCACAGAGAGCGACTGGGTCTTGGCAATATAGGAAACAACTTGATTTTCTGCGCCCTATTCTGAAGTACACTACTGGAGCAGGTGTCTTAAAAATCATCTCCAAGCAACGTCTCTTCATCAACGCTTCACTTTCTCCATGTCAGCACAGGCTGCAAGGCAGCTTCTGTGTAGAAGTAGTGAGACCTTTGAGACTGACTGGGGACGGTATAACCAGTGGGTTTGAAAAATGATGGCAAATGCCCTCCTCTTTGTGCCTTTGAATTAGTTGTGACACACACACACACTTATTTGCTGTGCTGTCCAAAGGGAAATGCAGCTGGACCCACACAGCTTCTGGCCTCAGTCCCACCTTGAGCAGGCTGGATCAGGCCAGTGGCCCATCTAAGTCAGCATCCCAATGGCCAGCCATATGCTTGTGGGAAACGAGCAGGACCTGAGCACAAGAGCACTCTGCGCCCCCCGTCCCCCGAAGTTTGAAACAGCTGTGGGAGGAAGGGGGGCTTGACCCTTCCCCTGCCTGTTTCTTTCTCACTGCAATTTCTGTCCAAAGGCTGTTTTCCTTGCTGGCAAAGGTAAACATGATCAGGAAGAAAAAACCTTGGAGAGGAAAATGTATTACAGGGGAAGGGAAGGAGGGGCAGTGAAATAGTGGCAGATGTGGGGAGAGGACAGCACCCCTCCTTCGCTGCTGCAGATCACCATCTTCCCTAAGTTGTTTTTCCTTAATACAGTGGTACCTCAGGTTACAGACGCCTCAGGTTACAGACGCTTCAGGTTACAGTCTCCGCTAACCCAGAAATAGTATCTCGAGTTAAGAACTTTGCTTCAGGATGAGAACAGAAATTGTGCTTCAGCAGCGCAGCGGCAGCAGGAAGCCCCATTAACTAAAGTGGTGCTTCAGGTTAAGAACAGTTTCAGGTTAAGAACGGACCTCCGGAACGAATTAAGTACTTAACCCAAGGTACCATTGTAGAAGCAGTAGTAGTAGTAGCAGCAGCAGCAGCTGTCAGGGTATCGTTAAATGTGTTTGAATGTAATGCATAGTAGTTTTACCCTCAGTACCAAGTACAAAACAGTGTTATAAAAAGTGGCCCCTGAGCTTTCTGAAGTGTAGCAACATCTGGTATCCAAATACTAATGATCTCATTACTTATCATCTGAGGGCTCAGAGTATGTTTATATTGCAATGAGTTATAAGTGTGGAATCAAATTAATTTTGGGTATGCAATGCCTGTGTGTTGGTCTGGAGCTGGCTGAGGTGAAAGCAAACATACTGCTGCTTTCTCTTTTTCTTAAGGATCAGTTCAGGGGCGAGGGAGGGATTCCTGGTAACCTTTTGCAAGAAAGAGGCTGTCCCTCTAGTCCCTCCCCTTTGGTGCCATGTGTTGGCTTGTCCTTCTGTGCCTGGAAGGATTTGGCTGTGCTGATTCCACTGTGGCTGAAAAGGTATTGCTCACCTGCCCCTCCCCTCTGACTCAAGTCAAAACAAGTAACACAGTTTCTTTGGCAGAGCAAGACAGTGCCTGGAAGAGGGAAGCAGCCGAGGGGTCGGAAGTGTGAACTCAACGAAAAATCCAGCAGCTTTGGAGATTGGAACACCAGGGCAGAACTGGCTTCCTCTCGCTCATTTTTCTCCTGATACCAGCTATTCTGAATCAGGGACCGAGCCCAGCAGGTAAGGGAGTCCTGTTGCTTTCTGATTCGAAAAGGGAGAGAGGGCTGTTGTTTATTGATGATCAATATTTCCAAATCATTAGAAAATGTTGTGGAGTATTTATTTTTCGGAATGTAAGTATCCAGCTTTCTGGTGTTCATGAGATAATTAGACATAGAATGGGAACTGCTACTTTATTGGGGTGAACCATTAATACTTGGTTACATTAAAAAAAAACAGAGCTCTGGTGAAATCAGCAATTCTCTTCCTCTTCTCTATGGGTTATTTCACATGTTGCAGATTCCCTGCTTAAAGGAAGTCACAACTATAGCATTAAAATCCACAGATGGGTTGCCATGTGTTACATGTGCAAGCTTTTTGTCCTGGTTGTGGCTTCTGAGTGTATGCGGTTACATCTACATGCTGCCTGCCTGTGATTTCTTACATGGAAGTTGCTTTTGTATTGGAAATCGGTAATATGAGGTGCAGCTCTTGGTCTGCTGGGACCCTGGGCGCTGCCCTGTTGTTCTCTCTCTCTCAGTCCTCCCTGTTTCTGCGGGACAATACAGAGGAAGCTCTCCTGGGCTAAAAGGTGGGAAGGCAGCCCGGTGACTAGAGGCAGAACAGAGACAGAAAGGGCCTCAAGACAAAATCACTTTCCGTGCTGATTATCTTGCCTGGTGGGAGTAAGCAGCATTTGAGGTCTTTGGCAGGGACTGTATGCACATAGGAATGTAGGGTCCTGCAAAACTGAGGTTATTTCACGAGGCTTTTATCCAGCCAGTAGTAACTGGTGAAGGGATGTATTGGGAAGTAAGAGGCTGCCACTAATGAGGGATTACCAAAGGGCTGGTGTGCTAGGTGCCTTTACCAGAGGGATGTGGCAGCAGAGATATAGGGGCTGCTAGGTCTGCAGGCATATGGCAGCTGACTAGCTGGCACCCCCCAAGTGTGGGCATGAGCTATGATACCAGCAGCCAACAATGGGTGTCAAATACCGTCGTACCTTGGATCCTGAATGCCCTGGAACTCGGACGTTTTGGCTCCTGAACGCCGCATACCCAGAAGTGATCGTTCCACTTTTTGGAACCCGAACGTCCAACGGGGCTTTTGTGACTTCTGGTTGGCTGCAGGAAGATTTGATTTTCGAACATTTTGGAAGTCGAATGGACTTCCGGAACGGATTCTGTTCGACTTCCAAGGTATGGCTGTACCTGCAAGGTGCTGACTTAGCACCCTCACATGCCCCGGGCACTAATTTGTCAGATAGGGGCCCCTTACCCCTTGGCCACCATTCAATGTCCTCAGTGCACTGAGCACCCCTTTTAAGCGCACTGCCTCATCTGCTGCCAGCTGCTTCAGGCGATCTCCTGGTCCTACACATTTGCTGGCCAACTGCACATTATGGAACTGGGCTGGGGATAGTCTTGGTATGGCTGGGGTTAGTGGTGGTGTTCTTCATTTGTAGGATGTGTTTCCTTGAGCAGCGCAAATGGGGAACACACAGCCTTCAGTGGCAGCGGGATTGTGGGGAGGATCCCTAAACATTTTTTGGGGGGGAGGGCGTGTACATATAAGCCATTTCAAAATGGCACAGGGAGTAACTTGACAACTAGTATTGCTGCTAAAGGCACTATTCGCTTGCTATCCAGGACACCAGACCTCCTCTTCCCTGTACTGAAGGAAGTGTAGCAGCCATTCTTGTTGGAGGCAGGCAGGGCCTGCCCTGCCATTGCACAGAGTAGGGCCACCACCTCAGCCAGCTGGTTGTGTATGTCATGCAAGGGCAGCAAATTCTCAAATTTTGTTTTTCCCATTATTATATTTTTCCTGCTATAGGGGTTGCTTTGGGGATTTGCTGCCTCGGGTGTAAACATAACATTTCCAGCCTGGGATGCAGTGTGGCTTGAGGTGGGACGGGTGCCACTTGCTGCTTCACCTCGGGCAGCAAAATATATTGTGCCAACTCTGGGCTGGTGTTGCTGCTTCCCAGCAATTGGGGTTTGGTGGTTTCGCAGCTGCAACGCCACAGAATCCATTTTTGGTGCAATCATTTTTCTGGTTTTCTGAAGTCTGTGGTATTCTTCCAGTCAAACAGATAACATTTTGAAGATACGCTTCAGTGCTGAGTATATTTTAGCCGCACGTTGGCAGCTGATACAAACAGGGAGAATATAGCAAACGAGGTATAATGGGAAGGTATTGAATTGTGGGAGCTCCCGCCTGGCTATGTGGAACCCTTCCTTCAGTGGAGGCAAAATAGACAGCCAAGCTTTTCAGGGTGTGGGGTATCTGGGAGGCTCCTTGGGGGAAAGGTGGTGATAATTATTGCTTAGTATTGAGATTTTAATCTCTTAATTGTTCAATTAATCAATTAAAACTGCACAGTTAATTAAAAATAATAATTCAGCCAGTTGGCAGCCCTGTTTCTGCCTTGGTGTGTAGAAGACAAACGAAAAATAGCTCACTCAGCATGAGTTACTTTTAAAACTGCCCAGGGGGTTGTTTAAACATCTCTGTGACTATGGTGGGGGCAGGAGGAGGGCTTTGACTCACAGTCTGGGATTGGGCACCTGGAAGACTTTTCCGGATTATTGGTTTATTGCACGATAAACACACAGTTGTCCATATTATGGTGTTAAATGTCTGACATGTCTTTCCTGAAGTAGGGGGTCTGTTCTGGCCAGGGATATTGTGTTTTCTGAGCACACAAATTGCTGTGATGTGGAATTGTAACACACTTGTCATAGCTCGCCCATCTATTTGTAGCGTTCAGCTCTGTCTGGACTATGATACTGTTTTGTCTCTATTGCAGAGATGGGTAGAGAAACTGTGGCCTTCCAGGTGTTGTCATGGGACTCCCACTCCCATCATCCCCAAGCTAGTACAGCCAATAGTCAGGAATGATGGGAGCTGAAGTCCAACAAGGAGGGTCATAGGTACACTGTCTATTGTTTTTGACATTGCTGGTGGCAAGCAGCATTCGTCATAGGGACATGGGAGGCTTCCTGAGCCCAACGACTGGTGTGCTTAGCTCATTACTGTCTACACGGACTGGCAGCAGCTCTCCAGGGTTTCAGGGCTCTCTCCTAGTCCTACCTAGAGATGCTGGGATTGAATTTGGAACCTTTTACATGTCAAGTGTGTGCCACTGAGCCACAACTCTGAGATTATGTCCCAGTAACACTGCCACACATTTCCCTTCCCAGTCTTGCACAATTCTATAAACTGGTGTGGGTGGGTGGGTGGTGTGTTTTGTTGCTGCTGCTGTACTTATTTCTCTGGAGTAGAATGTGCCCTTGCTGTATTATTCCAGCACAAGAGAGCTTCATCACACCCATGTCCCACCAGTTTGTTAATCTTACCACCACCAGTCTTTCCCCCCCCCAGTTCCAGGCTGCGCACTTATTTTCTTCAGCCCTGGAACATCTTGTGTTCAAAAACAAAAGTAGTGTTCTAAGTACAGGGGGAAAGGTAGGGGGCTTTCGGTGAAACCACACCTGCCTGCATTTTAGCTAAATCACAGTTTCGCTGCCACTTCTAAAAATTATAGCTATTTGGCCTCCAGGCCTGAGGCTCACCATCATCCCCTCTGGCCACCCTGAAATTTGAGCATGGAGAGCAGGGAGTAGGACTAAGGATGGATGGATCTGCCAATGTCCGTTTCCCAGAGTTTCTCATTATTCTGTGTTTCTTCCTTCAAATTCTTCAAATTCCTCAAGTCCTCATAAATGTTCATCGGCGTTTTAGTGCAAATCTCCCCTGCTAAACACATTTTTGGGGGAAGCAATTATCCCTAACATAATGCATTTTGTATGTAGTTTTCACATGTATATGCATTTCATTCACACTGTTCCCTGATGTACCCATTTTTGGATACATTCTTTGGCTTGACAACTGCTTCGCAAAATCTGGAGAAATCCAAATTTCTAAGGATAACTGTGTTTCAGTTTGCATGTTTTAGGAAGTGTGGAACAGGGAGTTTCGGATTAAAATGTGAACCAAACGTAATTTCTCTCAAACCCTTAGGCAGGACATTGCTCCACTGAGTCCAACTAATAACCCCTCTTATTTAAACAAGCAAACCAAACTTTATTCATTGCTGTTATCTGGAAAGCCCCTGAGTATGTGTCAGTAGGTCAAAGCTGCAAACATATCCCGGAGGGAGTTTTGTCAGGCTGAGTAGTTGGGCAAGAAATTCGTAGAAGATATTTTCTTTGCAGAGCTGCAGGTGAGACACCACCAGCCCTTTGGAATTTTGGCTCCGATGCTTGATGGTGAATGTGCTTCCCCTGAGTAGGCATGTCCAGCATTTCTAATCTTCCAATGGGGATTCTGCAGACATAGAAGGATACGGAGGCTGATTCCCATAACCATTAGCCTCATATTGGTTACTGCAACTCCACATGAAATTGATTCATGCGCTGAGCTGGTTGTGTGCAGGCCACCAATTAGGTGGGAAAGTCACCTAGCCTCACCCACATGGTTCTTCTGGTGCCAACACCCATGTGCATCAGCATGGGACATCAAGCCAAAGGAAAGTGACTCCCACATCACACATGAATGTGAAGAGGGGCAGGCACTTAGATGTTGACTGCATGTTACGCACAAGTGAGCCCTGGTGCTATATTCTTCTTCTTCTTTTTTTGGAAAAGCCACTTTCCCAGCTATTTGCAGCAGTGAAACAACAGGCAGGGAGATGTTTTGGCATGTCGCCTCCCACTACTCTGAAATGCTTTTCTTTAATGATAATGATGGTGGTGGGGCTCTAATAGATGCATTTGATTATAATGAGTTGGCATCCCCTCCGTCTAGCTGACTTCCTACCCTGAGATTTCCTTTCCTTGAGGAGGAGGAGTCATGTGGTTCCATTGCAACACGGCGGAGGTTTGATTACTCAATTATAAAACATCTTGTTTTGGTTCAAGACTCCAAGGTTTATGGCATGAGCACGGTTTCTCTACAGGAGCATGCAGACACACCTTTGGGTGCTAAAGTTTTCAGAGGGCACACAACTGCCTTCCAGATTTTGCTGGGAAATGCTTGGAGTTTGCCAGTGATTCCTGCTAGTTAGAGCGGAACTCAGGAAGAGGGTAACCTGGACGAGAACAGACCACCGAGACAACTTTTACAATACTTCCTATTCCAATCTTGCTCTTTTACAAGGAGCCTGGAATTCCACAGTCTGCTTCCCAGCTTGGTATATTTGATATTACGTACATGTTCAGGAGTTAAATAAAAACTGGGCTCTGTGCCCAGGGAAACTAGTTCTTCTCTGGTAGAAAGGTTTATGCATCTACTCAGCGGCTGCCTGAAGCAAACTTCCTCTTGGCTAGCAAACAGGCAGCGTGAGTCTAATCCACAGGCGAGATAAGCTTATTTGGCACAGAGGACCACACTGGAAATGTTGTTTGCCATCACATATCCACACTTTTCTCTACAACCATGAGTGTTAGAAATGTGCTGGTGTTTTTTAAAATGAAAACTGGGAAGTCTCGGGATTCTAACAAGTCCATAGGTTGCCTAAGGGACCTTGCCTTATATGTTGCACAACCCTCTTCTCGTCTTTCCCAGGCATTGAGAGCTGTTTGTGCAGCTTTAAAGAGGCCAAGTCAGCAGGGTAATAGCCCAGTGCGGGCAGAACAAAAGAGAGGGTGTAGACTTGGAATATTTGGATAGGAATTGGGCAGCTGAATATATTCAGGAGGGGTGTGTGTGAATTGTTGGAACTAAACTTGCTTAGCTGCCTAGCATCTCTGCTTATTTTTGCAATCAAACAGGGAATAACCTACTTAAGGGCTGCATGGATTCCTGGTAACGTAATGTCTTGCATCAGAATGGGTCTCTTCAGTTTTGGTGGTGCTTTAACATGCTTGGACATGTCATTAGGATGGGACTGGAGGCAGGAAGGACCAGTTAGAAGTATGTAGCCTTATCGTGTACATGGATGATCATGTCAGTCTTTGAATTCAGAATAGGAGAGAATGGAAACTGACTTGAATGAATGTTTCCTTCAGAAGCCCCTTGACTTGAAAACTTTGTTGACTGAAAAATTGCAGCCAGTTCACCCTACAGAGCAGATTTGGATTCAGGGGTTGTGGCTTTATTGCTTGCTTGGATGTTATTCCTACACGTCAGTTTATTACGCTGTGTTATGTTTGTATTTTCAGTGGACTGCAAAAGTTTCAATATGCAAAGGTTGCATCTCTTTGTTCAAGTAGAATTGCATTCTGGATTTTATGCTGATCTTTGGGGCCTCCCACAGGGCTCTTCAAGTTTGGATTATCATCCTTTTCATTGGGGCTTGCAAAACACTGTGCCTTTGCCTGTGCAGTTTGATTAAAAACCACGTGGACTAAAACAGGTCACCTGGTGTCATTGTGATGTCATAGGAATATAAGGGTCTAACCCATGGGTAGGCAAACTAAGGCCTGGGGGCCAGATCCGGCCCGATCGTCTTCTAAATCCGGCCCACAGAAGGTCCAGGAATCAGCGTGTTTTTACATGAGTAGAATGTGTCCTTTTATTTAAAATGCATCTCTGGGTTATTTGTGGGGCATAGGAATTCGTTCATTCACACCCCCCAAAAAAAATATAGTCCGGCCCCCCACAAGGTCTGAGGGACAGTGGACCGGCCCCCTGCTGAAAATGTTTGCTGACCCCTGGACTAACAGCCGGATCCAGTTCCCCACTCTGGATTTTGGCTTGGATAGTTCTCTTTATTCATGCCACTTGATCCCTTAGCAATACAGTAGAGTTTGGAATGGCTGTCCTTTTTGTTTCTTTGGAGTGTCACTCTCCAGTCATGCCTATAATCATAGACCATAGGTAGGCTTCATCATCAGTGAATGTTGCAAATAGGAAACAGGCACAGTTCATGGTACTGCTTCAGCCACCCCTTCCTTGGTGGCTCTTGTCTTTCTGCTTGTCCATGTTAACTAACTTCTGCTTTGTTTCATGGTGATATCTGTCTGAATGTGTGAAATTGTGGATGTATGAACTGCACAACTTTGGTGAAGGAACACTTTGAAGCTTAATCAGAGTAATGGCAAAGGAGTGTTGGCACATGTTCACAGGGCAGGATCAAGTCCTGCTGGTTTGACACCTGTTTGGCCTATGTAAGGATGCTGGACTAGATGGTCTGATCCAGCAGGGCTCTTAATACATGCTTATGTGCTTATCTCAAAGTGCAGTAAGTGATATCTGCAAAATTGATGGAGGCAGCAAGGGTGTGTTCCTTGTCTGCTGTTCATCTGACCTGGCCCTGCAATTTCCCATGTCTGCCCATTTTTTTATCCGCATTGATCAGATGTGGAGATTTAGCACATGTGAGCCTTGACAAACCCCATGTGAGCATGCACACTTTAGACAATATTTCATTTTGAAAAGAGATACGTAGCATTGTTTCTTTCCTCCCCACCTTTTTTTTTAAAAGCTAGACTGAAAAGCTTGACCATCTTGGCACCAGTCTTACTGTGGATCTTTGAAATATAATAGGTTTTGCTATGAAAGCCAAAGTCAAAACCCAACCTTGTTGAATTGTGAGTGCTGTGAATAGACAGCTCTGAAATGAACAATACTTTATTAGCGTTCATGGGAAGCTTATGGAGGCATATTCACTGTTACAGGAATCCCCAGTAAGGTGCCTACAGGCACAATTGTGCCCTTTAGGACTTTCCCTGGCCCCCCAAAAACCTCTGGCCCCTACTGCCTCCTTTGTCAGTTGTAAGCAACCCCATAACAGGAATCCTGATTCACGGAACCTGACATTCAGCATGCCTCCCTAGAAGAGGGAATTTTTGCAGGTAGAGGATGTCCACGACAACCTTCTGATGGACTTTCCTCCTTGACATAATTACTGAACGTGCAGCTTTTGCTTCTGGCCACTTTCCCGTAGCTGCATTGGGATCAGCTGCAGAGTTGTGGCATTTTGTAGTTCTGAGGGGAGTACACTCTGCCATTGCAACTGTGCCGCTTAACTCAGTTTTATGGATGGGAGTACCATGGCAGGCAGAGGAACAAATTCGCATCCACACAATCTCCTGATTGGAGCGAGGAATAATCTACAAAGGTCTGAAGCAGTGTCGCCCTATAGCAGATCTCTTTTCAGTGCTGTGAACCTTGTCCACCCAGGCCCAGCCCCCTTTGCGTTTTGTTTACCAGGAGACTGGTAGGGCCAGGATAAGCTCCAGACAGAAACTCAGTGTGACTCTCAAATTGACTCACCCAGGTTGGGGCAGGGGAGTGGCGTGTAAACACCAGGGGTTTGCTGCAGGAGGTAGGATTGGAGCCACCCCCAGCTGTAGGGAAAGTGAGAGACTATCCCTGCTGAATGACATGTCCCAACATCTGCAATGGGACCTTGAGCAGCTCTTCTGTTACTGGAGCCTGGGCTGGAGGATGGAGGAGTATTCTTGGCATGGGGAAGCTCATTTCATTCATTGCCAGAGCTGAGGAGCTGCTTGCTTAGCACACCCTGCCAGGATTAAGAGGAGGCTCCCCACGACTTTTCCCCTCCCAGCCTAGCAGGAAAGAGAAGAGTAGCAGGTGAACTAGTCAAGCACATGGGGAGCTGAGAATTGCCAATCAGGTTTCCTTCTGGAAGCCCTCATAAATTGCAGTTAACTGTGACAGAACACAGCATGAATATTTGCTTCAAGGACTATGTAGTGCTGGTAAGACATGGACCTGAGGCCAAAGAATAAATCTGCCCCTGCCTCCCCACAACTTTCCCCAAACCAGAAAATCTGCTTTCTGGTGTAGATATAAAGAGCTGGTGGCGCCTAGAGGCCAAGCTACAAACCAGGATGTCCCCAGTTTGCTTCTCACTCTGCCATGAATTCACTCTGCAGCCTTAGGCAAGTCTCTTTCTCTGAGGCCAAGCCCTTCGCCTCCCTCCCATCTGCCATACAGAATAATAGCACTGACCTACTTTATAGGGTTGCTGTGTGATGTGCAACAACAAAAAATGTAAGTGAAGTGTTTTGAAAACTAGGAAAATGCTATATCAATTCTAAATTATTATCAAGTGTCTGTTACAGTCCATGCTCTGTGTGCTGCTACACTTGAATTGGGTTGTAATATGAATGTCCAACTTTGTATGCATCAAATAAATATTACCTGTGCAGTAGGGTTACAGACAAAGATTGATAATTCTGCGTGTTCGTGTGCAGAAGTTTATGGGTGTTTCTGAACAGGAGCTTTCCCTGCCTTTGTTTGGGTGCCCCAAACAAAGTGTCAAGACATCTGCTGTTGTTTTGCTGTGTGGGCCAATTTTGGTCTCACATAGTGCATTGGATTGCACAACAGCCAGGCTGTAGTGGCCCAGACGAGCTTTTATATTTTATCTTTGCTGAATAGATTGATAGATAACCAGCATGGAATGCTGGGTTTGGGTTTGCCAAAGGCCCAGTTTACACAGGAGCCCTAAAGTGAGGCTCCACATGGTCAGATGCTTCTAGGTAACTATTTCATGTATCACTTATGACAGCTGCTGCAGTAATTGATAGAGAGCCCATATCTTGCATTCTCTCAGCCCTGTTATTGCCACTTGCCTGCTCCCTTCTTCCAGGACCTGAATTTCCTCCTTGTAGTAGTCGGAACCAAGGAAATCATTACAGGAATTTCTGCAGCACTGGGCTAAGGCATTTTGTTCCCCAAGATGTAGCCATGAAAGCCCCTCCCACAGTCATGGTGCACAGTATTCAAGGATTGTGGGGTGAGGGGAACAGCCACAAGCACTTCTCTCCCTGCTTTCTGGCAGTCAAAATACAACGGTCAGAAATTAAATAGCTAATAATTTGCTGCCCTTTCATGACGGCCAAGTTCAGCTGCTTGAGGCAGTTGCCCCACTATACCTAAGCGTAGAGCCGGCCCTGAATTTTGGAACTGGTAGGTCCTTTAGCAACATGGAGGCTCTGACCGTGTGGAAGCTCTATAGAGGGGTCGTATGTGAACTGGAGTGAAGATGTGGCATAATTATATAAATAAATAATGTGTGTGTTGCACACCTCAGTCTTTGCCTTATTGTGTTAGCAGGAGACATCACGGCACTTTCCAGGTGTGATCCTACTGCCTCCCTCTGTAGAGCTCGGCCATGAAGAGTAAGGATGAGACCAGTGACACAGACAGTGGGATCATAGTACAGTCAGGTGAGTGACGGATGGGGAAATTCCTGCTCATTATCATGTAGTGTCAACAGGTTTAAGCAAGAATGACTGCACTGTTTGGGGTGGGTGGGGGGGCCTTCTTTCTGCCCCAAGCCTGTAAACTTACCCTAGAAGATTAGACTAGAAGGTATCACCACAGCTGCACGGAGATCAAAGCACAGCTGTGAAAAGAACCCTCTGAATCATTAGTCATGGCTGGCTCCTTGTTGATTCTATTTCAGTCCAGCTTCCTCCTAGCCGGGCTATGATGTAGCCCAAAGTGTTCAGCTGGGGATGCCCAGGATACCAGAAAAGAGTGTGATCTTGCGTGGACACACGGAGACAGGAGCAAGGGCTATCAAGGGTGGTCTTGGATTTTGGGGACTGGTGTTACATGGTGGAATCCTAGTGCTTTAAAAGCAGGAGTGGGGAACCTGTGACATGTCAAATGTTGTTGGACTCCCATTAAGTGCAGCCAACTTGGCCAGTGTTAAGGGATTATGAGAATTGTAGTCCAGCAATATCCGAAAGACCACAGTTTCCCCCCTCCCCCAACCAGTTTAAAGTACCGTGCTTCTCAGCTGGTAGAGCATGAGACTCTTAATCTCAGGGTTGTGGGTTCGAGCCCCACATTGGGTAAAAGATTCCTCCATTGCAGGGGGTTGGACTAGATGATCCTTGTGGTCCCTTTCCAACTCTACAATTCTATGATTCTATCTTGTGATATAACTGGTTCCTCATCATAAAAGATTTCTTTTAAAAAAACCTTAGTAGCATTGAAATACAGGCAGAGGGTAGTGTTCAGCTTACTCAGGGTAGACCCATTGAAATTAATGGACCTAAATTAGTCATGCTCATTGATTTCATTGGGATTACTCTGAGTAAAACTTAGTTGAATACCATCTGGGGTGTTGCAAAGTGGAAGGCTCCGTAGGAGACTATTTCACTAAAATCCTTCAGTCGCCCGGTATGTGGCATACTTTCTGCATGAGTAATACCCGATCATTGTACTTAGTTATATATAAACTTTAGAAACAGCTTCCATGAACAATTAGCGTAAAAGTGCTGAACAACATACTGGTACTTGTGGTAGAAGTAAATAATCAGGCCACACTTAAGATGCGATGTTGTAATTACAACAAGATTCTCTCTCATGTAGGAAGCTATGGCATATGATGCATCTCTTAATGGTTTTGAACTATCTGTGTGTACAGAGGAGGAATGGTAATCTTTTTTCATAGGGTGGGCTCATGCCAGTGCACAGCACTACTTTGGGATCTATAGTGCGAGGCAGTTCTAAGCAAGAGTTGCAGCAGGGGATCCAGACAAGCAAAATAATAAGCGAGTTCAGCATCCACTTCCTAGTCTTATTCCTTTTGTAACCCCAAGTGCTTCTTTAGATATCTCAGGGCACATCTGAATAGAAACTGCTCCCAGTTTAGCAAGTTAGTTCTAAACTGGAGACGTTTCTTCTACCATCACCACTCAGAAAGTGTTGTATAGTTTCACACAACCCTGCACCCACCCCTACACTTATGAGGGGATGGTCTCCTATTGTCCTGTATGAATGAGCTAGTGTGGGTTGAGATCTGACCTTTATGTGGCTTGTGAGGAGTCAACAATCTGGCCGAGTGCCTCTGATCTGTGGAAGAAGCAGCATGAGCTAAAATCTTCTGGAACTGCTGTCTTAAGGCTTACAAATATCAAAGACTCCTTTTTGTTCCGGTCTGTGAGCAGAGCAGCAAATCTGTTTGCTTAGTTCTGTAATAAACTTAATGATCAGGAATATCACCATGGAGTCTCCTCCTTATCTGATCTGCGATGACCTTGAGGTGCCTGCAGCTTGGAAGTAAGAGCTAATCAGTCCTGGCTGTTGTACACATTCCATACCCCACCTGATGAGCTGTCAAGACAGCCTCTCCTTTGATGTCCCATGCCATTTTTATGATAACTGCTAATGACATCGGTCTTTAAGATGCATTCGCAAGACCTGCAGCTGGCTCCAGAAAGTTGCCCAAGGGCATCTCTGTATGGGTCATTAAATATTGCTGCTTCCCCTCCCGCCCGTAGGACCTGACAGGTCATCAGTCTGTGTCTGTCTCAATCCTTCCAGGACTAGACAGCCCCATGTCTCCAATGAAGGATCTGACGCAAGCTATGAGGAAGCAGCAGAAGGCGCTGGAGGAGCGACTAGAGGCCTGTGTGCAGGAGCTGCGAAGGCTGTGTTTGCGCGAAGCGGTAAGGGGCCAGGAAGTCTGCAGGGTTGCCACACACCCTTTGGGCTGCATGAGGTGTGCTGCTAAAGTAAAGAGGGCCCATCTTTAAGGGCTGTAGTTCTTTGGACTCGGACGCTCACAGAAACTGGAGAGGCTTTCCTCAAAGATCAAAGACACTCAGACATGAGGGAGGGGCAATGTAATCCAAAGGTAGTACTAGGAGAAAATATCTAGGGGCGAAGAAAGGGCAAAGACTATATCAAGAACACTTTCCCCATTGGAGAGTTGCTCCTGCATTATTCAAGACGTTAACTTCTAAAGCCACCCATAATTAACAAGCTTAATTAAGTGAGCCTAGCCATATGCTGCAAGTGAATCTGATGAGGTAACTTTTCCCTCCTGACCTGAGATACCGCAAATAGTTAAAAATTGAACATGGAAGTTTATTCCCAGAGAAAATTTTCTGGGCCCCCTGGATCAGAACGAACCCATCAAACCAACCACTATTAGTTGTGGTATTTTAATGCGTCAAGGAGAAAATAATTAAAACAATAAACTACGCTTTCTAGCCTATTGCTATTACCCTCAGTTAAAAGAGTACAAAACAAATGGGTTTTTGTTTGGTTGGTTGGTTTTGCAGGACACCAGAACTGTACCTTGCTCTCTTGAATGTTTAGGGAATATTTTCCGGAACTTTCTATTACTTCCAAAGCCTACCGTATTTTTCTCTCTATAAGACGCACCAGACCACAAGTTTTTGGAGGAGGAAAACAAGAAAAAAAATATTCTGAATCTCAGAAGCCAGAACAGCAAGAGGGATCACTGCACAGTGAAAGCAGCAATCCCTCTTGCTGTTTTGGCTTCTGGGATAGCTGCGCAGGCTGCATTCGCTCCATAAGACGCACACACATTTCCCCTTACTTTTTAGGAGGGAAAAAGTGAGTCTTATGGAGCAAAAAATACGGTATTTCCGATCTAACACTACCTCTTCATGTGCCTTGCCATTAGTTTTCAGGGGGGGCACTGGAAATAATTGGATTTGTAAATAAGTTTAGGGAAAATGTTTTTTAAAGGGAAATTTAGAGCTGCCCAGTGGTTTGCCATTATAATTGGAGCACAAAGCACACACTGCTACAACACACCTGTGCATCTTCTGTGTGTGTGTGTGTGTGTGTGTGTGTGTGCGCGCGCGTGTGTGCGCATACATACTCTCTTGCTTAGAGACACATTTCATGACATTTGGAAGCCTACAAAGAGTGGGGGGAAATCTTCAGAACTGGGAATCTGGCAGCACTAATGCAGAAGTGTGTTATAGTCAAACTTCACACAAGAGGCATCTTGAACTCCCAGCTAGCAGTGGAATGAGGGGCATGTCTTTGGCAAAGGGAAGAGAAATGGGTATGATTGAACAGGACTTGGTCTGTGGGAGTCTGGACTACTTAAATTACTTTTCATATTTTTATCAGTCACTTTTTCATCACCTAACATAATACAACTTTTGCATAATTTGAATTTTTGAACTGCCCACCTCCCCCCACCCAGTAACTGTCCATTTTGGGTCTGGCTGCACTTTTAAAAAAAAGAAGCTTTGGTTTGGAATGAACTCAGGCCTGGTTATTTTGTGTGGCATCTATCTATGGCTGTCTTCTGTGCCTGAGGTTCACTTGATGTCATGGGACACTGAAGAAATAGAAGAAACTGCCAAGCTAACAAAATAATGGCATGAGATCTTATTTAGAGAGAGAGAGATTGATAGACAGGTATTTTGTAAGCTGCTCTGAAGACCCAGGGTGTGACTGAAAGTACACAATTCTAGGAACTGAACCTTCCCTTTGCTGTTTTCTTGACAGGAACTGACAGGATTGCTTCCTTCAGAGTATCCTCTAAAACCAGGAGAAGTGGCCCCAAAGGTCCGACGTCGAATTGGTGCTGCTTTCAGATTGGATGAGAAGGCCTTTCTCTCCAGAGGAGTGGTAAGGAATCTTGCTGAGGTGCTTCTCCTCCTGAGTTTAGGGAATATGGGCAGAAACAACATTTTCAATTATCCAGGGCGCTGCTTGGAAATCTGCTTGTGGTGGGAATCACTATCAGCTGTCATGGCAACCCTTGCTGCAAGCACAGAAGTGTCCAGAATGAGATGGGAAGAAAAAGGTTATGCTGCTGATACTAGAGTCACTAGACCATTTTTTTCTGGCAGATGAAGCTGTAATTCAAAAGCAACTTCCCCTCTATATTGGCAATCGCCAGCAAACCACCTCACTGAGAATCAAACTGGTTTCTTCTGAGAGTCTTTACAGCCAGAGATAACAAAAAGCCACGCAATTTCAATTTGCACAGTAAAAGAGTTCTCTGTGTCAAGTGCAAGAGGGCGAAAAGCAAGTTTCCCCCTGGTGAGGGCATGTACATACCCATGTAATTTTCCATCTGTAATCCCTTTCACCAGTTGTCTACATAAACCTGCAGTTCCTAACAGGCAGGCAGCCTTTATAGAAGTGGGGATTTTTTTTGTTTTCACCGTTTTTGAAACCAAGTTAAACTAATCCAGGAAAAAACCAAACACGTTTCTTTGTTGAGAAGGGGTGGCTTGCATTAGGATTATGCTGTGAATTCCCACTGAAGACGATACAGTGCCAGGAAGCAGCTGTCAGCTAAAAGAGGACTTTTGGGAATGATGAGGTTGTTCGGGTTCAGCATCCTGTTAGAAACTCCCAAAGGGACAGAGACGCTTCAGGCTCCAAACACACAGAGGGAGTTAGGCCTCATTTCCATCAAAGGTGTGGGATCTGTTGACTCTTCAGCTATGCAGTCTCACTCTCTCTTTCTCTCCCCTGTCGTGTGTTTTAATAATCATCTTAGTAGGAGGCAGCCCAGGTGTGGTGCTGCTTATTATTTTTTTGCTGTGTGCCCATAGTGGGTGGCACAGGGTGTGGGCTCGAAGTGCAATTGTGTGTGTTTTGTACAAGTGTTCTTGCTTACCATAGCTTCTTTCTCTCACACACACTTAGCGTAACTTTGGAAAGCTTTTCATTTCACCTTCACCTTGCCGAATGTTGCCTACTGACCTGCCTTTTTGCTCCCTTTCCCCAGCCATTAGGAAGCTCTTGCCCCGGAAACACAGAACATTTCCACTTAGTCTGTGGATAGTTTTCCTCCTTCAGAAGCCTGCTGGGCAGGGCAGACAGCTGGGAACTGGGCCCAGGACATCAGTCCTATGGCTCATACAGAAGAACACACCCCTACGGATTTCTTAAATCCAGAATAATTACCATCCCTGGCTCAGGATTCGCAAATCCCTAAACTGGATTAGAATCTCCATTCTGCTCATAAGCAGGCATTGAAGGAGTGGGAAATCACCCGTCTATTGTTATTTAATTATCCTGACTGTGAGTGAGACAGGAAGATTTAGTTCAGCCTGTGATGCCTTTCTACACTAGTTGAATGCACTGGGGTGCTCAGATGCAAAAGAAGACATTTGGGCTCGTGTGCTTTTAATAGTTGAATTGCAGCTGGTGTCATGCAAGCTACATTTACTGAGGTTCCCACTTCTATGCAGCTATTAAAAATGCAAGAACCCTGCTATCTTTTCATCCGACCACTCTAGAATGCACATGGAATGTAACTGGGAGATGCATGAAAGTCATACTCAGTATCTGATTTGATCTACCGAAGGACGTAAGGAAGGAGCCTATGATTTATGAGTTGAAGCAGGGGATGGGGTAATGGTAGTAATGTCTTGGAAGCATCCAGCTGCCAAGAGTGCCCTAGAAATACAAGAAGCTGCCTAATGCCCAATCAGACCATTGGTCCATCTAGTTCAGTATTGTCTACACCCGTGTTTCTCAAAATTGGGTCTCTAGCTGTTTTTGGACTACAGTTCCCATTATCCCTGACCACTGATGCCTGCTAGCTAGGGATGATGGGAGTTGTAGTCCAAAAACAGCTAGAGACCCATGTTTGGGAAACCCTGGTCTATTACAAACTGGCAGGCAGCAGACTTTCCCAGCCCTAGCTGAAGATGCTGGAAATTGAACCTAGGATCTCTTGCAAGCTCTTCCACTGAGCTGTACAGCCTTTCCCCAGGCTTCTCCATTGCTGTGATTTTGGATTCTGCCACTTTAGTCCTTGTGTGCCCCCTTTTGAAACGCTGGGTCGCTCCATCCTTTCCGAAGAGTTTCATAGTTTGGAATCCATGTCTGTTCTCCTCCACAGGATCCTCTGAGCATGTTGGAGAGAGACCTAGCTCTGCAGCTGCAAATTGCTGAAGCAGCACGATGTCTGTCCCGGGAAGAGAATCTCACCAAGCAGGTTCGGAAGCGCCGCAAAAGTGCTGTGCTGAAGGAGGAAAAGAAGCTGAAGGAGCTGGAGCAGTCTGTCACAGAGTGCCGCCAGGCAGCCAGGCATTCGTCACAGCTGAGGGCCAGTGCGCCAGCCTTACAAGGTGAGCTGGAGCTTAGAGTGGCAGGTCTGAGAAATGGGTCCTTTGCGTGTGGTGATAATGACAATAAAAATATACAAAGGGAGGTACAGTGGTACCTCGGGTTACATACGCTTCAGGTTACAGACTCCGCTAACCCAGAAATAGTGCTTCAGGTTAAGAACTTTGCTTCAGGATGAGAACAGAAATTGTGCTCTGGCGGCACGGCGGCAGTGGCAGCAGGAGGCCCCATTAGCTAAAGTGGTGCTTCAGGTTAAGAACAGTTTCAGGTTAAGAACGGACCTCCGGAACAAATTAAGTACTTAACCTGAGGTACCACTGTATAGTAAAATTGTTCTTTGTGGCCACTGTACAGCAGGACAAAACTGAATGGTGATAAATTGAAATGAGTAAGTATAAGGAAGAGCGTTTATTAATTAAAAAAAAACCCCAACCAAAAAACCTTGAGTTGTCAGGAAATGAAGACAGAGTCTGGGATTAAATATCTGTCCCTAGAAATCAGAAGTAGGTCAGACAGGCTTCTGACAGGCGTGGTTTAGTTGGAATTCATCCCAGTTCAGGGGAGGAAACTGACCTTTTATGGCTTCTTCCTGCCCCTGTAATCTACGCAAACTGCAGTTTTCTGTCAGCGGTTGCCAAAGTGAGCTCAATCAAGAACAGGGAGAGCCAGCTGGAGGAGGAAGCATGTAGAAACCTGCAGCGAATGACGCAAAGACCTGCAGTGCCAGATTAACCCTTAGGAAGGCGTAGAAAGTTAGATAGCTCTGGATCCATATCTCTTGGTTTTATAGGGACTTGGGGAAGTTTGCTGCATAGGGTGCAGTGGGAAATAAGCATGCAGGGGATGGCATTGTAACACTCAACCCCCCCCCCCGACCTATAGATCCACTCTCATAACACTAGAAACTGCAGGCACTCAATGAAGCTGAACATTGGAAGATGAAGGACCATGCACTGCACTTCACACAGTACATCGTTAAACTATGGAATTTGCTCCAACAGGAGGCAGTAATGGCCCCCAGTTTGGATGGCTTTGTTAGAGGATTGGACAAATTCGTGGAGGGCAAGGCTATCTAGCCATGGTTGCTATTTTCTGCCTCTGCTGTCAGAGGCACCATGACTCTGAATACCAGTTCCTGGGACCCACAGGTGGGCAGGCTGCTCATGTTCTGGCTTGCAGGCTTCCCTTGTGTGTCTGGTTGGCCACCATGAGAACAGGATGCTGGACAAGGTGGGCCATGGGCCACTGGCCCGATCCAGCAGACTCGTCTTACATTCTGATGGTTCTTGCCCAGGTATTCCATTAAGGAAGCATCTATATTGATAATAGGTCCACTGGTGTGGGTGGGCAGTTGCTTATATTCTCTGTCCAGCGTTTTTTGCGCAAGACTGCAGGAAGATGCATGTTTGCACGTGAGAAATTGCTGCTTCCCTCCTCTGCCGCTTGCCTGAGGAATCCCACAGCTGCCCTGCTGATGGATGAGATGTCTAGGCAGATTGGGCAAGAGGTCTCAGCTTCTGAATGAGGCCATCTGACCCTCCCGTTGGCCACAGAATCGCCTGGGGGCAGGTAGTAAAAGAAACTCAGTGGCTGGCAGCTGCATTTCAACACAGAGTTAAGCATGCTTAAGGCCTCCGAAAATCAATCAGCTTGAGGGCACTTAACTCTGCATTGGATTACGGCCAGTTTATAGCATCCACACTGCATTTGAAGAGTGAAAGAATTTTTTAAATATTAATTCATAATTAAGTGTTTTGCCTGTTTGGGAAGAAGATTCCCAAAATATGACTCTAAATCCCCCCCAATTACTATTAATTCACTGCATCAGGGAATATCTCTTTGAGAAGCTTAAGTGTGTGTGAATGCAGGGCTTTGAATGATGTGGTTTGAGGCTCTGGGAATTAGCTCAGAACTAAGAAGTGTGTGAGAGAGGGAGAGGGAGCTTTTATTTCCCCTTTCTAGAAGCTCAGTGGGATTTATGAGCACATATTTCTAGGGAGCATCAGAGGGTTCTAATAACTGCTTGAAAACCTGATCCTCCTTGTCTGTGCCAATTCTTGTGTCTTCCCCAGGGTTCAGTGCCTCTGATGAGAACTCCTTGTTGGATGCTGTTGCGGTAGAAGAAGGTAAACTAGACAACTGTGATCTCTGCACTGTCATTACCGTGTGCTTGTGACTTTCCTGTATCTGATCACTGCTCTGACATCTTGTCGAGGTTCGGCCCTGATTCATACCACATGACTAAGAATTAGGCCACAGCAGCCAGCTAGACTTGCAAGACAGAGAAGAGAGTTAGTGAATGGATCTCATCTAAATTTTCAAAAGATTCAAGTACAAAGGTGACTGATAAGTGGGTCTTTTATGACTGTGGATATCTGCTAAATTCCACATCCTGTTTTGGTTTAATCTAGAGTGATAAGAGTCTGTGATAAGTGATTTGGTATATTTTGAATGATATAGCCTAAACCAGTGGTTATTCATGCTTTTTAAAAAATCTATTATTAGCTATCTTACTTGCCTTTTACTATAAGGTGCCAGGGTAGACTACAGCAATAAAATAAACAGTTTTGAAACAAGCAAAATAGTCACAACTATAAAACAAGAAAAGTGTAAAACAGTTAAAAACAGTTCCGTACATAAAACAATTACAAACAATTCCACATATGAAAACTGTTAAAAGTAGTTCCAGTATAGATGCAGTTTGGGATGAAGTCCTCCATTTAAATGGCTTGTTGGAACTGGAAAGTCTTCACAGGTGCTGAAAACACAACAGAGGGAATTCCAAGGGGCAGATTCCAGCACGCTAAAGGCCCGATTCCTGTATTGTGCAGGGTTGACCCCATTACAATTGGTATTTGCAGGAGGCCCTCACCTGCAGAGTGCAGTGATTGAGTGGGTTTGTAAGGGGTGAGATGATATTTTAGGTACCCTGGTCCCAAGATGCATGGGGACCAGTTCCAGCACCTTGAATGTAACTCAGTAGATAATGCTACCATCCAGGTTTTAGCGTTGGAATGCTGCAGTTCTTTCCTTTTCCTTTTCTGAAGAATCCCAGGTGCTGAGCGCCCATCTTCCGCCAATGCTCACAGCTTCAGCTCGCCTCCAACCCCCGCCTGGTTCTTCGGCTCAGCCTCTGCGTTCTGCGCTACTAGAAGGGCAAACCCACTACCAAGCCACTGACGCGGAGTGCTCTCCCATCCAAAACAGCCCATGGAAAGAGACCAGTCTGGACAAGCCCTATGAAAAGCCAAAGAAATCCACTGAGCCCAGCAGTGTGCCAAGGTCAAGACCTTTCTTCTCTCGCTCTTCTTTGGATATGCTTGCGTGGTCTTGAGATCAGCCTCTGTTAATGTTTGTTTGCATGCATGTAATATGGAAGCTACTGTAGAGTCTGTCCGTTACTTCATTTTAAGAACAATAAGCACTGTATTGTTTTGCTGCTTTATTGTGATTGTGCAATGTTTCCATTTTTTTATTTCCACAAATCCACCTTAAAGTTGCTTAATTTAATAACATGAAGTGAAATTGCATGTAAATCCCAGCCAATATAGGCTTCACAATTGCATTGGGGAAAGTGTCCTTTGAGAACCACTGACCTAGAAACTTAGTAGTCCAATCAACTAAGCCAGAACAGCGGGTTTTGTGGACCCACTTGAGTCTTGCTTTCTCTTTTTACTCCTGTTTTTCACTCTTAGGGGAGATGAAAGGGAGGGGGATTTGACCCCTGACCAGAGCCTCTCACTCCTTTGCACACAAAGAAAGATGACAGGACTGCAGGCAGTTTCTTACTTGATGTTCTTATTGTGTTCTGTTACAGCAGTCCAGGCCTGCTGTCTCAACCATCACCCAGCCGTACCCCTCAGACAACTGCTGAGGCATCGCCATGCCACTTTGTTCCTCCCAGGAAGCTGGAAGTAAGGAAACAGGCTGGTTCCAGTGCCCCACAGACACCTGAGTTCCTGGGAAGGAGAGGACAACCTCAACTCATGAGGTACTCTATGGACTTAGGGTCAATTCACGTACTCAAGCAGGTGGCCCTGCCTGTTGTTACCTAATCACTCTTTGAAGTTTGAACATGTCAGATACCTTGGGATGAGGCTATATGTACGTTGTGCTTCTATTATCAGGCCTCACAAATGCAAAATTTAAAATTCAGCGTTTTGGGAATCTCAGCTCTCGGTTATTTTTGTTGTTATTATTATTATTATTATTTTGCAAAAAGGGTTTTCTAGTCCTCCTAGCTATGAAAATAGGCTTGAAGGCAAATGAGCAATTTTTGGGAATATGTTGGAAGCTAGAGGAAGGGCAAACAGGATTTCCAGCAGTTAAGGGTTGGGGCTTCAGTGCCCTGCATTTTTTCATGACCCTCCTTTTTCCAATTGCATGCAGAATAAACTATACAAAGGAAGCATATAATAATGCAAAGTAGCTCTAAGGAGATTGCTGTGGCAGTGTAAGCATTTCTCCTTTCTCCTCCCCACATCTGACATAATGTTCTTGGAGTTCTCCTGGCAATTCCTAGAGTGGTTTAACCAGTGCTGTTTTTTCTAAACTGCTCCCTTGTTCTCTTGTAATGGCAATGGCGCCCACCTGAGAGGTGCCATCACTGAGTTCCGGATGAAAAAAGCCCTGGATTTAACAATCAATCCTTCCTTGTAGGGAACTCTAAGAACTGTAGGTGTGTGAGGGGAAGGGGGCCTCCTAACGACTCTCAGTGCCCTGAATGAACTACACCTCCCATAATCCTTAGGGGGAAGTGCTTCAAAGGTGTTAAGGTGGCCATTGCGAGCTCCTGATAGATGGTCTTAACTCTCTCCTTCTGGCCTCCAGGGTGTGTTCATCCCGGGAAGGCTTCGAGTCCCGTGGAAGAAGCGCATTGCCAAGGCGGCGTCCCACCTACTACACTGTCACCGTCCCCGAGTACTGCTTCTCTGTGCCCAAGGCCAACCCAGCCGCCAAGCCCACCTACCACTCCGCCTCAGAAGACAGCAATTCGGATGTCTCCAGCATCTCCTATACCACCTCTGCCGGTAGCAGCAGCCCCGACATCTCCTTCCTCAAGCCAAGCTCCTCGGTCCCCGTGGAGGAGCCCCTGCAGCCGTTTCAGAACCAGACCTCCAAGGGGAATGGACCCGAATACCACTGCCAGTGTCCTCAGAAGCTGCTCTCACCGCTGGGCTACTTCTCTGCCGTAGAATATGACAACCACCTGCCGGCTGGGCGGGAGCTCGGCCACAGCCGGCCGCCCTTCCTGTCTGTAAGCTCCGCCCATTTTGCCTACAAGGAAGAGGCGGTGCCTGTGCGGTTCCACCGGTCGGTTGTTTCTCACAGCAGGGTGGTGCGCACCCCATCTCTGAAGGACTGCTCCCCAATGGGGCCCCGAGTCCTCTCCAAGTCGACCGTGACAGAAGAGCTAAAATCGTGGCACGAACGGACTCGGCTGCGTAATGCGCGGCCACATTCCCTGGACAGACAAGGGGCCTTTCGCATGCGCAGCGGGCCCGGCCGAGAGTTGCGCCCCTCCTGTTCCATGGGGCAGCAAATTCAGGTGAGGATCTTTGGGCAGGAAGGTGTCTTGGGGAGAGAGGAGCCAGCCTCTTATTTACTGTTTCGGCAAGAGTTTCCTCAATATTCCAGCTAGACCTGATTAAGGAGAACATGCTAATGTGCCATGTTCATAGATAAGCTCATTTTCTATAAACAAATTAGTGCAGAAGCCTCTTAACGGGTGTGGGGAATCTGGAATCTGCAGCCCCCAGATGTTACTGGGACTCCAACTCCCATCAGCCCCAGCCAGCAGGGCTAATAGTCAGCATGATGGATCTTGTAGCTCTCCAGATGTTGCTAGACTACAGGTTTCCATTCCTACTTTACCGGCTGTTAGTATCTGGGCACACAAGGAATTGAAAGCTCTGTGTGTGCGCCCATGTGAATAGGAAAAATAGAGGAAGGCTTTCATGAGTACTAGCAGATCTGTAGAAGCATGCTATAGTGCTGCCTCCTGTAAGATGAAGGCAGGTGCCTCTCAGGTGCGATTCACTTCACTGCTCAGGTTGTTATGTTTCTTTTCAGTTTTTTGCGGCCTGCTATGGCTACCAAAATGTCGACTGTCTTACATATTCATGGGCAAAAGCTGCTGTTTTGGCACACCACCAGAATGTGTGTTGGTGGAAGCAGTATTCGCTCATGGCAACCAAGAAACATGGCCGGCTCTCCGTGAGTTAGAGAGCCATCCACAGGCTCAGGGAAAAGCAGATTCCACAGACTGCTGTCGCCTCACAAAGGCGCACTGCACTGCTGGGCCTTTTTATAGCTTAAGGGCTTGGGGGGGCAGCACTGGAGAAACATACACAGCTAGTGGGTTTGGCTGCTTCTTTTGTGCTATTTTCTAGCAGTGTTGTGAAAAGCTTTTTTATTATTATTTTAAAAGTGCATTTACAGGTCCACTGAAAGCACTATGCTTTGGAACAGACATTTGGCACAGCCCTACGACTAATTAGAAGTTAAGCACAAATGCATGCAACACTACCACAAATTCAATTTAAAGTAATAAGATAGTGCTTTGGGATGGATTGGGATGGGGACTTGAGAACGGTAGATCATGGGAGGGGTGCCTAAGCCTTTTCCCAAGGGCCATTCAGCTGCTTAAAATCACCACCCCAGTTTCAGATGTTTGTTTGCACTGAGAGCTGTTTGAGTGTTCCAAATTACTCATGAAGAGGAGTCTTCTGGCTCAGAGCCTGTAAGAGTTGACTCATGTTTGTGGCAGAGGGGAAATTTCCAAGTTCTCTGCCCAGGTAATTTTAAAAATAATAGAGTTGGATCCAGTGTTAATCCTACTCAGGAGTAGACCCATTGAAGTTACTGGACAAGACTAACAGGCTCCTTAATGGCGGTAGGTCAACTCTAAGTAGGACTAGCACTGAATACAACACATTAAGTAGTATCCACTTCCTTGAACCTCAGTAAAGTCCAGTAGTCCTTAAGCTTGTTCTAGTTCTTGGTTCTGAAAGTGAGATGAGCGCCGCATCCCATAGTCGCCTTTGACTGGACTTAACTGTCCACGGGTCCTTTACTGTATTTTTTACTGTATGCTTGTTGGGCAGTTTGTTAGATAGGAAAAGGTTATGTTGCTGCTCCTTTGTTCTGATGGTTGGTGACAACGGCATTGCCTTCTGGCAACTCTGCATGCTGTTCCTTGAGAAACATAGTCAGTGAGAGAAATTCAGAAAGATACGAATCCTGGTTTGGGGGTGGTGGTTCCGCTTGGAGAATTATGTTCTTTCGATGTGCAAAACTGTTGCACAATGAAGCACAGTTCTCTCCTCCTTGGGCATCTCCCTCGCCTGCAGCACAGGGCAGAAGCCCACAACCATGCGAGCAAGAGCTTGCCCTTGGCTTCCTCCCATCCTCTTCAATGCATGCCTCCCCTCACCTGGAAACAGAGCTGTGAAATTTTAATCAGACAACTCTTTGCTGTGCTAGGAAGCATTCGCATGAGCAAGAGAAGACAGCGGCCATAGATTGCACGTTACGTGTTTGTCTAATCCATCTTCAGCACAAGGAAACCACCCAACAACGCAGCATCAAATAAATCCCTGGCAATTCTATGCCCATCAGTTGGGGCACATGTGCAGTTTCAGGTAGTTTTATTTGTGAGTCCTAGAGGCCAGTTACGCTGTTTCAAAACCTCCTTTGGCCAGTTCATTTAAATCTGTGGTCCCCATTCAAGAGATAGGGGAGCTTTACTCACCTAAAAGGAGGAGCCATGAGGACAATCTCCTTGTATAAGCATCGGTTGAAATAGACTCCAGTCCACAAAAGCTCCTTACTTTATTAAGTCTTTAAGATGCCAGTTTGCTGCAACAGACTAAAATAGCCACCCCTCTGAGAGTGAGCTCACACTTCACGTTTGCAAGTGGGTTCTCCTCTGGACATGCCTGTGAATAATGGGTAGAAACCGTGGAAGCTTCACGTTGATTAATAGTTAGAAGCTGTTTTGGTTTTGCACCCATGCATGGCAATATAAATATAAGAAGCTGCTTTGTAGTCAGTTAGACCATCTTATGCCAATATTGCTACTTTTAAGAGCCTCTTTTAGTCCTTCTTAATGCATAAAGCTATGGCAAGCTTTGTTTATTTGCCTGCAGGGGCTCAGCTTTTTCCGTGTATTCTTTAGGATGCTCTAGACACCTAGTTGTTTTACAGCAGGGATGGGGAGCTTGTGGTCTTCCATTTGTTGATGGACTACAAGGCCCATCATCTCTGATCCTTGGCCATGCCAGCTGGGGCTGCTGGGAGTCCCAGCCTCTTTGGAAGGGCCACAGGTGCCGCAGCCCTGTTGAAAAGTGCCAGAGCACCACCTTTCCATGACTCTCTATGTGGTGGGTCCTCTAGTCCAACCCCCAAAGGTGAAAGCATGAATGGTAACCATGGCTGGAAAACATCACAGCATTTTAAAGACACTTAATTTAATGGCACTGAATGGAAAGAATAGGAAAGATTGCCCTGGAAACTTTATTTTTACACTGCGCTTAATGGTGGGGGAGGAATTGATTTTATAGGCATGGAGAAACATAATGGGCCACATTTTCCTGAGGCAATCAAGATAGGAAGTGACCATCAGCTGCAACAAATGCGTTTATGTTTGATGAAGGAAACTGTATTTGGTGGTGGTGGGGTTGCTGCTACTGGGGAGATGTGCTGGTGCGGCAGTTCCATTAAGAGGCTCCTTTTTTTAACCTTCCAGGTTCCCCGTGTCCATATCCTGAAACGGTCTCCTGAGGGAGCCCCTGTGCAGGTCTACGTGCCAGAAAATGGAGAAATCATTACTCAGGTGTAGAGACTGCTGAATCACCGTGACTTCCTGCAATTCGGCAATGTCAGCAGGCTGGCTGCCTAGACCGACCTGTCTCCCCATTCCAGGTTGGAAAGACGAGGCTTGTGTCAAACTTTGTTGCGTTCTTCGACCATCTGATCCTGCTTTATTAAAGAGAACACTTTAGGGACTATTCTGCAACCTATGTGAGACTATATAGCTCAGTCTCTTCCTTTGTTCCTGTGATGAACTGATGCAATAGACTACTGTAACAGACAGCTAGGTTTTCTGTCCAGTGCGGAATACAGAGCACAGCAAGATCCCTCACCCCTCTTAACTAGTGTTTGCTTGTCTGCCTATTTATTCACGTCTGTCTGTGGTGGAAAGATCTTGGGAGCCGGCTGTAGGTTATGAAAGCAAGAACTTGAGAACTTTTTATAGCTTTTCAGAAAAGAGCCAAGCCTGACTACATGAATTTTCTTTCCCCCACGGAAGCAGAATCTGCCTGCCCTCACATGTGCTAGATGTGGAGCCTCTGTTGTCTTCTTTATTCTTGCATAAAGTAGTGTGATGTAGCAAACAGGCAATGGAGGCAAGCAAGCTTCCCCAAGTGTAGTTTGGTGTACATGCCCTTTCCCTATTGTTTTCCCTTCACAACTGCTTTTCACAGCATTTGCCATGTTCTTGGTTCTGTATCTACATCACAACGATTCTTAAAAGGAGCCCTTTTCATGTGTGGCTCTATCTTTGTATGAAACCCATCACTTCGTGGAAGGGGTTTCTCATTATACAAGCATGTCACAAGGAACTGAGAGTGACTCTGTTTGGTCTCAGCCCAGATCCTTTTCAACTTACAAGTCATGGCAAAAAAAAATGGGCATAAGCCTTCGTGCTTTTAAGGCTAGAAATGTCAGTTTTGAAAAAGAAAAGCAGATTCTCCGGATGCCAGGTTTGTACTTAATTTGTCATGCAATCCTAGACTGGACAAAGACAAGATGTTTTGCTTAACCTCTACTACTTTCTAAGTACCCGTCTCTCTTTAATACTGGTCTTTGCTTCTGGGGTAACCTAGGGATGTTAAAGCACTAATTATGGTATCATGATGATCAAGTGTGTGTGGTATTTGCAACCAACACTGTTCTTAATATTAACTTATTTGTACAAGGTTTGCCAGTGGAGGGAGAGGGAATATGTATGATGTGCAACTATTAAAGTTACCTGGACTCAGCTCAAAACAGTGTTAAATCTACCTGAACATTTTTATATTGAACAGGATGCTTTTTCTGAGTCCTTGTGTGTTCTAATCCTTGCAAGTCATCATTTGGGAATTGCCTCTGCTTTAATTACTTCTTTAGAAACAGTCAAAAACAATGTTTTGTTGTTGCCCCAAAGTGTGCTGTTAATTAAGTACAGAAAAGGCAAAAAGCCAGGTCATGAAGATACAGTTATCAGATGACACTTAAATTCTGGCCAGGCTTGTTGCTTCTGGGTTTGTTTGTTTTTAACCTCCTAGATCAGAGCCACTTGCTCATACCTATATCAATATCCATTTCCTCATCAGCTCAGTCTTCGTACCACTGAAAGAGCCTTTTGAACTTACACTTAATGGCCTGTTTTATTTTTATTAAAAATAATTATTCTCAGATCTTGTTTTGATGTTTATTTATTAAGAGGAGGAACAAACACATTCATTGGAAAACCATGTACAGCGGGAGCTTTAAATAACTTACACTATTTACATAGCGGTATAAAATAATTACACACCTTATCATGTACACACGCACACACACATACATACGTGTGACCATTTTGCCTGATGGTACAAAACCCCCAAAGAAGCCCTGAACACACACGCCAGCCTTGAGGGGGAGAAAACACCTTTCAGGGCAAGAAAAGGCACCTGTCAATTGAAACATGATTATATATGTATACATAAACCAAGAGGTGGAGCAAACGGGCCTATGGTGTTGATGCACTTTAGGGGGCGTCTTTCACCCCGGCTCCTTTCTTGGAATGCAGGGATGGTGCATGTTATCCTACCACCAGGAGCAAAGCCTTAAGAACACCAGGAGAACCTGGCAGAGATTTTCCCAGGGCTGCTAGATGAATCAAGCAGGTTGTGCAAACCCACTTTTGAATCTCGTTAATGACAGTGTCCTCTTAATGAACATGCACATTTACTCCCAAGGGCTACTCAAAGCAGACGATGTTTTCAGCTTGCTTATTCTGACCCTTCCCACCTTGTGCTTCACGTAACTGTTCATAGGAGGTAAAATGGCTCTCCTGGTTTGCACCCAATTTCATTTGCAGGGTTTTGCACTTTGTCACGTTGCTTGGATCAGGACTATTAAAAAATAAAGAGAAGGGGGTAGCTTCTTCAATATGAGAAAATATAATCCCATACCTAAAAAGCTAGCAATAGCACTGAGGCACATGGGACTATATGGCAATATGGTCAATAATTTAACAGTTAAGCAGAGTGCTGTCAGGCACAGTGCTTTCAGGTATATCAAGTAATACTTTACAAGACATTTCATATTTCTTGTACTAAACAGACTTCCTCCAAGGAAGAATGGAGGAAGTTTTAGGTGAACTGTGTGCAGCTAATTCACAATGTATTCCTAGAATATATTTTTTTACAGGCAACTACATTCACAGGTGGACTACAAGCTTCTGAAAATATCGGACAAGATAGCTCGTGTAGCCATGTGAAGGCGTGAGGATTGTGCTGATTTCATTACCGATGGAAGATGGTCCCTCTTCCAAGGCTTGAATCACTTGGACCTCTCTGTTCTTCTCAGTTGAGAATGCTAAGTCACGAGAAGACTGCAAAGGACACAGTGATTCAATAAATATCAGTCTTAACATTTAAGAAGAGCTTATTAAAATTGGTGCTGCTGGTGGACACAGTACAAGCTGTGAGCTTGAATGTAAATCAGTCAACAGCGAAGGCAAAGCACACTTGCTTTCACCTTGTCTTCATCTCACTTTTGGGACTTAGGGGTCAGTGGTAATGTGCGTTCCCCAGACTAATTCAAGTTTTATTAACATAAAACCCCCCCGAAGAGTAGAACTAGACACCTTGGACCATGAGGTAGGTTAACTCAAAACAAGCCCTCACCCTTTTTTAATTTCACTCATGCGCGTGCACATACACACAACCCTCTCCCTCCTGCTCCCCCAGCCCCAAATAATGCACAAGACAATACACAGAACCTTTTGAACACCCATACAGAATTACAGTACAATAACCTACTCCCAATGGAAGAATCTGCAGCTTCACTGCATGGAGTGGATGAAGTTCACACCCAAACCCAGTTTATTAGAGCAGAAGACTCCTATAAACCAGGGGGCAGAGCTGTGGAATGGTCCACCAGTGTGCTGCTTACCCCAAGTCTGCTGGTTGAGGCATGAACTTGGTCCTTGGTCCTTGGTCAAGAGAGCACAATGCATGTCAAAAGTCCATTTATACCACATATTAACAACCAAGTGAGGAAACGAAGGTTTTGAGGAGTGCTCTGCGACTCTCCAGTGAGGGCTGGGACAGCCCTGCTGTGTTACACACAAACAGAAAGCTTCATCTCTTGCAAAGTGATGCTCACACAGGGTCCATGAGAACACTTAAGTGGGTTGAAACTCCACCAGTGAAAATTCAAGTTGATTGAAGCACAGAGAGAGAAGCTTCTCCTGCTTATTCGTTGCAGAGTCTATTATAAAGACATGAGTATTGACGTGAACGGATGCCAAGCAGGTGTAAGTAAACAGGTGATGGGGCAAGACTATGAGGGCAAGTCTCATCATCCCACATCTGGGGAAATGTGAATACAGGAACGCATCACCACACGCTTGTTCAAGTGTTTCTTACCCTGTTAAAAATCTAAAGAAAAAACTCACACATTTCTGTTCCAATACTTAAAAGGGTCCTTTCTCCACCTGAGGGGAGAGAGTTTCTGTTGCCATTATTATTTTCTCGTATTGGAACAGGACAATGTAAACAGCTTCACAGATTGAAATAATGCATGTTTTCCCCCAGGCTGCCTGTGAAGACTTTCCCAGGGAGAATCCAAAAACATATTCCAGTAGCTCACATCTTTTTTTTCCCCTCCTGGGATATCTAGCACTATGAAAAAAGGGACCAGCATTACAATTTCAAGTCTGAAGCTGGAACACAGAAAGCAACCATTCTTCCAAACTAACAGAAATCTTGATTCCACAGTTGAAGAAAAAGTGATAATCCAAATCCCATATTATCCATCACCCATTTGACAGGCCTCACTTATACAGTAGAGATTTTTCTTTTTTATGTTCTCTTGGTAGGGCTCTAAGCATTTGAAAATGAAAACCTTTGGTGATTCTACTTTTGGAGTGAAAACTGAGAAATATCACATGTGCTTAACATTTAAAAAAAGGTGGCTAACTTTGCCACCCACCCTTCCCCCCTTCATAAAATCACACACACACACATACACACAGCCCATCAGTGGTGGAAATAAGAGAAAGGAAGCCAGCGCATTAACACTCATGAAAGATCTAACTAGAACAAGAAATACCCTCTAAAACACAACAATCAACTATGCAGGAAACACATCCAGGAAGCAGCTGGCATATTTAGATTTCCTCTGGTCAGTTTCACTGTTAAGCTCTGAAGGAATGCCATAAGCAGGGCACAGGCGGCCATAGGAGTCGATGGGTATGGATTGCTCAGGCGTGATGGAGTGAGGAATGAGGTTTCTTGAATCTTTCCTTGATAAACCTCCTTGGTCTATGAACACCTAAAACCACCTATTTTGCAGAGCTTCTCACATAGCCTGGGGGGGGTGTGCCTGTTTGGGTGGCATGTGGATTCTGATGGGAGAAATGCTCTCAAATGCCTCAGCTTGACCTTCCTCCTTGGCTGGCAATGCCATGGTGGGAGTTTCACAGTTCAGTGTCATTGCAAAATCCTACCAAGCAAAGAGACATGGAGCATGGAAACTGGAAAGGAAAGAAGGCTCCCTCACACCATCCAACCAACTCACTCACTGGGGCACATGGTACCAAAAAGCCAGGGTGCCATCTTTTCCTGAAGCCCTGAGTGTGTGAGATTCTGGTGGGAAGCTAAGCACGTCCTACCCTTGCAAGCCAGGCTCAACAAGAGCGCCACATCTTGTCTTCTCGTGACCTCCACCACAGTCACCATGTCCAAGTAGTTCCCCAGGTTCTATCTAAGTTGTGCTGTTCAGTAGCTTCCTTGCACTCCAGAGTTTCACTGTCCAGTCACTGGGGAATGAAGAGGAAAAGGTGGGAATATACATTTAGAAAGTCGAGAACAAAACACCGAACAAGCTCAGATAAAGGGAAAACGGAGGTGCAAATCACAGATTACATAAATAACATGCTTGTAAAAAGTGTGCTTAGTAGATAGGTGACTTTTATTTTGAAGGAAAGGCAGCCACATGGGCTCCCAATCTGGACCACACTCCTTAATCTGGGCACTGTGCTGATTTCCCACCCAAAATCCTTCCCCTCCTGCCTTTCACTCTCTTGCAATGCCCAAGGACACCATGAAGGCACATGGGCTACTCCAGAACAAATGCCCTGTTTAAAGCAAGAGAGAAAGAATTCAAACACCTTCACTTACTGCAAAACCAGAATTCAAATTGGGACCTGCCTTGGGGGTTGTAGTCCCCCACCCCCTACATGACCCCATTGACATTTACACAAACAAAACACACACATACACACAATTTTATTTGTATGCCACCTTTCCACAGTTCAAACCATGCTCAACGTGGCTTACAAGATGAAAGGAAATGCGTAACTGCAACATAACAAAATTAGTCATAAACAATAAATAAAACATTAAAAAACACACAATCAAACTGAACAATTTCCACATAAATCACGCCAACCCTAAACATAGTTTATTAGAGGTTAGCTTCATTGATTTCAGTGGGACAGGCTTCCAAGTGAAGCATGCAGCCTTAATAGTGCAACCAAGCAGGCATGTCAAGGAGGAAAGTGAGATGGGGTGGTTTTTTTTGCATGCCCACTTTGGAGGTGAACTGGGAAGTAATGTCTCCCGTGGAAAACACCTCCACTTACTGCCCTAAAGGGAAAGAAAAGCAAGTAAGCATTGCATACCGTTAAGAAGCAGCTGAGATCAGCTCGCAGAGAAAGGGGTTAGGGACGAGAAAGAGGGGAAGGGGGAACACAGCAAGAAAAAGTGAGCAGGAGAGTAGAGAAGACAGGAGGAGGGTCAAGGCAGACTGGTAGCACGGCCCTTGATGGCAAGGACGCGTCGTGGAAGGCAGGGGGTGAGCCCAGGCACGTAATTCCATAACTTTACCCGGCAGTCACTGTGGCACATAGAAACAGAGAGAGAGAAGAGAGACAGAGAGAGGAAGAGAGAAAAGGAAAAAAGAAACATGGTCGGAAAAGAGGAGATTAGAGACTCCAAAGGGGAAGAGAGTGAGTGGTGGGGCCTGCGTTGCCCTCCCTGGGGAAGCCCTCTTGCCAAGTCTTTGGCCCTTGCTCTGCCAGAATCTCCATGGGACCGTGATGGGTTACCAAGAGCCCCCGCGGCTCAGTTCAGTTCGTGACTGCTGGGACAAACCAGCTTGTTGTGCCTCAGTTGAGGAGCTATGTCCTTAGGTGCTAATCATTGGCTTCTACAGGAAGGCACCCTTTCATAAGGGGCAGTGCCAGAAATCAACCTTAGCTACAAACAAGGAAGCACCATGCAGAATCTCACTGGAGATGTGATGAGGAAGAGGTGAACTAAAGAACCATGAAAAAGCCGTCCCTTGGTCTCAAGGATGCACAGTAAGCGACTCTGGGAGATCGGTGTTGAGATGGACACCACTGCACTATGGCTCTGTGAGCACGGCAGCCACAGAAGCAATGGCTTCCTCTGGCTCCTCCGTCAACCAGGTGCTTGGGCCTGTAACCAGTTCATGTCTGGTGGCACCTCATTTTCCTGAGCAGCTTGACTACACATGATGGGATGCAGCGGGCAAAGAGTTCATGGTAAAGAGAAGCCCTTGCCCTCAACACTCACCTGGAAGCTGTGAATATGTGCTTAGAATTGGTGCAGATGGCATTGATGGGGCTGTCGTGCCCCTTGATGTCCCCAACGGGGGTGAAGTTATCGACATTCCAGACCTTCACTGTCCCACCACGGCAGGCACTCAGCAGCATGGGCCGGCTAGGCACAAAGGCCAACGCACAAACCCAGTCTTTGTGTGCGTTTGGGATTTGCTAGAAACAGGAGTCACAATGAGCTGAGTTAGCAAGGGCCTGTTGCCACACCCCAAAAACGTTTCCACCCACGGATTTCTGAATGAGATGACTTGGGAGTTAAAACAAAGCCCAAGGGAGTGGACTAGATACTAAAGAAGAACTGGAATAACACTGCCATTCATTGTAGGTGTTGGTTGTGCCATAAAAATAATGCCACCATGCCATTAATTTGTCCTGAAGGTTATGGCACAGTGGCAGCTAAAACCCAATTGGCCCACACACCAATCTTGCAAATGCAGGGAAATTCTTTCATTGGGCTTGTTCCTAATAATGCAAACAGTCTTAAAATGAGGACACCTAGCTGACACACCTCAGAAACCTGAACAAATGTTTGCAGATCAATATCACCACCTGAAATTGAGGCTAAATTTGAAATGGGGAACTGGCTATGCAAAAGCAAGGCCACACACTTGAAAACTGTGAACACTGCAGCAACAAGAGGAGAATTCTGCATGAGCAGGGCCAACCCTTTCAACAGGGATTCCAATCCTTAACTAAGCCAAGACAACTTCCTTTCTTTGATTCTTATGTGACACATTTGGCGAAGACGGAAGTTACTGGATTGCACTCAGAATGGCTGTTGGCTTGGCCTTCCCATGGCTCTTGCCAATGGCCACCCATTATAAGATCCACACAGAGGCTAAGAAGATTAGGATAACACCAGAGGTACTTGTCCTCTATAAGCAATCTTATCCATTTGCACCAAAGGGCATAGATCAGCAGTGGAATATCTGTGGCTTGCTTGATGTTTTTAGACCCCCAACTCCCATTGGCACCAGTCAGCATGGCCAATGGCTAGGGATTATGGGAGTTGCCCCAAGCTCCCCAAACTTGGCACACACATGCCTTGGGACTAATTGTGCTTGTTACCAGTAGTAAACTAGATAACCAAGTCAAGGACCACTAAATAGCTAGAATAATAAATAATACGACACGTAGGCAATAAATAAGACCCCCAACAAGACTTTGAGGGCCAATGTTGTTTGACTGTTGGGAAAATATACAATGGAAATATTAACTTTTTAAAGGAAGATAGTAGGATTCTTTTACAGCTGCTTTCCCTAATCTGGTAGCTCTAAACATCTGGAGAACACCAGGTTCTACTAGATACTGCTAGCAAGTCAGTGTTCCAAGAGATTTGGTCCTTGCTCACCCTCTCTCTAGAACAGGCATAGGCAAACTCTGGCCCTCCAGATGTTTGGGACTACAATTCCCATCATCCCTGACCACTGGTCCTGTTAGCTAGGGATGATGGGAATTGTAGTCCCAAACATCTGGAGGGCCAAAGTTTGCCTATGCCTGTTCTAGCATAACCACCCTGCTTTTTCGAAGAGGCTTATTGAGCTCAATACAATCATGGCTGGTACGCATATGCAGAGGCCATACTTGCTGCAAATAAATTTAATGTGTATGGGGTACGTGCACTATCTGAATTTCAGCATCTAAAATTTCCACTGGCCTCATGGTCCACCCTCTTCAGGGATGTCAGCATGGGGCCTTCTTACCCCTGCACTACAGGAGGAATTTATGCACCAACTGTATATTGACACCCTCAGCATAATTCACACCACACAAATGGTATACCGCCTCTGTCTTTGAAAACCCAGCATCCTTCATACCTGGATGAGCTCCTGCTGGTCCAGGTCCCATTTCTTGATTCCGTTGTCCCTGGAGCCGCTGAAGAGAACATCTCCCTGAATAGCTAGGCACTCAATGCCATCATAATGTGGGGGTTCAAAGTTGTGAGTGGGGCCGATGTTCCCAACAACGCCTTCTGCAATCTCGAACATCTGCAAAATGAGAAGTGGCAAAATAAGAATCCACAGCCCAGGTTCAATCTGCAGTTAACCCTGGGCTCAGTGTTCCCCACTTTCAGAAAAGTAGGCATTGTGCTAGATAGTCCTATAGCTTTCCCTGCTCCAGAGTAACTCTTAAAAATAAGGGAATGGATTCAACCAATGAGTCTTTCTAGTGGAAGGCTGTGCAATGACTTCTACTGGTGAAACAGGGCTTTTCTCCCCCTTCTCCGCCCATGCACCCCACCCAATTTACTTTATTGGGGAGAATAGCCCCCGGAATGGCATATGGTGGGAGGAGAGGAGAACTCATTCCCTCTATCAAGCTGAAATCCTTGCACTGATGGAACAACTGACATAGCGCTACTCTGAATTCTTCCCTAAGTGTGTTTGGTTATGTGGAACAAAATGTCTGGAAACTGAAGCGTGTATTGGGGGGGGGGGGAAGGGTTTGGGCCTTGAGTATTTTGTAGGGCTCTGTAAATACAAGAGACACAGTTGGGCTGCTAAAGGGGGGGGGGGAGACTAAGGATGCTGCCAACAGTGAACTCAGCAAAATGTAATTATTATGTCCAATACCTTGACATAGTGATCTTTAGATCCCGTGATGACTAGGTCATGGTTGCTTGCAGTCCTGTTCACCGTGAGACACATCACTGGCCCAATATGGCCTGTCAGCTTCCCAATGGGCTGCAACCTAATCAAAAAAGCGGAAAGGGTAGTGTTGAGAAATTAACAGCAGGAACACCCCCCCCCAGGCTAAATGCTCCCCAAGTAATGCCCAAATACTAAATGTTGAGTTTCAAGTTCTTCAGTGTGAGTAATTGAGGAGTTTGGGTCATGGCAACAGTCTCTTGCCATTCTCTTCTGGGCATTTTTGCAGATTTCCAAACAGTTTGCAATTGTAGGCAGTTCACCCCCTCTCACCTGTTTAGCTCCCAGATGCGGACAGAATTGCCAGTGGCTGCATAGAGCATGGTGCCTGTGGGGTTAAGGGCAATTTGGTTGATCTGGTGCTCTCCTTGCACACTGGTGATGGTGCGGGTGGAGGTGCCAGCACAGGCATCCCCGGCAATCACCTGGCCTGATGAACTAATAGAGGGAGAGAAAGAGGAAAAGAGATATGAAGGGGAGTCTCACAGAAGCAGGAATGGAGTTCAGCTGCAGGGCAAGAAAGAGACTGCAGATTTGCCTTTGCCTTTCGGAGGAGGCTACTCAGACAAAAGCAGCTCCAAAATAAAGAGCAAGGAAAGGTTCAACTCCATGAGGGCCAGGAACGGCAATATGTTTTCAAACCCACAGATCACCTGGAAGGAATTATTCTTCAGAGGAACAGTTCTAGCAGATTGAAAGGAGAGCCTACTGAGGGTTTGTCACAGGATTAGACCTGGTGTGCCATTTTTTATTCTTAAGAATAGTCAGCGCAGGAGCTCCTTGACTGGGACTGTCCTGATGTGACTTTGCTATGTTCATCCTTGCACATTGCACAGTAGGACTAAGCATGTGACAAATGACATGCATAATTTGGCTTGCAGATGTTGGAGGAAGCAAGTTTGGTGGGTAGAGAGATGGCCCTGTGTCAGATGTCAAGGCAAAGGAGCTGTGCCCTGTGGAGCATTGCGTTCCACTGCAAAACAGGACATAGTAGACCAGCAAGCAGGTGAAGAGCACCTGCAGATACAATGCTATCCAAACATCAGCAATCAGAAGCAGCTTGTGGGATCTCACAGTTCACTTTCCCCTGCCTTATGGTGCAATGGATGATTTGGCACAATGTTGTGTGACCATGGATAGCAATGGCTTATGCTCTTAAAACCCACTTTGTTAAACCTTACAAGGCCACAAATGAAGCTTCGAAAAACTCAAAAGCAGCAAAACAGAAAACTGCCAAGCACTTACGTGAGAGTACGAATACACTTTGCAGAATCCCGGATGTCCCACACTTTGATGTAAGAGGTAGAGACTGTGAACACCAGGCCAGAGTGGTTACTGTACTTTATGGAAACCACATTGTTTGGGTGGCCTTTCAAGGAGGCAATTTCCTGGCCAGTCACCAAGTTCCACATTTTGCAACTCCGATCTTTGGAAAGAAGAGAGAACTTCAGTTGTGCCAGCAGTGCCCTATTTTCCCATCTGAGAGCAGAAACCACCACTCTCTCCTAAGCAACATATTTCTTCAGTGATTCTAAGATGTGACTGATATTTTAAAATGTGGACATACAGCAGATAATATGGAAAGCAGCTGGTTTTAATTCAAATTTGAAAGATTCAGCAGTTGCAGAAATTTCTTTTTTTTTTCTGGGGACAGCCATTGTCTTGTCTTTATAGTCATCCTTAACTTTTTTGCCTCCCACTGCACTTATCGGAAAGAGACATGACACTTGTTATGCCCATGTTTGTGAGCAGGCACACGCATGCTTGACTTGCCAAGGAAAATAGTGGGAGTGCAATATATCTATAGGGCACTTGTCACATGATACACCATACAGACTGAGCCTGCTCAAAACTGTCGCCATGCAGCGGCTACTCCACATGTGGAGCACTTTAATGTCACTGCTCTGCTTGCAGGGGCGGGGAGAATGGCTGTCCCAATTGCAGCCATGGGGGCAGCTTAGTTCCGTCAACCATGTCCCTGGGGTGATGCAGCTACATCATGACACAGAGTCCTTCAAACAGAGGTACTGGGGCAGGGGGGAAGGTTGCTGGGCAACTTGCTTCAGCAGCAAAACTAGGGGGAAAAGGGCGGGGAAGGCAATAGTATACTTTTTCTTCCACCATCCCGGAAAATGCTAAATTCCCCCCCCCCCCTTCTGAACATTGTTAGAAAAGCTGCAATTCGAACTTCTGGCTCAGTGTTCATTCATACCAGGCTTAAGCCACCAAAAGCAGCTCCTACCCCCTCTCTCAAACACACACCTTTGGATCCAGAGAACAACAATTCATCTGTAGCATCCAGGCACAGGACAGGCTTGGTGTGTCCTTCTGCCACAGAGATGCACTGCAGTGGAGCTGTCCGGGCACTCCTGGACCCTCCCACAGGATTGATAATGCCCCTTGCATGGGAGAAAAAGAGAAATGCTTTGAGAGACGGTTCCTGCAGCTGCAGCAATCAGGCATCCTTAGAGTAGCCGATCATGCACCTGGGAATCACACTGCTCAGGAGACACTGGCGTGCCAGAAGGACCAGACCCACATTAAGCTTAAAAAGGGGGGGGAAGGGGGGGGGAGCGACAGGCAGGCAAGCACATGCAGAATCAAGCTGAAGAGTATGTCACAAAGTTCTGGGCACAAACATCTTCAAGTTACAGGAAGGGTGAGATGCTCCATCATTGGTTATATACTGGTGTCAGTATTATGCTGAAAGCTGATCCACTCAAATGCTCTTCAAGTGTCTTTTCCCCAAGGGGCAACATAGGTAAGAGCAGGGCTACAGGACACATGTTTAGGCCCCTTTCCGAGCACAATTCAAAGTGCTGGTGCTGACCCTTAAAGCCTTAAACAGCATCGGCCCTGTATACCTGAAGGAGCATCTCCACCTCTAGCCTGGACACTGAGGTCCTCCTCCGAGGGTCTTCTGCTTCTTCCCTCATTGTGAAGCTTTAGGGGAAAAGGCAGAGGGCCTTCTTGGTAGTTGCGCCTGCCCTGTGGAATGCCCTTCCATCAGATGTCAAGGAAATAAACAGTGATTTGTCTTTTAGAAGACATCTGAAGGCCGCCCTGTATCAGGAAGATTTTAATGCTTGATGTTTAGTTGTGTTTTTATATTATGTTGGAAGCTGCCCGTAGTAGGTGGGGTGTAAATAAACTATTAGTTGTTGCTATATTAAAGCCAACTATTGTTTTGTGTATTCATAGAAATTCTTAATGGAATTGAAAACTGCAATGCACAACCCTGAGCTCCAGAATGTGTGTATTTACATACAGCTTTGAATGGAAACATAAGAAGCTACTTTATGCTATCTGTTGTTAGCCGCTCTGAGCCTGGCTTTGGCTGGGGAGGGCGGGATATAAATAAATAAATAAATAAATAATAATAATAATAATAATAATAATAATTATTATTATTATTATTATTATTAATCCATCCAGCTCAGAACATTGACTGAAAGTGGTTCTCCAGGGTTTCAGGCAGGAATATTTGCCAGCCTCGCCTGGAGATATCATTGAACATGGAACCTGATGCATGCAAAGCATCCATAGAGTGACAGCCCCTTCCTCATCAACAGCTCCATGTTACTGCATTGGCTGCTTTGTTTTTGAAAGATTATTTCAAATTTCAGCCTCCAACTCTCTTTGTGCAAGAGCAAGGTGCAACGTAACTAATATAGTTTTGTTACCACATGCCAAGAGAGGCACTGACCCTTTGTAAGTAACAAAAATCTCCTTTATTTTTTGCTCTGAAATGAACACATGGGTCCAAATGATTGTAATTATTTTAATAATCCAATTGGTCCCATCTAGCATCATGTCATGTTATTCTAGACCTATAATCTTTGTAACTTTGACAACTCAAACTCCTCTTCTCCAGAATGTCTCCATCTGAGTCGGGCATGAAATCGGTGCACCACCTTGTGGTCAACATGGAGACACTTCAAACCTTCCCAGCAACAAGCTTTGTAACAGCTCTGAAAGTTGGCAGCAGTTTCTTATTTGAATACATGGGATCACCAAGACACAAAGTTTAAAAAAGGAATGGAGCCCCTTCCCCAAAAATAAATCACATAAGAGTGAGTTAGAGGCTTGAACACGTCACACAAAACTTTTCTCCTAGATCAAAGTTGAGAAGCGGTAGTGTACAATACTGTTAAAATACATATCAAATATAGAAATGTAATGCAGTGAAAAAGTAGGGCAGAATTAAAGTGATAATATACTGAAACCAAGCTCCAGCTTGGGAGTACAAGTGAGTTTTTAAAAGATGCCTGATCAGCATCGATAGGGGCACTCACCTAAACTCAGAGGGAAAGTGGTTCTATAATAAGGGTGCCACTGCAGAAAAGGCCCTCCCGTTCTAATGGCCACTACCTGTATTTCAAAAGGCTGTAGCACAAGCACGAAGGCCTCATCAGACAAGTGTACTGATTATGCAGGGTAGCCTTTGCTGGGGCTGAAGGAAATGGTAGCCCTAAACACCAGGAGGACACTAGGTTGGCAAAGGCTGGTGGTAGGTCAACAGGGAGAAAAGGTGATTTCCTTGGGTATTCTAGTCCCAAGTTGTTCATGGATTTATGAGTCAATACCAAAATCTTAAACTTGGTCCAGTAGTTTATTGCCATTTTCAAAAAGTACGCACTCTTGGTTATTAGGACAGAAATAAACATAACAGATTACATTTCCCTTACACGTGTGCACCCCTCCATCTTCAGTGGGGTTGGCTAACGTCTTGAAAGTTTATTTTACACCCAGAAATAAGGGAAAGGCATTGCCGCTTGCTGGAGTACCGCTTTAACACGAAATCCAGTGACCAGAATCAGCATTCAGGACCTCCTATGTATTCACAGTATGAGGCTGGACGCCATTATGCAAATTTAAAAACTACCATCCATCCATTTTAGCAACTGTGGCAAAAATAACTCGCCCCGGATAAAAAGAAAACAGGGGCTGGACTTCTGGGCTGTAGTGGCAGATGGAAAAGACATGGGGTGCTCCCATAGGCTTCATGAGAGCAGGACTGCCAAGAACTGGAAGCAAATGGGAAGTGTGGGGGAGGCAGGGAGCTGTGCCTGAAGGGATGGAAATGTTCTCAACTCAAATGACTCCAAGACTCTGAGCCTGAAGGGGAGCTGCCTGGACATTTCCCGATATTCTCTCCACCACGAGGCCTAGAAACTACTCAAAAGCCACATTCGTGAAATCATGGCGCAATTACGACACATGCAAATGGTTAGCTCCTAACTCCAGGTTATAGACATGCACTACCTGCAGGTGTATGCTTGGTCCATTCCAAACAAAAACATGCCACAGGATGGCGTCTATTAAGTGCTGGGGGAAAGAGACTTGAGATTTTCAGATACACGTGCGTGTTGGTGGATTAACCGCAGGATGTGTCCTAGTGAAGCATGCTGAGTGGGGTGAGCCCTACTGTTTCAGTTAACATAGGAAGGGGTTCCAATGGAGCACTCTAATCAGCTGGGAAGGCAAATCTACCAGCAAGTAGAAGCAGCACAAGGAAAGAAACATCACACCGGGTTCAGTTACAAGCAGGTTTCAAATGCAGGGAGGGGGAAAGAATGAGAAAAGAGGAAAGCAAGAAGAGTTATATAATAAATAGTAAGTTTTATACCTCAGCACCTCCGAGACAGAGGAGTCACTGTCATCAGACCTAGGGACAGAAAATTAGCAGGATTATGGGTAATTAAAACCAGGAGAAGGAAAAGCAGCAGCATAGTCAGAAAAGGAAGGGTTGTTATTGCATCCAAGCTAGCAGGGCGGGCAGACATAGGAGAGCAGACCACAGACAGAAGGGATCAGGAACAGGGGGTGGGTGGGTGCGTAGCAGAAACCATCATGAGTTTTTAACTAGGTGCTTCACCACACACTTGCAAGCCTGTCATCGCAGCCATAAGGCTCGGAGCTTGGATTAAGAACAAAAAGGAAGTGGAGATTCTCAGGATGCTGAGTTATTGTGCATGTGTGGTTCTTCTGCAAAAGAAGGGAATGTGCACACATCTGGGAATGCCTGCCCAAGGCTCCTACATAGCTATGGGTGGGCCAGCTTCTGAGAATGTTGGCGGTGACTCCCATGCCACCTCCAAATGGGAATATGGACCCAATGGTCACAGAGGTCACTCTAATGCCAGCTTAGCCCCAATAGGTTCCTTTGTTCCTTTGTTCCTTTATTTATTGGGCTGCTGTTCTGTGTTTTGAAAATTCAGCATCATCCCTGTGTCCTTGAAGATCAAGGCAGCCCATGTTAGAGGAATCCCATTGTGTTAACTGAAGCTCTGTCAATGCTGCCACCAGCTGTCGTTCAGGAGGCTTGTGGAACACACTCCAGAAAGGGGTGGGGAACCCAAAGCTGACATGCTGGTATTTAGAAAGCAGGACTCACATGACCTTGTTTTCCAATATCTTTCCAGTATGAAGACATATCTGGAAGGCTTAACTTACACCTGTGCTGGAAAAAGCATACCAATTCCTCCCCCACACTAAAACAGAGGTAACCTGTTAATAAAGGGGCACCAGAGCAGATGGCCCCTATAGGTTGCAGACAGGGTTGGAAAGAGATTCAGAACTGCTACCCATAACATATGGGGAGAATAGGGTGCTTTTGAGCTTAAAGCACCGACTCAGGTACTTGGCCACAGAGACCAAGGACTTTGATTCACATGCCTCCACAACAGCGCATAAGAGGCTCCCTGAACGATTTGGCAGGTTTCACAGTAATTGCACCTAAGTGTCTAGCACCTAAGAGGCATGGTGCTAATTCCAGTGCAAATAGGGCCCAAACCTGGAAGTCAAAGAAAAACATGCCATTCTTGGTGCTGGGTAGAGTGGGACATAAGGGGACGATATCCCTGGCACTGCCAGTTTATCCATTCTGTTGTCACCTTCTATGGGGATACAAGTTTCCCCAAGTTCCGCAGGCGGCCTTACTTGTCTAGTGCTGAGCCCTGGCTCTGGTTGCTGGTGAGGCGGGAGAAAACATTCCGGTCGTTGCGTGGCCTGCTGGGAGGGGATGAAGGAGGAGTGAATCCAACATCTGGGTTCCTAGGCAAGAAAGAGAGAAGCAGTGGGTTCCACTAATTATAGAACTATAATCTTGCAGCACTGTTAGATCCTGCATCACACAACAGTTCATTTTCTGCATTATGAGCAAAGTGTAAGAACTGCTGCCAACTGCACTCACTCACTTACACTCACCTGATAGGCTGGCCCCGGTCATATGACTTCCTCCTGGTGAGGGGTGATGTGTCTGCACCACGGGACTGTCTAGGGCTAGATGAGAGGCAGTCATGGTTAGTAAATACCCTATCCAAAGTTGGGCTCCCTCAGCTTTGAAGGAAACTGGGAGGAGCAAAGCCTTGACCAGCTGGTTCTCAGAGCAGATTCTAATATTCTCCAGGGCACACAGAACAGTCCTGCATCACATGCAGGGAATTCCTTCTTTGAAAGCTCCTCCACATCAGAATCTCCTTGCACATGCCAAGCGACACAACAGGGAGGCTAGGATAAAAACATTCTTACTACATGTGCCAGCTGTGTGTGCGTGCAGAGATTTTGATGTGGAAGCACATTCTGGGACACGTTTCTCTACGTGCATTACAAGATGGCACACTTCTTGGGAGGGCTGTACCAAATGAGTTTCCATAAGGTCTGAAGCGGCCCTCATTCTGGGGACTGGGAGGACTATTTCAATTTTCAGCACTCTTGGTGTCCACAGGAGCTGCCTGCCCTGGTTCCTGCCTGGCTGATGGTGGGCTGTAAAGGCTATGCAGTTCACACCACCTAGGTTTGTCCACCCACAGTAGCAGCATCTGGGGGAAAGGGGTGTGTGTCCCTGCCTTTCAAGTCTTTCACTATAGTTTGTAAACCAGGAGTACTTGAAGCTGCCAGTTTATAGGTCTGGGGAGAGGACTTGGGGAACAGTTTCACAAGAATGAGGGATCCGATGCCGCCGTGTCACGGCTACTCCCCATGGAAGACTGTGCCAGCGAAGAGGGAAACTGACTCTGACCCCAGAACAATGGGGTCAGAACATAACTTTCTGTTCTTTCCTTGGTTGCGCTCCCTTTGCCCACCAACTCTTCACCCTCAAGTAGGGCAGAAATCATGGCAGAAATCCAACCGTCCAAAGCCAGCAGTCACCTACACCACAGTTTTCCCAACACGATCCATACACAGATCACCAAGTAGACTACCATGGCTTACAATGTACTCCCTCGGATGGGCAGGCTGATGGTGCGGGAGACCTTCTCCTTGTAGTAAGGATCACGGATGGAGAAGCCAATCCCATCCTCTTTGATCTCCATGAGGGATGCCAACGACTTGGTGATGTTCTTGGTGGAGATGTCCAATGTGGGCCCTAGACACTCTGCAGACACAGCTTTCATCTGGCCAGACAGCTTGGGCTCCCCCTAAAACAAAGCCCCAGAAAACACAAAGCAAACTAAGGAGCAGCAGATGGCAGGGCAACACGGGAACTATTCCCCGGTTGCCACTGTAGCTGGTGCTCAAATTCAGCCTGGGAAGGCTAGCATTTCTTGGTCACCTCTGTCTCAGAAACCCCTGCAAACATCCCAAGCAGCTTTCCAAGACCTTCCCACTTCATTCTGAACTTAATATGTACAACAACAGAACGCACCACCTACCACTGAGCAGCAATTGCTGGTCATTCAGAAGAGACCTAATGAAGTTCCTGTGCCCCCCACCCCCTCCATCCCACTAGAATTCAAGTAGGCCAGTCTGGGGCCAATTGTTTTCTCTGGATAAAAGGCTTATTCAACAGAGCCACGGCTAGGACAGACAGAGACATAACACACATCAGTCCAGGGCTTTGTTTTAATTTCATTGCCAATTCACTGGAGGAGGGCCAAAGCTTAAGAATCACCATCTGGATGTACAGCATCACGGCTAGCTGCCAAAATGCAGTACAAATATCATAACTTGGCCTCAGCGAAATGTAGGGGAGATGAAAAAATGGTGCATATATTCGCAGGGGGGCTCCCCACTATTTGGAAAGCTACAGAATAAGAATGTGGCAAGGTCAAAGTGCCATGTTCCGCTTTAAAAATAAACATATATAAACAAATATAGCCAAACATAAATCTGACCACATGGGGCACCTTCAACAAGAAAAAGCATTTCTGTACAAAAATGACCAGGATATCCTACAACGTTGTCAACATTTTCCTGTCACTGACCATTGTTTAGGTTGGTGAAAATCTTAAACTCCTTCCTGGCTATTTGAAGCTTTTGTTAGTTCTGGATGGATCTGCTAACCATCTTTCCTGGGAATTTCCATAATGAAAATGTATAACAACAACAACAACAACAACAAGAATTGGAAGTGTTTGCCGACTCAAACTTTCAAACTTACCCTGCACTTGAAGTCATCCTGACTGGCAGAGCCCTTCATGGAGAAAGACTGGGAAAAGCTGCAGGGACACAGGGAGAGTTTTGTGCACACATATTTTCAGTAAGAACTACAGAGGTGCAAACTAACTAAGAGACTCTCTATCCCAGCAGAGCTTCAGTCCTTAACTCAGGAGCCCACTTCATTTTTGCACCACAGGTTTTCTAGCTTAATTCCAGAATTTTACAGAAAAGAACCATGTAGGGGCTTCTTTCATACTCAAAGCTGACTTTGGAGGGTGGCTACATTGGTCAACACATGGAATTTACACCCTGCCCACCTTTTAAAGGCCACCACAGCCTAGAGGGAAAACAGGTGGAAAACGCTCAACCTGTGCCCTGCGGTCTCTTTGGGTGCGCAACTCACCTCCCTTCTGAGGCCATGCTGAATTCAGAGACTTCTTCATCTGTGCTGGCATAGCCATTCTCTGTGCAAAAGGATAAAACAAAGCATCCACTAGCACATGGGTACTTAGCTCTGGTGCTGGACCAAAACATACCCCTGCTTCCCTCTGACCCAGGCCATGGATGAGGGTAAGCAAAAAAGATTCTATCTCAAAGAAGCAAAAGCTACTCCAAACTCCCACCTTGCTGCACGTTGTGGATGAGCGCCTGCAGCTCAGGGTGGGATTCTGCCTTTTCCCGCAAGGCATCCAGGATGTGGTGGTTCTGAGAGGAGCCAGTCACATCCGTTTGTCTCAAGCGGCCTTCCAGCAGGCGGATCTGGGCTTCCTTCTGGGCTACCTGCAGGCTCTGTTTTGCAAAGATTGGAGGATTAGGCACAAGCTCAGCGGCAGCTTTCCCACTTGTGGAATGCCCTCCCTAGTGAAACACCTCTGTCTCCCTCACTCCATTCTAAAGCAAAACTATTTGAAGAAGTTCATTAACCTTGTCCATCAGGACTGATCGGTCTACTTGGGGTCTTTGAACAGACCAACTTGCTACTGAATAGTTGCAAAGCAAGATGTGGCTATCAGATTTCTGATCCACATGAGAGAGAAAGGCTGCTTTTAAAAAATAATAACTTACCTTGTCTATGGATGCCTTGAGGAAATTGTCCAGCAAAAGCCGTGCCTCAGCCAAAGAGCAGGAGCTGATCACCACAGAGGTGTCTGTGGAATCCAGTTCTTCCTAGAGACCCACAGGAGAAAAACAACAGAATGAGAAAGTCTGGGAAAGGGCAGTGCAGTTTGCTACCCATGCCAGCAGTTGGACTGGTTCCTTTGCTAAAGATTTAGCTCCACAGGCTTAGTGGCTATGCAAGAGACCCATCCAGCATATTTGTGCATAAAAGTAGTACGGTAGTCAGTTTCATATTATCAACTCGCTCCAGCCCCTGAACACAAATCGTAGGCACTACAGAGTGGCCTTCCCCAAATGTGGTGCCTTTCAGATATTTTTGAACTATGACTCCCATCATCACCCCTGACCATTGGGCATGCTGGCCATGGTTGAAGGGCATCAGGAGTCCAAAACACCGGGAGGGCACCAGACTGTGGAAGCTGTTATAGGCCAATCAGAAGCCTTTGTATGAGATGTCTACAGACCAGCGAGTTCACTTAGGCTGCTGAGACTTCCACACAATTGCCAAATTCTCAGAACTCTTAATAATGGATTGATACTATTTTGTTAAGAATTTAAAATGTTATAATGTTAGTACCACTGATACAAAACCATTTGTTTGGACTTCTATTTTATGCTTTTGAAAGGAACTGATACACAACCGTTTATTGTGTGTTCGGGAGGGCATACATTTATGTGGAAAAGGAACATACCAAATAAGAAGGGGGAGGGGGGAAGAAATAGCAGTTCCTCAGAGGAAATAGCAGAGACCCAGGACTTTCCATACTCTACGAGTTAACTTCCCAGTCTCTGCGTCTTACATTTCCCCAGCCCACCCCTTTTAAGGAAGCAGTAACACACTGAAACAGCCCACTGTAAATGAAACAAGAGTTTAACTCATTAAGGTAAGATCAGAAGACATAGTGCTTCCTGATCCACCCACTGTAACCGATTATCTACACAAGAGCTCAGCCAGCTGACCTCAGCTCATCACCAGGTCCAGGTCCAACAGCATTCCACCCTCCTAAACTGCTTGCATCATGGATAGATCAGACGCACCTTGGTCTCTTCAAGCTGCATGATGGTGGCCTGGCAGTCAGAAATGCCGTCATTGATGTAGTCAATGTTGGCTGCCAGCACCTCAATCTCCTCATTCAACTCCTGCAGCCCCTTCTGCTCTTCAGGGTTCTCTGTCTGAAGCTTCTCCCTCTTCCCCAGAAGCATCTCCTGCATCAGTGACAGCTCCTCACGTTTCTGAAAATGGGGAACAGAAGGCAGAATGTTTCCTCTTTGCCAGTGCTGTGCAGCCCCTTCTCTGGCTCTCTTCCCAGGCCCTTCGCCTTCTGCTCCAGTGAGAAACAGCCACTTTTCATCACCTTGATGAGTCGCTCCATATCCGACTCCAGATTGATGATGGTCATCCTCTGCATGACAATGTCAAAGACACGGCGCTCCAGGGACTGCCACTTCATGCGGGCTGTCTTACTGAAGGTTTGGTTTGCCCCTTTCTTTGCGAACTTCTTCCTGCAGATGAAAGTCATGTATGAAAAACTGAACAACATGATCTTAGAATTATCCAAAACCAGAGATGGAAAGGCTCCCAGATGTTGCTGGGCTCCACCTTGCATCAGTCACAGCAAAATGGCAAAGCTGGAGTCCAGCAATATCTGGAAGGATCCTCATCCCCGTGCTAAATATTCTGGGTCATTCCTACCCAAGCATACTGGGTGGATGGAAATGGGGGCACATAGAAGCCAGTGGATTAGAAGTCAAGACAGGCCTCAAAGGAATCTATATCAGACGGTTTTAGACACCTAGGTCAGTCTGACTTACTTAGAAAGCTGCTAACTGGGCCAGTGTCTTACCTGACGGTTCGAGTCCCATTTGTGGAAGGAGGAGGATCTCCCAGAAAGGTGTTGATTTTCCGATTCCATTGGCGCACAATGCTGGAGACAGAACGAGAACTAGATTCTGGCTCAGAGGAGGTGGTGCTGGTGGAGACCTCTACACCTGAGTCCAGCATGGTTTGCTTCTGATTCATTCTTCCAGCAACGCGATCAGACATAGGTTTGGCCAGACGGCGCAGAGCAGAGACCTAGACAACAACACAACAAAGCAGTCCAGAAGAATGGAAAATATAGAGGTGATAACAGACAGATACAGTCTTAAGCAGGGCTGCTATGTGAAAATTTATTCAAAGTGTTAGCTGCTCAGTCTCCAGCCTCAACCCTAGTCTCTACTCATGCCTAACAGAGATCCACAAGTGCAAAGTGTCTGCTCACAGTATCAGCTGTTTTTATGGATGTTCCCAGTAATGTTGGACATTCATGTTAGAATGAGAAAAATGCCACAAGTTACCTACATATGAGCTCAAATGTGTAACGAAATAAAGAACTATGTTGGCAATCACACACTAAGCCATGTGTGACACAGCAGGTATGACGCCCAGTTGGATGACACTGAAGTTGCTCTGGATAAAAAGAGAGTGGGCATCCTAAAGGGAGAGAGAGAAATAAAAATATCCACAAGCCTTTCTGGATGACAGTGAGAGGCTTTCAATATAGCAAAAGCCAAGGCGAGTGTATTTTTAGAGGAAACTAAACACTTGACTTCCTTGTGAGCAAGAAGGTCACCACTCACCTCTTGGGTTTTCCTGCGAAGTACAATCTCCTGCTGCCGCTTCTGAGATTCTAGCGCTCGAATCTGAAACTGCAGGCACAGCATGATAAAAGTTATTAACAAAACCCACAGGCAGATGATCTCAATGGGGTGATGTCAGTCTTGACTTAAATGGAGACAAATGTGTATTGGTGTAAAAGGAATGTGTGGAAGGAAGCCAACTCCTCCTAAACCACAATAGGTCTCAAGTTGCTTTGGAGCACAAGAGGGGAGAATGCTGCTGCTCTCATGTCCTGCTAGTAGACTTCCCACAGGCAACTGGGTTGGCCACTGTGAGCACAGGACACCACACTAAATGGTCCTCTGGTCTGATCCAAGAGACCTCTTCTTATGTATAACTTGTAGACACACAAGTTATTTTTGTGAAGATGGCTGAAGGCACAGCTTCGCTTTGCATGATTGCTCTGATTATACTGAGCGTCTTCCCCTCTCCTGTCCACCAGCAGTCTATGGGTTTTTGTAAGCTCTACTAGGTAGAGGCTTCTCAAAGCTTCAGCAGCCACAAATGGTGCTCTTGCCCACCTCCTGCCTCCTCTGCTCCTTCTTCAGCTGGGCAATCTCCCGGTTCCTTTTCGTCTCTGCCAATCTGCGCCGCTGCTGCTCCTCACGCATTTGTTTCATCAGTGCCACCTGTAGGGCACAAACAGACTCAATGCCAAGCATAATAACTGAGAAGCTGGCTTGCCCCAGTGACTATCTAGGGCCACTTTCCCCAGTTGGGTGCCCAAGCTGGGTGGGCTGAGGGTGGGAATCCAAAACACCCAGAAGGTGCCCTGTTGCTTGAACTTAGCCAAATGAAGAATTGCAAATCCCCAGGCAAGGTACCTTGGCTTTCTTCATCTCTGCCACTTCTGCATTCAGCTTCTTCAACTCTCGCTCATATCGCGACTGGTTCTTGAGGAGGCGGGCATGCTCCTTCTGGGCTGCCTGCAACTTTTGCAGGTCCCTGTTCATCTCCCTTAGACGCTTCTCATAATCTGCTTTGATCTTGTTCGCCTTCTCCTCTGTGTAGCATTCCATGGAACCTGAGGGAAAGAACAAAGGAAGTATATAGATTAGGAGTGATGGACTACAGCTCCCATCATCCATGACCAATTGGCCATGGTGCCTAGGGCTGATGGGAGTTGGAGTTCCAACAGCATCCAGGGGGCCACAGCTTCCACATCTCTGATGCAGATTTTAAGTACAGACAGACTGTACTCAGTGCCAATGTCACTGATTACACTTTAAGTGTATGGTTAGAAATGTTGCTTAAGCAATCTTTCCACCCTTGTATCACAGCCTCAGTTGAGAATCCAAATGCAAAATCTTTCATTATCAGCAAACAGGTGCTGTTTGAACTGTCAAAATCCAATTTCACCCCAGTGGCATGCCCTTACTCAGGTTTTGCAGGACCCTGTCCCTCTCTTGCTGTGTGTCACGGATCTTGTTCTGCAGTAGAATCAGCTTCTCCTCATACTGGTGCTTCAGAGTTTGCAGGCGCCGCTGGCTGTTCTCCAGCTCATCTATTAGCTTCTGTTTGATCTCGATCTCACAGGTCAGGTCAGCCAGATCAGCTTGGAAATTTGCTGCTAGATAAGACACACACACACACACAAAAAAAACCCTTCACCATCTTGAAGATAGTGGTATCTAAACTCATTACAACCTCCACTAAAGACTAGAATAAGTTGTATCCCTTTTATGGAATTGAATGCTAAGAGAAAAAGCCTAGCATATGTACAGGCATGTTTTTTGTGCTATTAAAAGGATTACAACAGTAGTTCCAGGTGGAAAGCATGGGGGCTGTGGATTCAACATTTCAAATCCAAATGAATTAAAGGCCATCCCCTCCATATATCCTGAAGACTGTGTGTGTTGTGTTCACCTAGATCCCTGCAGAGACTGCACTAAGAGTCATCAGCATTTCAACACATGCTGCAGTATCTTACCCTTTTCTTCAACATCCGAGTCAGAATCCACCAGGCTTTCTTCACTTCCCGAATCATCTTCCTCTTCCTCCTCCTGGCCGCCTTCTTCCTCACAGCCACTCTCATCCCGTTCCTCCTGAAAACAGAAGGTACAGTGATGAGAAAAAGGAGAGTGGTGATGCAGCTTGTTCCAAGGCATTGCAGTCCCAACCCTGCCCAACTTTTGGTTGCATATGGCAATCTGCTTTCCTTGGTTCGCTAATTTGTTCCAATGGCAATCCTTAATTCAAAGCATTTTGCACTGCTTAGGAACACAGGCACCATGGGGATGTTACTTCTTACAGTTCATACTTCCTTTCATGAATCCAACCTTCTGTTCTTCTAGCTGACGAATTAGCAAAACACTAGAAGATCAGCGCTTACCATTGTCCTGGACATGGATTCAGAAATCAAGCCGGATGTTGGGAAGTGAAGGCAGAGAAGATCTAACACACATCACCAACAACTCAATCAAACCATACTGTATTTTTCCTGGCCATTCATTCTACTAACTTCCAAGCCTTTGTCTTTCAACTCTGCTCTTCAAAGGAAGGACCCTAGAATGTAATCCCAGTGTACACAGCGGGCCTACTGCATTCCCAAATGTTCATCTTAAATATATCAATATAACAACCCCCTGTCCCCAAAACAAGAATCAGTGCAGAAATAATGTAATGACTGTGCACAGTCAAAATTATGCCTTTAGCAGTGCACTGTTATTTCCTCCAAAAATAAACAAGTGTGTCAGTTTTAACCAATTTATTTAACTTTATTTAAATCAAAGAATGTTTCCATTTTGTAATGTGCACAGCCCCAGGCTTTTAAGAATCCAATGGAATCCCACAGAGACATTCATGTTTTGAGACAGAAAAGCAAGACATACTTCACCTACTTAAAAAACACACCTATTTGTCAGCCTATTCTGCTCCATTTATCCAAGGGCGTTGGATTAAAGAGAAGCTTGCATTTCTCAGAGGAGATGGCAGGAGATATTTTATTGAGACTCAGGAGCCTAAGGAATTAGTATGGCAATTGCTGAGGTCAGGAAACGTTTGAAGCAGATGTTAAATCTGGCTGAAGGGAATAGCACTTGAGATGTCCTTTACGGCCAGTTTCTCATTATGCTGAAAAATTGCCACAGGGCTCATCCTGATGCCACCAAAGGCCAGCAGTAAGTTTGGCACCCTTAATAATTGCTCAAAAGAACCCAGAAGTTGTATGCAAGAGAAGGGCAAGATCTCTTACCTCTTCCACTTCATTCTCATCTGTCTCATCCGCCTCATTTCCCTGCTGCATCCTCAACCTCTTCTTAAACCCTTCTTTCTCTGGGCTGCAGAAAAGAAGGCAGTTTTACATGAACATCTGTTTCTAAATCATTCATTTTTATTCCAGATTGCAGAGTCACAAAAACAGGCCGTCAGGGCAGCTAAGAAAACAAACACCACTCCAATTACAACAAATCAAAACAAAACATTTCATCTGAATAACTAATGGGAAGGGGACATTTGGCTAAGCTCTTTGCCTGCAGTCACTCTCACAAAGCTTTCTGCAAGACAGCAAGTATTTACCATCCTTACAATACAGAAGGGAAAATCAAAGCTCAACACAGAAAAGGGTGTTGTATTGTAGATCATGAGAGCTGCATTACAGGAGTCTCATAGAGTGAGAATGATGGAAAACAAATATATTTTGATACTTCTAAAAAGTTCTGAAGGCCCAGCAGCCTAACCAGAGTAGAAGGGTCCTGAGCAGATGCAAGACAGAGGAACCCATTTTACCTTTTCCTTCGCAGCTTAGTCTCCTTCTTCAACCGTTCTATATCTTGCTTGGCCCACTGGATGACTTCTGAGGCCTCAGCTTGCACAGAGGAGACAGGGCTATTTGAAGCTCCCAACCCAGGAGATGAAGATAAGCCCAGGGAATAAGGAAGCCTAGAGGAAACTCGTGATAGACCACGACGCAGTGATTCATTCATAGCTTCGCTCTCTAAGAGCTTTGTCCTACAAAGAAGACAAGAGATAGCAGTCACCTCATAGTGTCCATTATATACTGAAGTGCTGACATGAAGACAGAGACAGATTCCTATGGGAACTGTGGGGAGAGGAGTATCTGCTAGCCCAGAATCACATGGATACAAGTCCATCTGATGCCCTCATTAACATGCAATTAAGGGACTCAAAAAGACCATAAGGGAGGATGCTCAGCTCTTAACTCTTGACAGCACACAGCTTCATTAACAGGAATGAGCAGGACCCAAAAGGCAGTATAATGTGCTCTTGACTCAGCAGAAAAGAAAATCTGAGGGGGAAAATACTCAGGGGAGTTTGGGGAAGACCTGAGAAACCTGCTAGTTATGATAATTCTTGATGTGAGGGGGGAAAGAAGATGGAGTGCTGGGGGACACACACTCCTTCCTCATGATGTCTACAAAGCAGTTATCTCGGATAAAGGGAAGGGGCCATTGCTCTGCGGTAGAACACATGCTTTTCAATGAAGAAGACCCGAAATTCAACTCTTGGCATCTCCAATAAAAAAAGAAGCCCAAGTGCAAGGTGCTGCGGAGATCATGGAGTGACACTGTCAACTGGAGCCATTTGTACTTATCAAATGCAAATTTTGATATCCTAAATTCTGTTAGTCAGAACATCAGAAAATCAAGGAAGTCATGCTACTAATATGATTCTTTGACATTCTGAAGCAGAATATTCCACTACCTTATTACTTGCATCTGCTTCTATTCCCCCAGCAACATGCTTGGCTATCTGCATCCCTGTATCACTCCTGTTGCATGCCTGGCCAGCAGGGGGCTCATGCTGCTACATGCTTGTGTACTTGTGGCAGCTTCAGCTGTTTGTTCCTGCATCTGTGGCATACTGCTGCAAGCTTATGTGCATGTGGGACCTGCAACTGCTGCTCTCAACGTTATTGCCTTTGTGTGGCTGTGAAAGCCACTACTGCAGACAAAGAGGTTATTTTAGGCACCTTTGTTTACAATGCCCATACCTTGGGAGCGCACAAGTGAATTTATAAGTACCACAAGTCTCTTATATCAAAGGGTTGTTTCTTTCTTATTATTATTAAAGATTTCTTAGTTTACAAAAATACGTGCATTGTCTCTTTTTTTAAGTTGTGTTTTCTGCAGATCAGTTTCATTGGTGTGAGACATTAGTGTTGCATGCAGTATTAGGTTGGGAAGAAAAGAGGGGAAAAGAGGAGGACAGGGGATGGTGAGTGGGGTGGGGTGGACAATGCTTCTATTCTTCTCCTTAGTGTATGTGTGGGGTTTTGTGTCAGCATCACTTGTATGGGTTCTCTTATTACTCGCAAAGGGTTGTTTCTGATCCTAAAGTGCTCATCATTCGAAGATTACAGTACACAAAGGGCGAGATGCCACAGGGGTGAAAGTACTGGCTTAGAGCTACTTGAATAGTCACCAGTTTAGAAGATAGATATATTTCTCTTTCAAGAAGGTATGGCCACTTGCAAAAAGAATAAAAGTGGATGGGGGAATCCAGAGGACTACTCCATCTTACCTGAGCTCCTCTATTTCCCGGATGTAGTTCTGAATCAGAGCACCAATAGCCTCATTGCCATCACCTGGGAGAACAATGACGCAAATACACAGAAATTAAATTCTAAACAATAATGGAGAAAGCTAGACAAGAGCAAGCAAGATCCCAAAGAAATCAGAGAAGCCCAATTGCTATGGAAAACAAAAGCAGCCAGGCTAAGCATGCTTCACTGAACATATGGCTAACATCATGCACAGTTTGGTCCTTCATAAAACCAACCCTGAAAACTGTAAACACAATTTTTCTCTTGTGACTTTAAAGAATATATAGTGCTATTTGTATGCTATCTAATGAAATGGTCTAGAGACCCCAACCAGTTGCCCCTCTCAGCCTCACCTGCCTTGGCAAGAATCAAGTTGGCTTCTTGGCTCATCAAGTGTGTGACACGGACATTGATGGCATCAATAGCTTCTTGCATGGCCTTCACACGCATACGCAAAGTGGTGTTCTCCTTCTGCAGCATGGCATTCTCCTGGAACAGGTCGCTGTAGCCTTCAGAGCCATCCTCTCCAATGACACGCTTACCCTTTGGAGACAGAAATGAATGAAAACACCAGTAGGAAGGGCTGGAGAGAACATGGACTGGGGTGGAAGACAGTCGCCCTGTGCACATCCCAATTAAGGGGCATAATCATCACAGTATACTTCAGTCATCTCAAGCCTTCTGCCTGTAATGGTAGTCTTGCACATACAGGAAGGCTCTGAAGTTGGGGTACTTTTCAAGTATTTTATAATCCACCTTTCTGCAGAAATAGTTCAGTGACTGTCATGTTTTTTTGAACCAGCTCTTAAAGAGTTGCATAAAAGATTTATATTTATGTTTATACGCCAGTCTTTGATCATTGGGGCTTCTCAAAGTAGAGCATTGCATTTTAAAAGACAGTAAAATCTATCACAGGAACTTTTAAAAAAGAGAGATTAAAAGACCACCAATAAAAGTGTACCACAAGCAACAGCTTGTGGCAAAATCATGCAATGGTGGGCTTTGGGCTCTCAAATTTCAGCGGTGCACTATATACTGGGTTTGCTCTCTACAAAGTAGGTTGCTAGCATCCCTATTTTGAAGATGGAGAAACTAAAGCTTAACGAGACCTGCCAATGTTCATCTATAGCAAATCATCTGCAGAATTAGAACTTTTCAAATAAAAAAAGGGAGTAGGCCAAATATGGCATCAAGATATTTTCTCCAGGGGAATTTAACTGGGTGTGCAACATTCCTAAAGAGAGGGGGAGAGAGAAAACACCACTAGGGACAAGGGACTTCAAGTACTGAAGTTGTGCCACTCAATGCAAAATGCTCCTGACATCTCCTTACCGCCTTGTACTCCATGAGCTCCATCTGAAGGCGGGCAATTTCAGCTCGCAGGGCGCTGATCTGCTGGCTCGTCTTATCCTGGTTCACCACCACTTTGTTCTTGATGTTGCGAGCTCTGTTGGCATACTTAAGGGTATTCAGGGTCTCCATAAAATCCCGATCAGAAGGGCTCACGCAGGCAATCATTATGGTTTGGCTACGAAGGTGGGAGAACAAATAAGGTCAAGCACAGGAGGGCTGCTAGTCTCCCTGCCACATCAGCTACCTCCCAGGGAGTGCAGCAGTGCAGAGGTCAAGCCATTTCCAATGCTGGCAGTCTGGCAGTTCAAACCAACCAGCTGCAGAGGGCTCCAATTTGCTGAATGGTGAATCAGAGTTCAGACAACGAGTTCTGAACAACCTTGCCCCCCCCCTCGCCTTGGGCAAATTACCAAATAGTCTGCCAAACAGAAAGCAGGAGTTCCCAAATCCAAAAGGCCATGATAAGACAGACAAAGAACATGAAGGAAATTGGGGGGGGGGGAGAAGGGTAGCTGTAAAAGGAAACAGACTAGAAAAGAGGGGGAAAGAAGAGATTACAGTGATCCCATGTTAGGAGGTACAGCTGCCAGAATTCTGGATCAAAAACAGCTTAGGCATATTATGTAAGCATCTATTCTGCAAAAGCCAATAATCACATTTGGAACCCAGGAAGAAATGAGACCCAGGATGTGTTTAAAATATGCTCCTTGGCACATCCTGCTGTGGCCTTGCCTTGGGACTTCTCATTAAGGGCTCCCATGGCCATGCAGCGTTAATTATAACACACAATCCAGACAGCCTCCTCACCTGCAATCCCCAATGCCAGTAACCCTGCAAAAGCTACAAACAGCTGTTCTAGTGCTTCTTTCCATTACCTGTTGCCACCAAGGGAATCTTGGAGGAGCCGAGTCAGCTTTGAATCTCGGTAGGGCACATGCAAAGCTCTCTTGCTCTGGTCCCCAAGGGCGCTGATGACGTTTCCCAGTGCTAGCTATCAATAAAAAGGACAAGTCGGCGAATAAGAGATGGACACTTTCCCTTGTGCCTTTATTCTGGCACCATACATTCCTCATATAAAAGTCAATGCAGCTTCAAGCAGTTATTCCCTTTTTGAGGTCACAAATCAGCCCCCCACCCCCACTTACTGGGCTGAAGCTTATACTGGTAAACACCATGACTTTTCCATTACAGGGATGAACCATATAAACCACATAAACTTTGTTGCTATATCATCATGACTGAACCTTAGTCTACAGAATCTGGCTTTCACAGAAGCATCCATCCAACCCTAGAGAATCTCAACTCATTTTTAAAAAGATACAAGCACATATTATACCTGTATTATACATGCTTGCAAATGTCACTGTCACTTTCAGACTATACTATAATTTTATTTCTACAATTCCCTGTCTCTTAAATTTGCAGTGGCTTCAGGGACAGAGCCTTGCCCACCAGAAACAACATAGATTTCATGGCGTATCTCAGGGGTCGGCAACCTAAGGCCCAAGGGCCACAAGTAGCCCATGGGGGTCATTTAACTGGCCCCTGAGCCACCCCTGAACTGAGCCGCCCGCTCAGCTAAACCAGCGCAACACAGCGCGGGGACTTGCTTCCGTGGCACCAGAAATCGCGTCTGCACAGACACAGATGCTGGAAATCGCAGGTGCGTGCGCTCCGGACCACAGAAGGATCTCTGCTGGAGTGAACTGGCTCAGGCGAGGTAAACCTTGCCAACCCCTGGCATATCCCATTCCATGAAGCCTGCATGCTACAACAAAGAGCTCTTATATGCCTAGACCAAGCCATGGCTTGTGCAAACTCCAAAACAGTAACAAAGGTGCTGGACAATACTTGGTTTGCCAGGCAAAATATTACAGGACCTGGCACTTGTTGTCGTATCCAATCCTGACCCATTTGTATGATAAAGGCCATACCAAACCACAGTTGATGGAGATCCCTTCCTTGGCTCTCTCGCCAGTTGCACCAGTCCGCTTCAACCTCTCTGAGCCAGCCAGGTCAACAAAGTGGAATTTGGCTGTTCGTGTCTCATATTCACTAGAAGGCTGGGATCCCTCCAGGAGACTGTTGGAATCTCCATTCACCTGCAATCGGAGCACATCCCAGAATCATTTCCTGAGGTGTAATGAGGTGTAATGGATTCTGCAAGTGCTCCACCCCTGTCCTCCCCTTCTCACGTCCTTACCAAGTGTACAGGGGAGCAGACGCGCATTTGGCAAAGGTAGATGGTGAAGATGGCATGGGAGCGGGAGCTCTGGACATTCATCTGGGTGCTGGCTGTGGTTCGAGAGAGAGCTCCCTGCTTCAGGCACTGAATCAGCTGCAGGGACAGAAGAGAGTAGGGATGGTGGTTACGCTTTCTACCAAGATGCAAGGCAACACATGCACACACAAAAGCAAACTGAATCATTTTTCAACCTTGCTTGAACAGGCGTACAGCTTCCTTCTGGACGCTATTTCATCATTAGCTCTTGCGAAAGTCAACCCCCTACAGGACTATAACCATCAGGATCGAGCTAGATCTGACATGCAGTTGTGTGTCTCTTTCTCCTGACAGGGAGGGCCAGAAGGGAGAGTGACGAGGAGGCCAGGCTGGTGGGGTTGTTCAACTCTGTCTCCTCTGGATTTTTCTCAGCTCAAAATCGCACACACTCCTAGCTCCAAATACAATTTAGTACTTTGTTGAGGAGGTGTTCATTATTACCATTGGATCACTTATATAAAATAAATTATACAGCGACAGAAAACCTGGCGAGACAAGATTTGCAAATTTATCTGAACTTACAAGATTTCTTGGAAAGACTGGCTTTCTTTGATAAAGTAATGACTGTGGTGCCTGTTTTCTAATGCTTCTAATTGCTTCCTGTTTCACTGTCAATATGTCAATTACAGAGATAGTGAGATACTGATTTTGTCTGTTTCTTCTTCTAAATATGCAAGAACACACAAAGGAACATACACAACAATATAAATATTTATGTATAAATAATATGTCTGACACACAAACCCCCCCCCCACTGCTTAGGGTCACAGCCACCTCAGGCATTTCAAGCACATGAACCACAGCTCTGTGGAGGGTAAACTACAGTTCTCAGTATTATCTGGAGGAATTCTTCAAAAGTATTTTAAGTGTATGGTGTGGGTGCAATTCATGTGTGCATGCACACACACACACACACCCCTCCTATTGAAGATTATACTTCAGGCAAATGTCCACAGATGCTTATCCCATAATAAATTTGTCTGTCTTAGTTGTTTATTATTGAAAAGAAATCCATTCAATATTATATAAAATTAAGCTTGTCCAACAAATGCACTAGTAGTTTAAAGCACACGCCAGAGAAGACACCTAAGAACGGAGATCTGAGATTACCTATTCAATTAAATGACAACACTTGTCCGATTCAGATGATAGCACAAGAAAACTTCGTATGTAACATACTGAACTGAGTCAAACACTTGGGTCCCTCTAGCTCAGTACTGACTGGCAGAAGATCTTCGGGGTTTTAGACAGGGGTCACTCCCAGCCCTACCTGGGGATGTCAGGGATTGAATTTCGGATCTTCTGAATGCAGGGTGCTGTACCACTCAACAACAGACCCTCTTCTCAAAAGGGTGGGGAGATACAGAAAGGGCAGTTTGAACAGAAACGTCTTTACACCTCTTTCAGGGGTCTTTATTACAGACACCTGTATGGCTAAGGACTCCATGAACTAATAGAAAGATAAGCGTTTTATTAAAGGTCTGAAATGAAATACAAATGTGATCATCTATATCTCCCCTTGCCACACTCTTCTTAAAGACTTTCAACTACCAAAATGAGGCATTTTTCAATACTGCAGAAATTGCCTTGGTGAGTTTTAAGGTATTGTGGCAGGACAGTAGTTTCACTGCACATGAAGACCAAGCGCCAAAAGGGAAAACAGAAGGAGAGTGCCAGTGTTTCAACTTCTTTGTAATTAAGACACTCTCTCTTATCTAAACTCTACACTCAATTGCCTAAGAGCTCTGGCAATATATGAACTGTGCATCTGAATCAAATGAAGGCCATGATATCTAGAAACTCAAGGCGAATTATGGGAAGAGATATTAATTTCTCACTGTAAGAAATAATTAAATGTTCAATTGAATTATAATGGTTAGAGTTCTGAAAAGGGCTTTTTTGTCCTATTTGCATAAGTAAATTATTTCCTATAGCTTTAGCCTGCTTTTCAGACAAATTATTGTATCTGAAAACGACATGCATCAATTAAAAAAAGGAAGTGACACACAGAAAAAGCCTGCCCATCAGGTTTGCAAACTGGAAAAAGACACATACAAGAACTCAGTGAAGAAAAAAAATATAAGGGGGCACATTCTATATGGATTGCTAGATGGTGTATATTCCTTAGTCTTTGGGGAGGTGGAAATATTGTTCGTGCTTGGGGCTCCTGCTGGAAAAATTGTGGTTCAAGGGGAGCATTTTTACCCATGTGGTTGAGTTGGCTCAAAATTAAATATTTCTGGTATGGGATATTAAATATAATGACTTTAATTACTAGTTATGTACTGCCCTTCAAGGCCAAAGGAATTCTGACTTGGAATATTAAAATTTCATATTCAAGAAAAGTATTGTCATATCTATTGATGGTTGCTACGTTATGCATTGCAAATGTCTGGAAACATACAGAAATTCCCAGTGATTAAATGTGGTGTAAAAAGATACCAGACCCTAGCCGTTATGGAGAAAGTGACGAGTATCTTTCAAATGAGAGAAGTGAGGATTCATGCGGATAAATTCACTAGAGTAATGGCAGATGTTCATTGCCTTCCAGAAGAATCACACTCACAAATAGATATTTGTAAATATGGATTGTGAATTATTTGATTCGTTTTATATTGTGAATGAAACTCATAATGCTCCCAACCATATTCTATATTCCAATATATAGGATATTCTATATCCCAACATATAGAATAGCAGCTAGAAGAAAGGGATCATCATTTCCACCAAGGGGGAGAAATGTGGAAAAACCACCAGAAAGTTTAAGGAGGATATTCCGCATTATTAAAAGCAAAATGCATAAGAATTAGAGCGCTGACTCATGGCTGAAAAGTGGGTTATGTTATGGACTCCACCCAAATAAAGCACGCAAACAACTAAGTTCTGCCATGCAGACTGGTAGCATCTGCAGTGAGATCAGGATACAATTAAGCAGCAGCCTGAAACACAGCTAAGGAATTCTCATCTCATAAAGTTTCCATAAGAAAACAGCCATGGCTTATTCTTGCAGCACATACTCAAGATCACTTACAGCTTAGAACTCTTTAGCCACCTCATAAGATTTGCACCACATGCACACCAACACACCCACTCACTTACATTAGACGCATAATGATGGCTTAAGTGGAGACTGTCATCTTAAGCCCTCTCCGGGCATTCAAAAAACTCAGGAGGGCATAAACAGTTGAGTGCCAGTAGAGCTGCACACACCAGCACTGCCTCCAAGGTCTCTGCTGGCTCCACCCAACCTGCCCCCAATGTCCCTGTTCCTGTTGGCTCCATCCAATGGGCTGAACATGCTTAGAATCCCACAATCAGGAATGCCTAAAGAGGACTTTCATTGAACATGGAATCAAGACATTGTAGCTACTAATTAACATGAAACACAAAGCTGAGGTCTAATGTATGAGTTGGCCACGTACCTCGTCCTGCGAGCCAATGAGACGTGATGTGACACCTGTGGTGTAGATCCCACCACTCGTATCTTCATGGATTTTGATGTTTGACTTCCGGTGGCGGCAATCAGGGTCTCGTGAGCTATCAAAGAGGTCGAGGATCTCTTCGTTATACAGCTGAACAAAGACATGGGGGGGGGGGTTGGAATTGATACTAGGTTCATTGATTCATGAAGGGCTCCACAGGTACAAAATGACAGAAATGGGTATTTGGGCTTGCAGTGTGCCTTGAAGATCAAAGCAGAGCTTGACATTTAGCTAAGGATTGGCCCTGTTGGTTACAGCATGAGAGGTTGGTGCTGTAGTCAACAGCAAATCTTCAATTCTCTTCTAACAGGAATTCGAATCACAGCAATTTTACGGGGAACAGGGCTAGTAACAGGAAGAAAAACTGGAAGAACTGGAGATTCATAATTGTCTGGAGCAATAAATGTAAAAGCTGCATGGAATTCTTCACTCCTCTCACCACTGACAAGCCTACCAGAGAGATGAAATCTTAAGTTGGCTGAGGCTGCTGCATCCCCAGACAGAACAAAGCAAGCAGATCTGCATCATTATTGCGATCTGTTGACTGATGCATGAATCAGCTGCATTTCCTCTATGAAAATGTTTACTCATTGTCAAGGTCAAGCGACGTCTTTAATGGGTCTTCTGTGCGTGATAGCATAGTGGTGGTATAAAAGGAAGCAAGTGCCAAGTTCCGCCCCTGAGTGAAGGAGCATCATGCCACCTCATTTTCAAATGCAAATTCAAATTTAATCTCCTTCACTTACTCTTGGATGTACAGGCATGAGCCGTGCTGTAATTTGTATGTTAACCCAGATCCACCACCGATGATTCAATGGTGCCCCCACACTGCACTTAACTGCTGCAGAAATTAAAGAAGCCCACTTCATTCAGTAGCCTCAGGCATACCTGTATGTGAGCTTATGCCCTCCTTCTCACACACCCCTCTTGCTATAGACACCAACGCACCTACCTCCAAGAACTGTGCACTGACTTTAAACTCTGGTACTGGCACACCCTGTTCCTGTGCTGCCCGCTTGCGCTCCTCTATGCCAGAGAATAGGTGGGTAATGGCCCGTGGAATTATGCCATTCTCATCTTCGGAAATGTTCACGTCAAAGCCGGTTCCCATGGTGTATGTCTTACCTGCACCTGTCTAAAAGTAAACGGAAGAGATGCTTTATGAGAGCCCAGCTTCACTGTGAGGTGGTGAAAAAATGTAAACAGCAACAACTGGGAAACACTGGCCTGTGAGTGCTCCAATTGGAGAACAGCCTTTACCAAAGGTGTCATGGGCTCTGAAGATGCTCAAACTCAGGACGAAAGGGGGAAACATGCGAAGAGGAAGGCACACTTGGCAAACCCTCACTATGATCAACTCCTGCCCAGAAAACTATGTTCCCACTGTGGAAGTAGGTGTGGATCCAGAATTAGCCTCCACAGTCACTTACGGACTCACTGTTAAAACCGTTTTTATGGAAGACAATCTTCCACTCGGCTACAAGTGATCGCCAAAGAAGAAGAAGAAGATTCCCTGGGACTCTCCACTACTCAGCTCTGCTGCTCCTTAAACCCACCACACAGAGGGAGGTACTTGAGCAAGTTTTACTCAGAGGAGACCCACCGAAATGAATGGACCTGAGTAAAACTTAAGTTGAATAGCACTCAGAAACTTTACAAACCCTTCATTGCACTTTATAATTCCAGTTCAGACACTCCATTCCCAATACTTAACCTGGTTATTCAGCGGCTTAGAGTCCACGTACATCGATTGCAGAGCAGAGGGAAATAATATCACCATGGCAGGTAACTCAGTGTAAAATTAAAGTGAGCATTGTATTCCATGCTAATTTGCAATTATTTTATTTTGTTTACAAGGCACTCTTCTTACACCTAATTTGTTCATTTCAAATTCTCTTCTACCCTTTCCCAAGGGGGTGGTGAAAGCCAGTGTGGTGCAATGGCTAGGGCAATGGGCTGCGACGTGGGAAACCTAGCTCCAGATCCTCACATAGCTATGAAACACACTGGGTGGCCTTGAGCAAGCCAATGTTTCTCAGCCTCACCCACCTCATATGGTTCTTGGGAAGCTAAAGTGCCACTCCTGAGGTGGTGTCTCTTGGAAGAAGGGTGCAAACCAACAAAGGCTCAGCCAATGATTGTTGGAGGGGTGGGGAGAAACAACAGTGGGATAAACACAACAACAATGCGATATGAAATGGCTATGAAATATGATATGGAAGAAAAGGAAATGATCCAACAGAAAAAATGATATAAAAGCAGAATATAATGCCCAGGCTAAAATATGCTATATGTTATAGTGTTGGACTAAGACCTAGGACACTGGGGTTCTGGTCCCCACTTGACCATGAAGCTAACTAGGTGACTTTAGGGCAGTCACTCTCTCTCTGCCTAACCTACCTCACAGGGCTGTTATGAGGATAAAATAGGTGGGGAGAACCATGTACAACACCATGACCTCCTTGGAGGAAAGGTGGGATATATAAGCGCACAAAATAAATTAAGAAGGACAAAGAGAGAAAGAAAAAGGCTTGGACAGCAGGACATTTCATTTTCAACCTTGCATGGCTGAAGTCCTGCCAGTTGAAACTGTGCAAATTAAATGCACACAAGGTGGAGAGTTTAAAAGCTCTTTCTGCATCAGGTTTCCCCAGTGCAGAAGGTCTTTGGCTTGTTTGGAAGGGGAGTGGGGTAAAGTTTTCTCAGAAAGGTAGGGAAGCTCTGCAGGGGCAGTTCAAGAACACACATCTTTGCATGTATGTGCCATCTCTGGAACGTAACCCCCACACAATGTATGATCGTACTGTACTTCTTCATATAGTGCATAGTTTAACTATGCAAATTGCTCCCAGAAGCGGTAGTAATGTCCGTCAACTTGGAAAATAAGGATATCAATGGCTACTAGTCATGATGGCTATTTTTTATCTGCCTCTGAACGCCAGTCACTAGGAATCACAAGTTGGGCAGCACTGTTGCACTCAGGTCCTGCTTGTGGTTTTCCCACAGGCATCTGGTTGGCCACTGTGGAAGCTGAACCAAATGGGCCACTGACCTGATCCAGCAGACTCTTCTTACCTTCTCAAGGTTGGCATAATTCTGATGCAAATGGTAGCCTGAACCACTGCACTAATGAATTGGGTGTGTCCACCAGCTACCAGCTAGCTTTTTGTCATCATCAGCATTGACTCCAGGTATTGCAGTGTCCTTGGGCAAGATACCTTCAGTGTGGCAACCCCATGTGTGGGCCCTCCTCCTCCTCCTCCCCGCTGTCACCACTGCTCATTTGTTGACCATCTCCCATTGGGCTCAATCTGCTCAGCTTCCCAGAGGGATCAAGCAACACAAACACAGTATGCTTATCTATTTCCTCACTCATTACACAAGACAAAACCTCTGAGGCTGACATCTTCAAGCGATCTCCACATTTAAAAACAAAACAAAACAAAACAAAACAAAACAAAACACAATTTTGTGAAGCAGCCCTTTGTTTTGTTATCAATGGGTCTCTAAAAGGTGATAGAAGGCACTCACTGTATGTGAATGCACCAACCTTACAGAATTAAGGTCAATTTTAAAAATTGCAGTCAGAAGATCTATTTTGCTGCTATTAATATTCATGCCTCTGGAGAAAACCTCTGTTCCAGCTGTTCAGATGCAGCATATGTCACTCTTAATAAATATCTATGACCAAGACAGCCTTCAGCCGCTAAATACTGGAGAAACTTGCGGGGTTACTGGCAAAAAAATCTTGGGAAAGCCCCAGTGTGGTTCTTCAAGTCATACCAATACATTGGGTTGTATTTAATTTAGCACTCTGGTCTCTCTTCAGATCATATAAATCTTTTGCCTTTTTCAATGTAGCACTAAAGAGATTTTCCCATCAGTGCAAGCATTTCTGCTTGTGCAATGGAACAGGCTCTTCTTCTCCTGCATGTTGTTCTAATGGATCTCCCCACCCCCCACCCCAGCAGCAGATTTGGGGAGAGAACAGAGTAACGTGCGGGAAAATCCCATTGTACCACCTTCCACTAACCCACTGGCTTGTTCTGCTTCTCTAAGCAAGTGTCTGAAGTGGGTTTCACCTTTTCTGAAGGTTTAAGAAATTAGGAGACTTCCGGGGTGGCGCCATCGGCAATGGCGGACTCCCTCTGAACTGGAGGGACTAGCTCTGCGTGAAACGGGTCTTTTCCGCTACGGCGAAGCGGGGATCCTGTTAAAAATCACAGGCGGATGAAGCCTGTGACCATGGGACTCGGCGGGCACCCTTAGCGCCCCTCCAACCCGCAGAGGAACCCACTAACGGGCTCCGAAGTGAAGAGGGGGAAGTGGCGCGGTGCTGTGAGTCAACTGCTATTTCCGTGGAGCGAAGCCGCATAGCCGTTGCCGGAGAGCGCTGCCTTTTTCCTGGGACAATTTGGCTTCTAAAATAAGCACCCGTGAGTACTTGGACTTTGAACAATCAGACTTTAAATAAGGACTTACGAGCAGAAAGGAATTGGACTTAAAAATTTACTTCAATTTGGTACTGAAACGGGAAGGTCTAAACAGGAAGTCAGCCTTCCGTTTCTTTGTAGACAGAATAAAGCAAAGACAACGTAAGCTAGAGCTCAGAAAATCGCTTCTAAAGGATTGGCTTTCATCATTTAAAATTGTTGAACCCCCCTTCGGCAGCAGGAGAAGGGGGATCTTTTTTGGACTGTTTAAACCTGCAGAAGTGAGTTTAAAGTAAAGTAACTTTCCACCGTCCTGATCCTGGAGCGGGGTGTCAGGACTGACGTTTGAAGCTCATTGACCAGAGACAAACGTTTTTGACAGATAGTTAAAAGAAGAGAAACATAGTGATTCCACTGTTTCCTTTCGCATTTTAAAGGAACAAATATTGACAAAATATCTCAAAAAGGATACTTTGTTGCAAGAACAAATAGAAGTTCTCCCCCTAGAGGGAGACTGTGAAACTGTAATTAATTCCAGGGAGCTTGCAGCTGTCACAGATTACAATGGTGGGAATGGACTTGTGACCTTGTAGGACAATGTATTCAGAGGCTCTGTTGTGTGCTCTCTGTAAAATAAGTGCCCTACTGGAACAGTTAAATGAGAAGATGGATTTGATGACTAATGCGGTCAGAATTTTTGAACAGGCAGTGGGAAACTATGTGGAGCCCACCCAGGAATTAGATCAGGAGTGTGTCCTGACAGAGCAGATGAGAGAAGAGGATGTTGCTGAATCTTGGGCGCCAGAGATGGAGGGAGCTGCGGCCTTGCAGGAACATGAGCTTTTGGATTTGACAAATGAACTTGGAAAAAGCCAGATTTGGAAAGATAAAGTTTGGATTGGTTTGGAAATGGGGGGTTGGATAGACCCCCCTATGCAGGGATGTTTGGACTTTCCGAGTCTGGCAACGGGCCGTGAGATGTTTGGAGCTGTGGGGGCTCTCAATTTTGGAGGGATTCTGAAACATGTTTCTAAATACCACATGGAGTTGAGTCTGGACTATAGAAAAGGGGCTGATTTGTTGAAAAGGGTCAAAAACATCACCAAGCTGGAGTTCCCACGAGTGAAAGGAGAATATGAAGAAGAGCCGTGGAAGGGACATGGAAGAGATTTAAGGGCCTCGGATATAAGGTTACCAGGTTAATGCGCTAGATCAAAGGGATAAAAAGGACTGACAAAACCCGGGACCAGGAGGAAGGGACGCTGGATGAAGATTGGATTGTTTTTATTTCTTTTTTTTTATTACCAGGATTGTTTTATAAAATTGATGAATGTTAGAAAAATGTTGGAACGAAATTACTTGGCTCTAGCAAAAATGTTTAAAGAATTAGGTAAGAATATTGTGGTTTGAGAAGTCGGTAAAAATAAGATTTAAGTTTTAAGTTTTTAAGGTTTTTTATAAGATAAGATGAAAATAAATTAAGGTAATGTAATGACAGAATATTATGAAATATGGAAAGGATTTGCTGCGATAATTATTAACTAGGATACAAAAAAAGGGAGGAGGAGGAGGTCAATGAGAGTTGAGGACTTGAGAATGATGGATTTATTTTTGTGTTTGCGGTGTATTTTTGTTTTTTGAATTTGTATTGTTTGATGTGGTTTGCTTTTTCTTTGTTTTTTCTTTTTTCTTTTTCTGCTTTGTTTTTTCTTTGTAATTCAAAAAATTTTCAATAAATATCATTTAAAAAAAGAAAAGAAATTAGTTTATAATGCAAAGTATCAACCCTTCCCCCAAAAACATTTCCCCACTACCACCTCCCCTCAAGCCACCACCATCTTTGAAGCAATTATTTCACAAACATAAAAACGTGGTTCCATCTTTGGGCAATTTGGCCTCAGGAAGCACCTGCAGGGTTTTGAAGAGGTTTAGATGTGCACCCACCAAATTCTAGAGTACAGTATGAAGGCATGTGATGCAGCAACTTTGCTGGTCTGTGCTTGGATGGCAGGCTACCTGGGAACCCCACCTTGAGTTTGAAAGGAGGAAAAGATCTAAGTGCACAGAGGCTTAGTAACCACCATACAGTAAAAGCACATGGTCCCCTTCAAAGAATCATGGGAACTATAGTTTACCCCCAGGGAGCTACCACTCCCAGTACCCCTAACAAACTTCAGCTCCCAGAATTCTTTGGGTGGAAGCTTGTTTGGTGTATACACAGCCATAATCTGACCCCCAGAATAAATTCAGCTTTTCCCTTAACTATCAGCAATGCAGACAACAATCATGATCCATGTGTGATCCATTCATGGCAAGCACTGCACATGGAAATACAACCTTGCTTTCCCCCAGGTATCTGCTGTGTCCTCTTCCCACAGCCCCATTGTCACCACTGTCTCTAGCACTCCACAGATGTACTCCAATCAAATAGTCATTTGCAAAAAAAGAACAGCATGAAAGTAGCTTCGGGAGCCTGTCAAAGTTCTGTTTCCTAGTAACAACGACCAAAAAAAGTCAACCAACCACTAATAGTGGTTGTTCCCTATGTTTTTCCTCTTTCAGACAAAGACTGTTCCATGCTAAATTAAGATGATAAACCTGAAAAGGCAACAAATACTCTGAACAGCTCCTGGCAGAGACTGTGAAGACAGTAAAGGAGCCACCTACCTGGCCATATGCCAACACAGTCGCGTTGTACCCCTCGAAGCAGCCCTCGATGAGTTTGCTCACACAGGTTGTGTAGATTTGTTCCTGCCACGTATCCAGGTCGAAGACAAAGTCGTAGGTAAAGGCTTTGTCCTTTCCCAGGAGCACCTGGGGTTCGCCAGGTGTCACTGATGTGCAGATGTGGCATCCTTCTATCTTCTCCTTTGGCATCTGAGGACGGATCCTGGAGAGAAAATGGAGGGGGAGGAGTGAGGACAAGTTCCCTTTATTTCGCAAGCCAGGGATGGGGAACACTTATCAGCCGAAAGTCTGATAAACCCTGGTTGTTGACACCTGAGATGTATATACTTAGGACCCATCTTCTTTCTTTGATTGGAAGTTTTTAAACACTGTGCTTTAATTATTGTCACCGACCTGTCAGGGTGACACTGACAGATAAATAACAATGATAAACATAATAATAACAACTCCTTCATGGGCAACCTTCCTGAGGCTGCATATCCATGGTATGAGTGACAAAACTGGGTGTGGTCAGACACACAACTCTCTCCGTCCAGGCAACAAGAGGTATGTGCATCAACCAATTCTGCAGCAACACTAAAGAATTCATTAGGGAGTGAGATGTCACATCCAGTAGCTATTCCAGGGCACAAACACCACAGAGGATTTGGGGCATATTAAAATTAATATTGATTGAATCCAAGTAAACAGATTCTCATGGTGCATCCCTAGTGTACAAATTCTGAAATATATCATCAACAACACTGTAGTTTAATCTGCATGCTGCCTTTCCACAGTTAAAATCATGCTCAAGGTGGCTTACAACGTGAAATGATTTACATGATTACAAACAAAAGTAGTCATAAACAATAAGGAAAACATATCAAAAAGTACACAACCATAACTGAACAATTTCAGCATAAATCATTATAAGATCTAAAAACAGAGAATGTATTGACTAATTTCCGTGCAAAACAAAACAAAACAAACCTCTAAGCAGTTAACAAAGTGCCATATATAAGCTTGGCACTATGTTAGTAATGTGGACTAGCCAATTTGCTATTTTTTAAAAAACCCAAAACAGAGTCCTGTGGAACCTGAAAGACTTATCAGCTTTCAGGGGCTACTAGAGACATGAAACGTTAATCTCAGTTGACATGTTATATATAGCTGCACACGGGTGTACACACAGAAGAGGTGCATGCAGAAAGGAGGAATTTTTAACAGAAGGGCTAAAGGCCTTGAAATGCATCTGTTACACTGCTATGCAAAGATCAAAATGTAGACAAGATAGATAGAGTGATTCATGTGTTATCTCAGGGAAGGGGAAATCAGTATTTTCTATCATGGACTCCAGGAAAGGGGGTGTGGGAAAGAGGGGAGAATTAAAACATCCCATCCTGTCCGTGGCACTCGGGAGAGCAAAAGGAAACGAGACAACAAAAACTGCCTTGCATTCTGGTGCCCAAAAGGGAACAAAGCAGCTCCTTCCTACATCTGCTACTTGTACAGATCCTGCTCAGCTTTGACCATGCGGTGTTTGTGCTCAGAACCAAGGCTCTGGACTTTTGTTTCCTGGAACTTCAAAAGCTAGCACCACACAGAAGCCACTTACAAAATTCAGGGGAGTTTCAAAATCCATTTGTGATATGGAATGGGGTGGGGTTCCGGATCGGGGTGAGGCCTACTGTGCCAAAATAAAATAATGTCAGAAAGTCCTGCTGGGGATCCAAAAGACCTTTGACAAAATGAATCTAATTCAACAGGTTGTGGTCTTTCGAGCTGTTCACTAGGAAGGTTGTAGCTGCTAGGAAATCATCTCCATGATGGGCTGTTAATCATAAAATCAATAATGGCTTAGAGTCAAAGGGCAGCAGGTTGATGAAGGCCGGCTTTGGCTCTGAGAGTGGGGAACATATCCAGTAGGATAAGGCTGTCTCAAAAGGCTGTTTAATGCCCCCCCTTTACCTCAACCCACCCCGCCATCCCAGAGCGTTCACCACCCTACACCACCTGCACCTAGAAGAACTGGCAGCTTTGCATTAGAGAGATGGAAGCAGCTAAGCTATTACTCCATGTAACCCAGGCTTAATGAGTCACAAGGTGACTGGTAATAGCACTAACATGACCTGGCAGGTGTCACCCTTCTGAGCTGTTATGTCATAGCTTGGTGAACACAAGAGCGCCACAGGCACAATAGGCTTTATTCATCCAATACAAGGACCTCACAAATCCGCATTAGAAAAGACCCATTGACGGCTCATTCCACTCCAAGCCCTTTGGCCAAGCTGCTGTCCCTTTTTCCTAGCAGGAGGGGGAAATAAACTGGTATTTCACCAACTGGCTAGCTTAACCCTGCTGTACGTGGGCTGGAAGTATTAGACAAAAACGAGGGTCATGCCAGGACTTGCTTTAACACCCTTGCTGTGGAGCCATCTGCCATTACCTCTTCATTAAGAAATGGTGAGGAGATGCGGTGGGATTTAAAGGTCTTCTAAGCATTGCCCACAAGAGGGTGTTGGGGCCTCAGCCTCAACCCAATCTCAATCATGTACATGCAGACGGCTCTCTCAGCTTCAGGGTCTGACACAAAACCCCAAAGGGTGTCTTCCAAAGACTTCAAAACCCACTTGTTAGCACTCAATAGGAATTAGAAAAGGCCAGAATTAGAGAGGTATCTCATTGTCATAGGAAGCTGACTGACTGTGACTGATAGTGGCCCTCCAGGATATTGGGCAGGAGCCTTTCCCAGCCCTAGCTGGAGACGCCAGGGATTGAACCTGGGACCCTCTGCATGCTAAGCATGAGTTCTACCACTGAGCTACAACACTTCCATGAAGATCAAGCGAGGAAAGCTTTGCACTAAGCTTGTTGCCTGGCCCACAGCAACTGAAGTTATCCAAGCCCAACTTCAAAAAGCAACCTCTCATTGGCAAAGGTAGGCACCTGACTGACAAGCACCTCCATGGGGTGGAGCATCACCAATTTAGTGTCACTCTAAACTTTTGAGTCCTGCAATTATCAGCTCACCTTTCATGCAGTCTTGCAACTGTGTACCAACAAAACAAACACATAGTATATGGTTGTTAGGCAGAAGCACTGTCTGCTTCACCAGAGAAGAATTCTTGGCAATGTCATATTCCTGACCTATAAAACTAGAATGCATGAAACCAAAACCCAGATGAGCCGTCCTGGCAGCAATTGCTTTTTTGACCTTTTAGCACCCGAATCATCAAGCGATGCATCATCTATCATCTCTTGAAATTGCTGATGCTAACAAGCCACTTCCTCTGTTCCGAATAGTTTTTTATTTCTAAAGAAACTTGATTTCCATTATTATTATTATATAATGGCAAATTTTCATTTTGGTATTTCCACCAACAGAGACACTCTTTGAACAACTGGGTGAGAGGCATGGAAACTTTCCTCAGTGAGATGCTATTTGTGCAAACCTGTGTTCAGCCTCCTCTCCTCAGAGCCAGGTAAGTTGCCAAGAACACCAGATCTGATGCTTTGTGGAAGAGGCATACATTGCCATCTGGGGCTCTAGTCAAGCCCATGAGTGTGGTGGCATCGGGTATGTCTGACACTGACAGTCACAAGACGGCAACCTCTAGCGAGAGGTTTACCATGTGCCAACAAGCCCACGTCCACTTTGCAAAGGATGTTCAGAAACGGTGGGGCTGCTCCCTTGGGTAGGCTACATATGAGCCTTTCTGTGCCTCCAGGATGGAAAAGCAGCAGTCCCCATGACATGATTGCCATGACAACCGAGTCTCGGCAGCAGGAGGAGGGAATGAGACAACCCAAAAAGGGAACACACACTGACACACTATACAAAACACCACTTGGGCAGTTTCTCCAATGGCCCCGACACACACACAATGGCCTGGCTGTTTAGCTCCATCAGCAAAAGCCAACATTTATAGAGAGGGGAACCAATTGGGCTGGCATCCAAAGCACAAATGGGCTCTAGTCTTAAGAGTGAAAGCCACAGCCCTGAGGCCAAGAAGGAGCTTTCCCCCTTCCCCACCTCCTTGGCAGCCTCGCTACATTGAAATGTCTGATCCAGGAAGATTCCCCACAGAGAGGATTCTGTCCTCTTATTTCCCTGTCAGCCCAGACTCTGTCCTAATCTTGTTTTTGACAGCAGAATGCATCCTAAAACTATCCCTGCTAAAAACAGAGATCAGATTCTTTCTCACATACGGCTAGTACAGCGCTGTGCCTAGCAACTGCCCGCCAGTAATGAACAGCCTGAGTTGTGAGTGAGTTTATTAAGAGCTTCGGCTCACTGTTTCACGATCCACCATGGAGGACGTCTCCCTTCCTTTGCTTTCCAGTCAGATCAGAGGGTTTTCTTGCATTAGTCAGAACAGATAGGATAACTTGGGGACTCTTGTTATCAACATAAGCTGCTCATTTCCCTGTTTTATTCTGCAGCTGTTGAGAACTAGAAACTTAGGAAGCAGAGAAGCACAGTCTAGAACAATTTCAAAGTTAAGTACCTAATTGACATGGATAGAAAGCCCAAGTAATTGGAGAAAAGCCTGAGCCTATCAGACTCAATCAGCAAATGCTTTTTCTTGCTACTCAGCTTGAGAGAGACCATTAGCTCTTCTGTAAGAGCATTAGTGCTATCCTGAAAGTGCCTGTAGGAAGCCATTTCTGACTTCATCAAAGAAATGGGTAGTGGAAGTATCGAGAGAGAGCCCGGACTTTCAAGCACTTTTGCTAAGAGCATACATAATGAAGGCAGAGTCTAGAAATAAGCATGGGTTGCATCATGCCGGAGCAATGAATATGGCTCAGTAGACCATGTGCTTTTATTTCCCCTCTCCATCACACCTTCCCATCTCATCACAAGCACACAGAGAAAGTGAAACAGAAGGAAACCAATCCACACTATGGAGGATAATGACACGGGGAATTGTGCTGACCATGCTTCTCTTGATATATCTGCAATACAAAATCTAGCTAATGTTCAACTTTATGGGAACGAAAATTAGACCTTTCAGTGGCAGACATAGCTATGTACAGGGAATGCCAAAGCATACTTTTGGATATTTTTCAGTGTGTTTGTGAATTTCCATCTAGTCTGGAGTCACGAATTCCTTATTTGGTAAGAGTCAGCCTTATCTTTTATCACTTTTCAAGGAACCAAGCGCTTTTCAACAAGGCATTATGCTGATATAGAAGTCAGCAAGCAAGGAAGACTTTGTTAATAAACCATACAGTACTAACTTTCAGGACTGCAATTTAAACATAAATTAGAAACCTCTCTCCTCCCATGAGCAGGTACCTGGTAGGGTACTCTATATGCTCCTAGCATGTCTCCATGCAAGTAGGAGGAGGGGTTTTGATACGCTCTAGCAGCTATTACTCTGTGAAGGAAACAATCCCACATTTCCAGCTGTATCAAATAACTAGGATTGAAAGAGACAATTTCCTACATCAAGCCACTAGGCTTAAGCAGACAATTAAGAAACATGTTTTCCATAAAAGTCAGGTGGCGATCTGTTTTAATTTTTGTGTGGTTTTTATTGCATTGTAATACATGTAGACTGCTTTGATGTTATGAAATTGCAGTATACAATTTTTTTTATTATAAATGGATAAATATTTTGGACTTCGCCCAAATGAGGGAAGCCTTTCCATTAGCAGCAAGAATAAAAGACATTCTCCTCATTAAAACCGGCTGTAGAAAATCGGCATCATTTTGCCATTACTGGCCTGCAGACCTCTACAACCACTACTCCAAAAGGCAGGCCCCTGGACAGGGCGGAGTAAGGCAAGACTTTATGTAGGGATTCAAATTTCAAACAGAAACAAATGTACACAGTTTGGGGGAGGGGGTGGAGCTGGATACAAAAGAAGGAAATTAGTGTTTTGTTTTGAATTACCCCTGCCAGTTTTACACTAGGGGGCTTGTTGGAGGCCTCTGCTTATGGGTGTCCTTGAAGGCCGAATAATACTAACCCTGATCGATCCTATACAGTGGTACCTTGGTTTACAAACTTAATCCGTTCTATAAGTCCCTTCTTAAACCAAAGCGTTCTTAAACCAAGGCATGCTTTCCTATAGCAGCCAGGGACTCAATTTACAAATGGAACACACTCAACAGGAAGCAAAACATGTTCTCCTTCCAAGGCAAAGTTCACAAACCAAAACACCTACTTCCGGGTTTGCAGCATTCTTAATCCAAGTTGTTCACTAAACTGCTCTTAAACCAAGGTACCACTGTACTGGCACTGCCTTATGGAACAGAAGGCCTCAGAAGATCTCTCTTTCAGGATATTTTCAAAACCTTAGGGAAAGGCATTGATTCATATGGATTCAGCAGTCTACTTTCCACAGGGCATTATACTCACAAATGCTTCTAATTAACACAGACTATAAAAAGTGGAGAAATTCTGAAGTAGGCACTCAGGGCAGCTTCTGCAATCTATAAAGCAGCTATAAAGCACATTCAGTGGTACAGTTAGGTAACTTGGGACTTTGGACTTAAAAGTCTTATGGGGTGGGGTGGGGGTGCCCCTCTTTAGATGGATTTGTGAATTACTTCACTTACTTCAAACTGTGGTAAGCCAGTCCTGCTGTATTTGGAACAGGGCCCTGGACTTTTCTGCACTGCCGTCGCCAGGGCTCACACTCCCAACTTCAAATACAGTGTCTGAGTTACCATTATCAAATGCACCAGTTGCATGCAGAACCACATTTGTATCATTTGTACGAATTGGAACAGAATTCCCCCAAAGGGGAATGCCACTCCCCGGTGTCACACTTCATGTCAAATGTAAGGACAAATTGTGATATAAGGGACAGCTGGAGTCAGAACAGCTAATATTATTGAATCACTGTACATTTCCAAATCTTTGCCTGGATTAGTCAAGGCTATGAAGTATTCTCCTAAGGATACTAAAATAGAGGTTGTACAGCAAGACAACAGATTCACTGCAACTCATAAGAGAACCATACACTTCAAGAACCAGCCAGGTCCTTTAAACAAATGCTCCATCTTCCCTGGGCATAATTCAACATGTAAGAAGATCAAGGAAGAGGCTATTTAAGCCATAATGTCCATGACCAGGGGACTATTACCATGAAATATAGATTAGACAAGGCACAAATGATGAGGCTTCAGGGTCCCATTTATCATGGGAAGAGCTATTATCATCCCAAATGTAGGCTGGGAAACAGGAATGGCAGATACTAGCATAATCTGGGATGGTTGCATAAGAGGCATAGCCTGTCTTGCTTCTAGTGCTAGACTTCTGAATTTTGTTCTTCCACTGGATAGGGCTACATTAAAGGTTTTCCACACATCAGTATTGGGCTATATTTACTTTATTAGGTAACTGGACCTGGAGCAGCTATGCCATGAACCCCCAAACTCGGCCCTCCAGCTGTTTTGGGACTACAACTCCCATTATCCCTAGCTAACAGGACCAGTGGTCAGGGATCATGGGAGTTGTAGTCCCAAAACAGCTGGAGGGCTGAGTTTGGGGTTGCCTGATCTATGCTAACAATGTTTAGAAATGACTGGACAACTCAAGAGTGTCTTTACAAGGGACATTCTCTTATAAGAGAGCAAAATTTTCTTGCATGGCCATCTTCTTAAAACTGCCAATGTGTCTCTCCGACTTCAGTTTTCTTCCCCCCACCCAACCCGATCCTCTTAATCCATTCTGCCTTGCACCATGAAGACAACTCTTCCAGAAAAGTCTGTTTCCAATCTTGTTTATATTATGATCTTTGGAGCGGACATGCACATTTCTCTTATTCTTCACAATGAGTTTTGATCAGCTTGCATTTTTAATGCAAACAGCTGCTGAATCATGTCACCCAAGTGATACAAATTGAGCAAAATGGCAAAAACTAGCACCGTTTGCAAATGATTTTGCTTCTTGCAACCATTAAGAAGGGAAGGAGTTATACACAGCACTGAAGCACCTTTTCCTGACCACTGAAAGTTCTGCAAAGCCCCCATGTAGGTTCTTAGGCATTCACGGTGTACTGCCAAACAGTTTCAAGCCTTGAGAAAAAGGTATTTGCATTTTTTGAGCCAAGATCCTCAGGACATTGAATTTTGTGCTCAATACAAATTTCAGAACTGACCTAGCTCTATGTCATTTCATTTCTATGTACCTAAACACACAATGTTTGCAATGGAAACATACATGTAGCATAAACTTCAGAAACTTAACTACATGTTGGTGCTAAAATGCTTTTCCATATATTTATATTTAAAATATAGAAATATATAGAAAATATGTTTTAAAAACTGCTTCCATGAAAATAGCTAGCAAGTGATAAATGAATAAGTATTTTGGTGCTGATTTAAAAATTGAGTTTAATGGATTTCTCAGGGTTTATTTGTTTTTAAAGGGCCACTCAGGGGAACTGGACTTTCTCCCTCTTCACCCACGGGGCTATGTCATGGTCAACAGTATGGATGAAACGCAGCAAGATACAGACACAAAAAAGTGTCGTATTTCCAATAGCATAGAAATCGATTGCCGTTCCACTTGTAGCTCGCAGCAGAAGAGCAATGCTTAGTAGCTCTAGGAACTCCCAGTCTGGAAGCAGCCCTGGGTTACAACATGCTTAACCTCGACACATGTCTGCGATTGCAAGGGGAAGACTGTTCCCATTTAAAAGGAACAGAAATTGCACAACATTCACAGCACCACTGCCTCCTCGCTTATACCTCCCAGGAGAGGGCATCTGGGTTAGATTTGCATGTAAAACTCCTCTTTGCACACACCAAGTCCCAGGCCTGTCCTTAGTTTCATGTAACAACGCAGAATATTTTGACAGCATCTGGTACAGGATACTCCCTCAGAGCCCAGGAGGTCAGATCAACCATGAAGAAAGAGCTAGGGAATAAATAGCCAAGCTTTCCTGCTCTCTACAACCCCAAAACCTGCTGGGGAGGAAAGCCACTTCTCTTCCACAGACAACTACAAAGAAGTGTGTTAAAAATATCCTGCCCCTCCCCTTAATAGTTTTGCCCCTATACTTCTCAGGACAAAGGCCCTGTTCATGGAAGGATTTATGTACTCAGTAAAATACCGCTTAGATTCTGAGTAGTGAACAGTATTCTCTAGCCTTAAGAATGTTCAAAGTATTTTAAACAAACACACACACACATAAAGAGAGAGACAGACAGACAATATCTCAGTCATTTTAGTACATATGTTAAACAACATGTATTACATGAATTCTCTAGGCTGAAGTTGATAATACCATATTTTTCGCCCCATAGGGCGCACCGCCCCATCGGACGCACCTAGGTTTTTTTGGGGGGGGGGGAAATAAAGAAAAAAAATATATTTCCCCCCCAGGCGCGGGGCTGGCGCGGGGGAAGCCCGAGCTTCCCCCGACCCCAGAACAGCCTGCTATCCGCAAGCCTCGGGAGCCCGGCGCGAAGTCGCGCCGGTCACCCCAGGCTTGCAGAGAGGTGCGCGAAGCCCGGGCGCGCTCTTCAGCGCGTCCCAGGCTTCGGAATGCAGGCACCTCTGCGCAGCCGTCGGGAGCCCAGCGCGACTTCGCGCCGGGCTCCGGATGGCTGCGCGGAGCTGCGCGAAGCCCGGGGCTGCAGGCACCTCCGCGCAGCCGTCAGGAGCCCAGCGCAACTTCGCGCCGGGCTCCCGAGGGCTGCGCAGAGCTTCCTGAAGCCTGGAGAGCAAGAGGGGTCGGTGCGCACCGACCCCTCTCGCTCTCCAGGCTTCAGCGAAAGCCTGCATTCGCCCCATAGGACGCACACACATTTCCCCTTCATTTTAGGAGGGGAAAAAGTGCGTCCTATAGGGCGAAAAATACGGTATATCTTCAGAATGCAGTGCCACAGCTACAAGCAAGAGCAGTTAAGACTGATATCAGCATACTCAAACCAACATTACTGAAAAACTACCACCTATTGCAAATTTGGATAACAGTAAGCAAACCATTCATTTACCTCTAACAACTCATTTTTTTAAATATAAAGCTATGGAGGAATAAAGGGATGAACCTTAAATTTCATTCTTTTCCTTAAACCAGGAGCAACCTTTTAGACCTTAGGGCCACATTCACACTCTGTCAGCTCTCTGTGGGCCAACAGTAAATGTGCTTAATGTCTAAGATATTTGTCAGTTAAAACAAGATGTCTCAACAAATGTCTCAACGGCTCGTAGGATGTGGAAGCCTAGCAACATTTTTCCATTCCGTTTACGTATTCAAATATTGCTGCAACAGAGTGAAGAAAGAAATGGATTTGAATTTGGCATTTGCACTTTTTCACTCTGGAAAACACCTTAGGCATTTCCTCTATTCTTTTAACCAGCTATCATAGATCAATCAGAAGATGCATTGTCGACCACGCACAGTTTAAGAACTGCTACCACAGAAAACAACAAATGTCCTGTATTGCAGATTTTGCATCTCCTAAAGGTCTAAACTACAAATATGCAGGAAATCAGAAATTGGATCCCACAATGTGTGTGCCTGCTTTCATTGAAATGCAGCTGGGAGAAATTGCCCTTTTTTTCTGAGCTACAACTGGGATGGGGTGGGGAAAATAGGATTTTGATTAGGAAAAGCATTAAGTATCACTTACTAGTGATCATAAAAACAGAAACAAAACCCTAACAACCCTCACCCCCAGGTGAGTAACAACTTTTTTAAAAAGAAAATGAATTGGAAGTTCTAATTATTATTGCCTCATGATGTGCTTTTTGGTCTTAAGGTAAAGGTAAAGGGACCCCTGACCATTAGGTCCAGTCGTGACCGACTCTGGGGTTGCAGCGCTCATCTCGCTTTATTGGCCGAGGGAGCCGGCGTACAGCCAGTCATGTGGCCAGCATGACTAAGCCGCTTCTGGCGAACCAGAGCAGCGCACGGAAACGCCGTTTACCTTCCCGCCGGAGCGGTACCTATTTATCTACTTGCACTTTGACGTGCTTTCGAACTGCTAGATTGGCAGGAGGCTGTTTGGTTTTACACTGGTCTTACACGCCTCTTATTTTTGAACAGCTCTATCTGCCTCACCTGACTATTCACAAATTGGTATATGAAAGTAGGACTTGCTGGCCCAGCAGCATCTACTGCACCTACTAAACAATATATCACCCTCCCCAGACACTGAGATCTCAACCAGAGGCCCTCTTGTGTTCACACACACACACACACACACACCCTAGGTCTGTGAGGTGGTACCCAGAGACAAGGCCTTTTGTGTGGCAGCTTTTTGAGGCTTTTGGGGACCCCCAAAAGATTTATGCAGTTCGAGTGGTCTTCCCTCAAGTAATTTTTGTCCCATTTGCTGGACTGGATTATGTTGTGGAGGATATGAATGAGTTTTATTGTTTTGAAGTGTACTGGTAACACTTATTTTAGTGTTGTTTTATTGTTGCAAAGCACTTTGGAGGGTCTTTGTCCAGAAAAGCAACAAAGAAATGTTTTAAAATAAATAATACCAAAAGAAATAAATAATACCAAAATAACTAAACTGGGACAAATTGTGCACCACCATGCTGCAAAAAGCTTTTATGTCTGGGACAAATGCCCTGGTGTGTCATCACAATGCCAGGGTGAAAGGGCATTCTGTGTAGAGCAGGGATGCCCAAAGAGGGCCAGATTTGATGAAGTGAACATGCGCGAGGGCTGACCAAAGTTGTTGTGCTTTTTTTAGGATTTTACCCCAGGACATATACTGTCATGGGGGCCGGATTAAATTGACCAGTGGGCCCCCGAAATGGACTTTGGACATGCCTGGTGTAGAGGAATTCACCGATCTTAAGTGCTTGTGCTTAAGCATGCTTTTAAAAGGTCTACTTTGTTTTTAATGGAGCCCACCTTGTTCATGGAAAAGCACAAGAACTCTGTGGTGCAATCCTGTTCATGTATAGGCAGAAGTAAGCCCCACTGACTATGTCTCAAATAAGTGTGTGTAGGACTGCAGTCTAGAAGTCTGACATAACTTCCACTGTGCAGAAAACTTGACAAGAGGAATCACCCAGAGACGAGAATGGTAACTGTCATCAATCCATTCCCTTTATTTGTATCACATGTTCAGAGCCCTCAAGGCGAGATTTAGCACAAAGAAAAGCAGAACTGTCTGAAGCTCAGCCCAGGCAGGAACTAACCTCATAACTCTCACCACTGGAACTCACACTCTTCAAACATGACAGTCCCATTTGCATAGGGGCCAGAAAAATTAGACAAAGCGGATGGGGAGGTAGCTTTGTGAATGTGATGCTAGTCAACAGCATTCTGGTTCCTACAGAAAGAAGCTTGCCAGATGGGAAAAGAGATTAGAGCCCTGCTTGAAGCATGATGCTTGAAGAGGGAACGGAAACATGAATGGGAGTGAGGGGCAGTGCATGCCAGCTTCCCCCCACCCCACAGACATCCTTGCATGGGGCAGCCGCACCCTCTCCACCACTGACCTTCTTGCATTGAACTGGAATGTCTGAAGTGGGGTGCTAAGCACATTTTCCATGATAAGAAGCTTCCTCACAACCAGGGTCCCAGTAACATCACAGGGCTCCTAATCATTGGGAGGCCTGAGACCTTCCCAGGCAAGGCAAGAAGGACAAGGGTGGGATGGACAGGAATGTTGGGGTGTGGATGGCATGGACATCTCCCTGGTTGTGTTGCCATGCCCTGCTCAGGTATAAAGCCTGAAACAAGGCTTCAGTTCTCCAGGACAGAAGCTGGAGAGGCAAGAAGGAAAAGTGAGGGAGACCCGATCCAAATTACCATATTCTGCGCTGCTACAAATAGGTAATGCAGCCTGAGCCATGCAGCAATAGACCATGTAGAAATAGAGGAATGGCAGGAATATATACCCAACCCAGGGGCTCATGGGAATCTTTGAAGGGGGAATCAAAGTCAGACACTGAAAGGGGGAAGCAGGCTTATTTCTCTCTCACACACACAAAAGAGAAGAAAAGTGCTTGTTCATTTTGCCTCATATTTCAGGTTCTACAAATGCTAGAAACTGACATTAAAAAAGAAAACTGCGGAGCTAAAGTTTTAGCCATTCAGAGGGGCCATTCAGGGGGCAACTTCTTCCCTTTGCCTTCCTTGTGGACCCCAATGACACTCCCCCCATCTTTTTGTGTTGCAAATGAGGTAGAATTATTGTTTCAGAAAGCATTTGGAGGAGCTTTATTTTAGTGTATGCTGAATTTTAATGGTTTTAATTCTGTGATTCTTATTACTATTTGTTTTGCATTTTTTTGGCTCCAAAAACACCCTGCTGAGTACAGATCTGTATAACAACTTAGAAAGAAATGAAAAGCTAGAGATGTGTATCATTGTATCAGAATGAATTAAACATTGAACCAAACTGTTTATTTATGAACCAATGTACTTCTAGGCTGATTACAAAGTAAAAAAGCATCAAACAACAATACATGCATTAGAGCATCAGTTGAGAGTTTAAGCTCATTTGTTATGAAATGAAAGCACAGACTGATGAACAGGTACATTTCTCATTGTTCCCATTCATTTTTCTAGTGGCAGCAGACCTGATCTCTGCAGCCATTCCTGGCTACCACAGCCCAGAACACGGTGCCCCAATTCCCTCTCTTGTTACATACTTTCTCACAGATCCATATTCCTACCTATTCCTAATGGCAATCCAATGGCCAATCCCACCTGCCATTCAACAGCAGCAGCAGCAGCTCTGCTGGTTACTACATGAAAGTTCCAGAGCAGAGCACACAAGCCAGCTGTCCCTTGCTAGCTCCTACTGTGTCTTTCTTGCATGGACGGATTCAGTGATGCCAAATGAAATCTTGTTGACATGACATCAGGCCTTCCAAAACCCTAGGAAGAAAGGCCCCGTTTGTGCTGAGAATTAGCAAATAGCAGCATTTACATCCCTTCACACGGGGTAAGTACTGTGTTAGACAGCACCATCCCCTTGGCAATGCTTACTCCAACTGACAGCTTTGTAGCCAAGGCAATAATATGCCTCCCAAGCCAGAGAAATACCGGTAATGTCTCATCCAAGAAGCTACCATGATAAGACTCCTCCATTCAGGATTGCCATCCCCTCCAAACTATCCTTTGCATACCTGACAAGCATGCAAGTGTAGATCCCACATATGGTACATTATGGAACACTTGAGATGCTCCAGCAGCAGTATGGAGAGATGTTTCTCCATGGCTTCATTCCAATGCACTGCTATAATGTTTTAAAGGTCTGGTACCACTAGTTCCCACTGAACTCATTCTTCCCACCTTGGCAGGGAAATGCTGCAGCAGGGTCCTGGGATTAAATACTGCTGGAAAAGCAGATCTCAGCCTATTGCCAGAATACCTAAAAGATGCTTCTGTTTCTTATTAGGTGGTTCCTTCAGAATGCTATGATGCTGTAGTACCAAAGTGGGTTCCAGGTGGGCAGCTCTGGCCATCCAGAGGAGGACAGTTCTTGTACTGCTCCCTCATACCATACATATGCACTGGAAGGGTTCAACTTGCCTCTCATCCAAAACATGGAGGTATTTACAGCCTCTTCCATATGACAGCTACAAAATGCTTTGCAAAGATCTGATCCCTCGGTTTCTTTGTTCCAATTCAGCTCCCATCCTGTGCAGGTTCCATCTTTATAAGCAATGTTTTAAATGTGCTTTTGAGCCTCATTCACTATTTCTGCTGCATGTTGTTAACACGGTCACAGAATCATAGAACTGCCGAGCTGGAAGGCACCCACAAGGATCATCTAGTCCAACTCTCACAATGAAGGAATCACAGCTGAAAAATCCCTGACAGGTGGCCATCCAACTTACGTTTAAAAACCTTTTAAAAATCCGCAACTTTCCAAGATCAGAACATAACAGGAACATCAATGCACACTGCAAAACTGACACCAGCTACAATCAGTTTTACACACCAGTTTAACTCATGGAAACATGAAGAACCTGCTACGCCAGTGTTTCTTAAACTGTGGGCCAGGGACCATCAAACAAGCATTAGCATCACAGCCTATCCCCTGGTCATGCTGCAACCTTCTGATTGGATGCACCCTAGCAGCAGCTCCCGCATGTGCAGGGCATGAACATGCCCTGGAGCCGGAGTCAGGTTAAACAGCAGAGGCAAGAGTGAGAGCGTAGCATGCAGATTTGCAATGGAAGAAATCGTAGCGAGGGGGAAATAGATAATGTGCCAGGAAAGGAACAGGAAGAAGGGAGGTAAAAGAGTCAAAGTGGCTGTGGGAGGTGAAAAGGAGAAGACCCCAGGAGCAGCTGCTGAGACTTCTGGGTCCTCTGCTTCACACACATCCCCACAAACCACAGCTGGCCTCCTACTGAGCCAGGAAGCCTTTCCCGCCTCCTCTGAGGTGAAGGAGTCAAAGGGGCCACTGAAGGAAGTCAGAGAGACAAAAGTTGAATATTTTAATAAATAATAATAAACTGGGAATAGAGGTGAAGGGGATGCTCACTCTGCCAAGCTGTCAAAGAAGAGGAAGAAGTGAATGTTAAATGGAGCCAGGGAAGAGGAACGAAATAAACTGGCAGTGGAAACAGGGAACAAGTTAGAGTGTGAAAAGAGGATAAATAACAGCAGACAACTAAAGATACTTTTGAGAGAGATGTGCTGGGGTGAAATATAAAATAAAACAAACCCTTCTACACTTAGACCCTCTGGATCAGCAATTCTGCTTAAAATGGGGAGGCTGGATCACAATACTTCCAATCCCTTGACTTAGCTTGAGAGAACTGTGGAACTCTCTGCCACAAGGAAATCACCATGGCAAAGAATTTAGCGAAGAAGGATTAGATATCAGTAGAAAATGATGTAATTAATATTCTCTGCCTCCATCTCTCCCCACTATTTTTCCTGCATCTACTCTGCCATTTTGTTACATCAATTCTGAGCCCTCTCAAGTGGGTCCTCAGAGTAGACAGTTTGAGGACCCCTGTACTAAGTGCTTCCTGTTTCTGATACATCTTTTTATTTCCTGGCCTAAAGCAATCCAATATAATGGACAGCAACAGCTTCTACCTTCCCTGCGCCCTGTGGAAACAGACTACTTATACTGAAGACACACCTATTTAGGAAGAAACCAGCATTTTCACTCCCTCTCCCCCACTTCCATCTATACCCGCCAATTACATCCTCCACGTCTTCCTGAGGCTTGAATGACATCAGAGTAAATACTGGCAGCGTGGGAGCAAGGAGCTACTGGGAAGTGGGGGGAAAACTTTGTGTTCTTTCACCAAGCATAGCGCCATTAACAAGTTGGCAAGCTATCATCTGAAACCAATTCCTATGGAATACTCCTGCTTTTTGCCCCAAAGGGGCTAGTACTGAAAACTTGCCATTTCACCCCCGCCCCTTACAAAAAGGAAAAGCCACTTGGCATATGCTGGAGTAAGACATGAGGAGGGAGGGGGCAGTGTTACTAGCAGCAGGGGGCTCCATCTCTTGGAGAGATCAAGGACATGGCATGCTTCAGCAAGAATGTTTACAGAAGTGGCTAAGGTCTGGAGGTTGCAAGGGTTTAAATAAACTTGAGAAATCTACTTCCTTCCCCCAGTTTCACAAGCTCCATTTCCTGGCCCTCCTCAGCTCTGACAAGAGCTCTCAGACACTTCAGGAAGTGCTCCGAGGCCAATCTAATTTTTCTAATTTTTATTTCTTGAAAGCACACATCTCTGGCAATTGGTATGCAACAGGTTTGTTTGTTCTGTTTAGCTCTTTTGCCTAGCAGTTCTAAACCAGGCCCATAGAATCCCTGTGATTCTCAAACCAGTGAAAAACAATGGCACACAATACGGCATCACCGCAGAGCAACCTTAAAACCGGCCACACTAAGTGCTATCATTCAGGTTTACTGATATCACAAGCTTGCATTTTCAGTGGAAACAACCCATCCTGGGTGACTGAGCTGGACTCTACATAGTTATTTGCTGAAACACTAAACAGCCCAGAAGAGACTAGGAGCAATCTTTGCGAAGCCAAGAGCTGAAGAATATGAGCATGCAACAATGGGCGTGGGTAATTTCTGAACTAAGGCGGGCAGAGCCTGCTAGATCATAGTGCAAGCAAGCAGGAAACCCACAAAGTACCGTAATCAGTTTATCTCCTGCAAAGCCACTTTTGACGACAGCCAGAGTCTGAGTTTTTATGCTCAAATTATTTCCACCTTCAAAACCAAACCGAGTTAACATAATGCCAGACTTAAAACAGCCTTCAGTAAATTGGTCCCAAAAGCTACGCAGACATTCAGAATGACCAGAAATTGCACTGTGGTGTCTGAGATAGGTCTGGAGTGGACATTAGGCAGACTTAAAACTTAATGAAGCACATGTAAACGAATTTAAGCAAATAAGCTTTTAAGACAATCCACAAACAAGATAAATGTGATTATTTTTTAGTCTGCCCAGGGTCTGATGGCCCTTCTTCCTGCTGCGGGTGTCATTTTAAAGCAGTACAAAATGCACTTCTGTACAAAATGACAGTGTTTCTGTTTCAAGCACATTCAGATTGGGGGGTGGGGGGAAATCCTTGATCAAATTTGTTCTTAAGTATTTAAAAGGGGGGTGGAATGGCAAATAATACATACACGAGCTCTACACAACTGATGCAGCATGTATAGATTTAATTTTGCACTCTGGTCCCTGTATGCAAGAAAAGCTGCTCTTAGCTGCTTGAATTAAACTACTGTATCAAAAACCCTGATCTGCAGGAAGATTCTGTGTCATCAGTTAGCAAATGATGTCAATGGCTTCCCAAGTCAGAAGTAGGCCTGGCCTCCCTAGGGATGTGCAGTTCTCTCAGAAGATACAAACTAAACTCCATTCAGATCCCCCCATTGTTTGTATGTGGGACTTGATTGTTAGGAAGGCAGAACACCTGCTGTATCCTACCCCTCTTCAGTACAAAGAGCAATGACATGAGAGACATTTCACTGGGTTTTGGTTTCTCTAGGATTTAGTTTCTCGTCCTTTGCCTCCACCGTCTCTCTAGTGTATTGCAGTCGATGCTCCCCTAACAACTCCTCCCTTTAAAAAAAAACACCAATCTGTCCATGTGCAAATCTGGCATTTCCCATATAAATCAGTTCCATTGCAAGGTGCCTCTTGGACAGTTCCCCAACCCCCTCTTGTAAACCACTGAAGAAGCTGAAAGGTTTGACATCACATGCTATAGGATTGCAATTAAAGTAAGAACAAAAATCCTTTCTTTCTTTCTTTCACACGTGTCAGTTCTTTGGTTTGAGATGCCATCTCCTAAGCTGCATTGAAGTCTGTAAAAAAAAAATGATAGGGCATATAAAACCTCAATCTCTACTGCAAATGCAAAAAAGAGAGAGAAATATATGGAGAATGACTCAGATACAAGCCTGTTTGAAACAGTCCTCATCACACCTAAAGAACCAACAGAGGCAGAAAAGCAGATTTCTTCCACTTTCAAAGAATGTGTCTCTAAGTATTCCACACAGACCTCTCTGAGCCTGCAAGTTGGCATCATAAACTGAAAATGGTTTATTTTTATTTTTTTTAAATCATCATGTGAAAAAGATTAAAGAGAAATCTGGATAAACGGATCAGCTGGTAAGGCAAACGGCAACCCATTCTGTTGGAAGCTGGCAGAGAGGCAGACATTGAGAGAAGGATGATCATTACCAATTTTTCTATATATAAAAAAGAAGGCCCCCACATAGAGGTATGTGGTTGCACCACTTGAAAGAAAGTGTTACTGTCCTTGCTGTTTGTTTGAGAAGCTTAAAAAGGCTTCTGCTTGCAGGACACACTCAGTGACAGACAGAAGTAGAACAAAGATAATTATTAGATGTGGAAGAAAATAACACAAGAGGCAACATGCAGTCACTGAAGGTTAATTGTGCAGCCACTGTCTGGCACAACACCACAGTCCCAGGCTACAGTCCCAGAACATTTATCCATCACCTGGCATGTCACAACAACACATGAATGGAGTGGCGTGTAGAGCTCTAGGGGAGGTGGGAGGAAGCGGGGGAGAGAGAGCGTTGTGCAGGCTTCTGCCAGACTAATCTGATATTCTTTTTTGAGAAGATAATTGGTTTTCTGGGCAAAGGAAATGCCATAAAGCATTCGCTGCAGTACCACATCAGCAATTATTAATGAAACTGGAGGATATATATGTACAGTAAGATGGATAAGGAACTGGCTACAGTAAATGGAGAAAGGTTTTTGTTAAAAGGCAGACCTTCAAACCAGAGTGGAGTTAAGGGGTGGAGTTTCTCAGTGATCAATCCAGAAGCCCATTTTTAACCAGTATTTTCGTTCAGTTGGCAAGGAAACTGTAAGTGAAATCTGCTGAGGATGCAAATTAGAAGATGCTACCGATAAAATGGAGAATCAAGAAGCAACAAAGAATTGGCCCACTCCTTAAATATCAAAGCACTGGCATGGAGAGTCACTTTTCCATGGGTGTGTCCCACGATGGTGCTGCAACATTTAAAGGGACGCCATGTCTTGGACCAACTGCATCAGAACCAGCTGTGTGACAGCTGAAGACAAGGATCCACATGGCTGGCTCTGCCCACACCGTAGCTGGCCCAAAAATGTTAAAGCTGCACCAACTCGATGACCTTTTACTCACTAGTCTTATGATTGGTTCACATACACACACACTTTTATTGTGGACTGGAGGGTGAAAATCCACTGCAGACACTATGGACAGGTTACAATGGCCACGGAATGAAAACAACATGCCAATGGAAACTTCTCAGTGCCACAATTCTAATATGATGGCAGACTGCTGTACAGATCCTCATCTCTGCATAAGGAATTTCCATGGCATCACAGGATATCTCTAGAAGTGCTTGGGAAAGGTATGGAGGTTCTCCATTCAATGATGGCTGCCCATGTGATAAGCTACTCTACATTACAGCTCCAGAACGGAAAACTCACCATGGGAATATGGTTCTCAGCAGCATCCTTATTGGCTACTGTAATGTGTCAGTCCTTCTTTTAGGTCAGGGTTGAGCAATTTGTGGCCCTCCAGATACTTCTGGAGTACATACTCTTGTCATCCCTGACCACTGACCATGCTAGCTAGGGTGGATGGGGGCTGGAGTCCAACATCTAGAGCACCACAGGTTCCCTACCTCTACTCTATAGATATTAAGCAGTGTTTGATTTGCTTCTCAGATGTTACTATGCAACCATCTCCCTTCTGTCTGCTCCATATTCAAGGAGCTGAGCCACATTATTAGAAAGGTCCATCCACTGACTATTGTGCTGGCTGTTTGGCTGTAATAATAAATGTCCATTCAATCAATCAATCAATCAATCAATCAATCCACTGACAGATCTTTTCCATTCTGCATGTGTAGGTTGTACTACCCACGGAAGGCAGAGTGATCATCCAGACTCCCTTCTGTTTTTCACCCCACTTCCCACTTACTATTATTATTTATTAATTTTTATTAATTTTTTTATATCACCCTTCATTCAAAAATCAGAGGGTGGTTTAAGTATTAAAAATGCAAAAGTACAAAGCCTAAAAACAAACAAAAGCAGTAACCCCACACACAGTTTAAAAGGCCATAGATTGTTTCATTAGCCAAAGGACTGGGAGAAGAGGAATGTTTTTTGTCCAGGTCAATTCATATGGTGAGAGGACGGTCGAGGTATTGTGGTCCTGAACTGTTTTATAGGTCAAAACCAGCATTTATTACGTATATCCTGCATCCACTGCAAATACTTGTACATTGCTCAGATGAATAAGAGTTCCAATTAATTCTCTCAGAATTCTTAGCTCATCGCTCAAGTAGATGTAGCCTTGTAGCTGTCCTAAGAGAACAATTTTGCTTTCTGAACATGTTTCTCTAAGTAAGCTAGCACACTGTACATATCAACATCAGAGTGCTTGAATATTGTCAAGAGGAGATCTATGAGTCAATGGATGGAGATGTCAAATTCACTTTCTCAGGAAGGGAGCCCAAGACACCCCTCAAAACTGTCATCTGAACACAGGCCAGATCAGCTTCAAATACAGGGGGAAGGCAATTAAGGTTTCATACTTCCCCAAATATATTCCAAGTTATTCCCTTCTTTCACATTTTTCAGTCACAGTGTGAAGAATGAGCTCAGCTCTTGAGCACAAAGCATTTCTGATGTCTGCTTCAGTGACTGCTAAGAGCTTCTGAAAATCTATCCATCTATATGCATTGTTAGAAGATTAAGAACTGGGCTTTCCTGTGGCCAGTTCCCAATGGGAAGGAGGGAGTGGAGGGAGAAGAAGATAGGAATGGCTGCATTTTCTGTATTGTTTGGGCAGGATGCAGCCTCAATTTGCCCTTAAAATAAACTCATTCCCCTCCCTTTAGTTTCTGAAATGGTCAACAGCAAAAGGGGGAAAAAAGCAGTTTCTACTGGATTCAGTCAAAACAGAGAGCAGACAAAGCAGCCTACCTTCTGTTTATAAAGAGCAGAATTGCACAGGTGGAACCAGAGAGAGGGGCAGATGTCTGTCAAAGGCACAGGCAAGACCCCCGCCCATCTCTTCTCTAACTGGCCTTCTCACCTCAGCTCAGTCCCCTTCTCATCTCACCATACCTGCAGTTTCACCATACCTACACTTTCAAATGAAATGGATGATGCCCCATGCCAGTCCTTACGGCCCCCTGCTTAAGCACATTTAACTGAAACAGCACATCTTCTTCCACTGCCTCGTTTCTTTGTTGTCTCCCCAGCGTCAAATTATAGAATGTGTTTAAAAATCTGTCGGAATTATGCAAATTAAGAAGGCTTGCATATATCTGCTTAACTAAGTGCACTTGCAAAGGAGGGGAAAGATAAGGAGCTAAGATGAAAACCGAAGAATGACTTCCTCCTCACCTCAGAAAATCTTGCTGCGTCCCACTTGGCTTGAGAATGTACTCGACACAAGTCTCAGGTTCTCTCCAAACCACTAGCAATCTAAGAGTCCTGTGGCACCTTGAAGAACAGCACTGTTTCTATTGAGGCGTATGTTTTTGTAGACTAAAGCCCAGTTTGTTAGATGCCTGAAGTGAAATCTCAGTTAGGAGGTATATATACACACAAGAGTATAAATAAGAAAAATGTAAGGTTGGAGTTGAATGGCAATGACAAGGGATTTTTAAAACACATTGCCCTTCAACTGACACCTTGCATATTTTTCTCTTTTATGCACATACCTGCCAACTGAGATTTCACTTCATGCATCTTTGGTCCATGAAAACTTCAGTCCATGAAAGCTTGTGCCATGATAGATAGATAGATAAATAAATAAATAGATTAGATAGATAGATATAGATAGATAGATAGGTGATAGACAGATAGAAAGAAACGTGTTAGTCTTTAACCATAGGACTATTGGTTGATTTTGCTGCTATAGACTAACCCATGGTCATCCATTTGGAAAGCTAAACCATAAGGTCTAGAAACTTGGGATTGTTGAAAATAAAAGCTGAGTTTCTTAGGAGGAGAAGTGTCTGCACCAAATAAGGAGTCCTGTGCTAGTGTGATGCAAATGTAGACACTAAATAGTCAGAACACTGATAGGTAAAGCCTGTTCCCCGGAGAGAAGTACACCTGTCTGGAGCAATAATGCCAAAATCATATGTAAGATCTGGTGCCTCCCCCTACACTCTGAGCAGGGAAAAAGAAGGGTCAATTTTCAGCACCAGGTCTGATGGAGGTCTGCCCAACTTTCTGTTTCATTATCTACACATACTCAGAGGCTCATCTGCTCAACTGAAAAACATTCTCCTGTATTCCTGCCACAGAAGCACACTAACTTGGCAAGAAGGAGGTAGTTTTGTAAACTACAATTCTCTCCTTTGACCTCCCTGCTTAAAACACCCAGATCTTGAGTATCTCAGAGATGCCCTACACACACACATACAAAGGTTCTAAGGGTGGAGAGTTCACAAGCCAGGAAAGAGAGGCAGGAAAACCACCCTGTTTTCACAGTCCTCAGGCCAATAAATTAATGGTCTTTGGACAAACCTGGCCAGATGGGAAGTGCTTGTGATCACACAGCAAGAGATTTCAGGATTCCTGCCCCTCCATCCTTGCTTCTGTGTAACAATGGTATCCTGCTATGAAATGAGCAAAACAATACAAGGCTCCATTTCTCAGGCTTTTTTTAAAGGTGCTCTGTCACCTTAGATTCAAAATGAAGAAGCCCAAACTGAAACCATGCTATGTCCAGGTGAGCGTCTCTGCGGTAGTGGCCTCACCCACACTTGGCATGTCTGATCTTAATACAGGGTTTTGCACACAAATGTGCCTCCCACCCTGACAGAGGCAATGAAGGGTTGCCAAAATGGCAGCTCCTGGTATCTGTGCTCAGCATACACTAGTCTGGTGTTCGGATAAATTCTCCCATCACCGTTTCAATTCCATTTGACAAAGACCACTTAACGTCTCCAGATGACAGACTGCATTGGGAACTGAAGGCAATATCCTGAGACAGCCATTGCTAACCCTCCCCACTCCAAAACACAGCTCTCCCTGTGCAGAGCTCATGGACTCCACTGGTCACAGTGCCTCTGTTTCTTTTATTAAAGAGCCTTCAAATGCACAGACACATCCAAAGGGCATACATCTTCAGCAGCAAGAGTCAATACAAAGGAAGAAACCCTGGGCAGTGGGCCACTGCATTAACACCGCCCTTCTCCTGCAGTGGGGAAGCAAATTGCCTGGTTTCAGGTGAACCGAAAGGGGAATGTTGTACCTGCAATGCAATTATTACTTTCACAAGAAGCAAAACGGCTAGGGAGCGACAGCATTTGGCAAAGTGTGTGAGAGGGGGAGAGAGAGAGAGATGGGCGTGAAGCAGTCTTGCCATTCACAGAAGACACTGCATAGGCAGATTCACCCCCAACCCCACCCTAAACGAAAGGATGATGCTCAAAAGATATCAGGCACCTGCATATGGCAGATTAAAGCACAAACTCCGGTTAGAGGGAAAATGAACTGACAGCCAAACAAAACAGATTTCGTTGTTGTTGGAGGGAGATAAGAGCTTAACAAGGGGAAGGAACCAGCCAGCCCGTACGGAAACCTGACAGCAGCGGATTTATCTGAAATATCAATAACGGGGATAAATGGAGTGTGCAAAGAGAGACAGAGGCAGAGACGTGGCTGAAAGGAAAGGCAGCAAAACGCAGAGCAAATGTGCAAAATACAGGATTTCCTTGTCTCTCTTGCTTTGACTTCAGAAAAAAGGAGGGAGGGGCAGCTCTAGGTCTCTTCAGGAGACAAATACTCCAAACCTGCTTCTTGCACATTACTTATGGAAGCAGCAGAAAATTGGCTTCCACAGATAGAAACAGGATTTCATTGTAAGAAGAGATTTGGGTTTAAACTCACAGAGTAAAAGAGGAGAGGCAAAAAGGAGAAGAAAAAAGGACGGTGTGAGGTGCGGCAGCCAAAATATTGATGTGGCTAATCACATGCGCATAAACACAGAGACCGATCAGCCCGGCAATTGGACAGTGCAGTCCCCCCACTCCGGGTGACCCTCTGCAGCAGAGACAAAGAGGAACAGGACAATACGGATCGGAGTGTGTGTGTGTGTCACACATGCCACACAACCGGTAAAGCTCACACGCCCCTGCCTGCAGACGGAGGCGCGCGCCTCTCCCCAAGGATGCCCGTCTAACAGTCCCACAAACGCGGGTCCGTGTGCCAAGGGCAGGATCACCGCTGTAGGCAAGTCCAAAAATGCCCATGTCACCTGAGGAAAGACCAATGGCACAAGCTCCCCTCTGCCGTAGGGAGGCTCCCCTCCCCACCCCACCCCCGACAGATGAATGGACCGGCCTGCAGCGAGCGGCGCGAGGGACACCCTTTGTCTGCGCCCACCTGCGCCGAACGCCTTTCTTTCCCAGCCCGCCCCCCCCCCCCGCTCTTTTCCTCCGAGCTCACCTCACGGCCACCTTGACGCTGCAGCTGTCCCCCTGGGCGGCCATGCCTTCCTCCTTCTCGTTCTCCTCCTCCTCTGCCGCCTCCCCGCGCCGCAGCAGAGCGCTGCCCCCCAACCACCATGGGGCCGGGGCCAAGACGAGGCTGAGGCGGCGACTCGGCTAAGAAGAGCGCAAGGCGCGGAGGCCGCCTGGGGCAGGAGAGGGCATGCTGGGCGGCGGCGGCAGCGGCTGCTCTTCTTACGGCCAGCCGCGCTCTCTCGCTTCCTGCCTGGGAGAGGAGGCAGCGGCGGCGGCGGCGGCGCGCAAAGCTACGCAGCGCCCTTCTCCCTCCTGCCCGCCCCGCGGCAGTAGCGGGACTGCTGAGGGAGCCCGCGCAGCAAGCGAGCCTCGAGCTGCCCGGAGCAGGGGGCGGGGAGGGGGAGGGGCGCCCAGAACGTCGCCCCCCCGCCCCTTCCGTCGAGGAAAAAGGTGGAGGAGGGGTTGATTCGGATTTGGGGCGGTGGGAGGCGCACTACCATTAGGACTCAGTTCGGAGGTAAGGATGGACTCGAGAGCGTGCTCTCCATGCAGTCAGGGGTTTAAAAAAACAAAACCCCAACAAAAAGTCCTTTAAAGACGGGGCGGGTTTTTAGTGAGGCATAAGCTTTCGTGAGCTGCAGCCCATTTCGTCTCTTAAGCACGTGCAGAGTGTCTTGATCTACCCACAGCCGCCCATGGTGCATTCAGAGAAGAGCCGGAATGAGCTCGGAAGTTATTTCAAGTGTGAGCACATGGATCGTGGGACTGCCCCCCCCCCACACTAATGTAATATATATGTGTGCGAACCGGGTGCAATGCGGAGTAGGAAGAGTGAAGCTGCAGGACAGAGCTTTTGTGCTCTGAAAAGATACGTTGCGAATCTCCCCTTCAGCGCGGTGGCTAAACTGAGACGACAGTCGTAATTCCATGGGAATCATTGCCTTTGAACTCAGTGTGACTTACTTCTGAGTAGACCCACATAGGACTGCTGTGTGGAGATGCCCAGCAGCCTTTTCTCTTACTGAGATGTGAATTGTGTTAAATCCTAATAAGGGGGCAGGAGAGAGACACTTAAGTTTAGGGCAGTAGGAGCTTGAGAAAGAGTCTCTTCTGCCCCCTACTGGCCACAGGTGGCCAAGTTGCCCGCCTTGAATCCTAAATAACTAAACAAAAGTCTCCTCTTGTAAATGATTCTCTATACCAGCGTTGGTCAGCCACCTGGTGCCCTCCAGATGCTGCGTGGGGCTGATAGGAGCTGGAATCCAACAACAGATTCCCCCATCTCTGATGCAGGTGGCCTTTCTCCATTTCTGTGAGCATGGGAGGGATGCTTGTTTGCCCGTCCGGAGAGAGGGAGTGCATGTATAGTAAACAGGAGTGCCCAGTAGTTTGTAACTGGAACAGGAAACCTGTGCCTGCACACATTTCTGCTTTTTATTTACCATATTTATTGATCACTTGGTGTCCTACTAGTTTCAGTGGATGGGGGAAGTGGGCAGGCGACACGACCAGGTAGATAATAGATGAGGGAAGCCGAGGCTGAACAAGAAACACAATGCATGTTCCCTGGATTGGGTGCTGGCAATTCTTTTAGCGCATCTCTACCTACCATGTGTCTTCTTCATCTCACAATAGGATAAATGAGTGCGATTGACGAGTTCTTTGTAGGTTAATTAAAAGCCAGAGGCTCCGGCTAGTGTGTTTATGTTTAAGATGTTATAAATAATTTGTTTCAAGCAGTCATATTGGCTGGGATATCCTTCTGCTTCCCTTAGCTTGTCTTCTTGTAAGGCAAGCAATGTTGAAATCCTGGTTTATGATGACCATTATAGCCAGCTGGCTAAGCTGGTTATGTTCCTTCCTGGGGAGTAATTAATAGTTCCCTTTCACATTTAAATACTGAGCCTTTGTACTGATGGATCACAGAAAGCCCTGCTGAGAAGACAGAGATGTGGTAATGGGGCCAGTATCAGTTCCTGGCATCCTTGGGCAGCTGCCAGGGCCCCAGAAGGGTCACTGCTTATAGCTGCCCTGGAAAGCTGGACCCAGGACAAGGATAGGGAAACCTGTGGCCCTCCAGATGTTGTTGGATTATGGCTCTCATTGGGCAGGACCACTGGCCAAATGAGGCACAGCTTTAGACTTTCCCATTACCCAAACTTTTTAGATATTTTAGGAGTTCTTTAGTTTTACGTCTTTAGTCTGATCTATAGGTTGTTGGGGATGCGGGTGGCGCTGCGGTCTAAACCACAGAGCCTAGGGCTTGCTGATCAAAAGTGATGGGGTGAGCTCCCGTTGCTCGGTCCCAGCTCCTGCTAACCTAGCAGTTTGAAAGCATGTCGAAGTGCAAGTAGATAAACAGGTACCACTCCAGCGGGAAGGTAAATGGCATTTCCATGTGCTGTTCTGGTTCGCCAGAAGCGTCTTAGTCATGCTGGCCACATGACCAGAAGCTGTACGCCGGCTCCCTCGGCCAATAAAGCAAGATGAGCACCACAACCCCAGAGTTGTTCACGACTGGACCTAATTGTCAGGGGTCCCTTTACCTTTACCTATAGGTTGTTGGTGGCTGTTTGTTTCTTTGTTTAAATATAACGTCAGTGCCCTGAAATCTTCCGATGGAGGGCAGTTTAAAATGTTATAAATAAAATGAATGCATTTACATAAATGTCAGGTGGTTGGTATTAACTATTAATTAGCTTGTTGATTTTTTTTTAACTTTTAGATAGTTATTTCTAACAGTCTTTTACTGATAATTCTACTGTTTTATTCTTTTTGTAAACTGTTTTGAGGTTTTAGTACAATGAAGCTGTATATAAATCTTGTGATTTTCTCTGGACGTTTATACTTTTGAAGCTCCCAACTGCAAACCCAGAGCTTCAAGACGTTTATCCTTTGTCAACATCCAGCGGATGTATTTTATTGTTATAGCACTGCGTGTGTATAATATATATGATGAATTGGTCAGTGTTTCACAAGCACTAACTGTATGATGGGTGGATTCATCATCTTTATTGTACTGCATGACACACTAACCCCTTTCTGATTGCTTAAGGATGCTTTTTTATGGGATGCTTAATTTTGAATGCCTAATGCCAGCTGGCAAAAATACTAACCTCGAATGATGGCGCAAATGATGGAGCATTTCCATCTCTGGAAATAACTAGTTGTCAACATGCATCTTCTCAATGAAGGCTAAGTGGACTATATATTGGCATCTCTAGCTTCTATCACAACGTTGATTCTGCACCAATGTGCTGCAAAGTCTTCTCAGCAAAGTGTTTTAATCAGTTGAGAGAAAAACTCTAGACAGCCTTTGGGGAGGGAATGACTTTGACAAGTCAAAGGAGGAAAGTTGATCATAATTTGCCTTGACATAAAGAGCACAATTGATTGATTTCCTTGCTTAAACAACAGATACTTTGCTTAAACGGTGGATACTGAAGAGTGCATTCAATTCCAAATTTACCCCAACCCAAACAAAAAAACTTTGCTGTTTATTTGGTAGTAATTATCAAAAGCTTCTCTATGCAAATGAGGCTTGATAAACTGGCTTCTTTGCATCTCACATCCACCTTTGCTGTCTAATTTTAAAAACTGTTAATGGTGGAGTCAGCGCAAAGGAAGGAGTGGTGGCAACAGAGACTGGCAGATTTCAGGAATGATGATGATTTGCAGGGCTTTTTTTCAGAGGGAACTTAGTTCTGGCACCTCTCATGTGAGTTCTGGAACATCTCAGGGGAGTTCCAGCACCTCTCTGGTGGGTGCCATTGCTGTTCTAAAGGTGAGTTCTGACACCTCTTTTTCTAGAAAAATCGCACTCTTACCAGAGTCTTCTTGCCATTTGCTTCTCTTCCTAACTGTAATTTGCAATTAAATGCTTTGAAATGGAAACAATTTATTGGACAGCTGGCCATGTAACTAGTACTCACTGCTCCAGGGTGGTTCAGGATCCCTGGCTGGCTATAGCAGAGTTTGGCCTCCAGAGGGAAGAGGATTTTCTTTAAGCACCCTAGAGAGAACCCTCTCCAGCTCAATATTCACAATGGCTTGGCTGTGCATTCTGCTTCCCAGCAGCCCTTTATCCATTCCCCATTTTTTTGACTTAACAAATAAAAGCCCTGAGAGCGGCCAGGCTCTATTGATTCAGCACCTCCCCGGGGATGCATAATTCCTCCGTATTTTAATATCTATTAGCGTTGAGATGAAGCCAGTTGTGTGGAAGGAGCTGGCTGCTGAGATTGTGTTGGGCTTTAAAATGCAGGATATATTAGGAGGTGGGGCATCGTGGCACAAGAGGCACACCAGGCAGGAGCAGCAATGAGGAGCTATGGCAGCTTTTGTTGTCTGCAAAAGTGGTAACAGAATTTAGCTGCTTCTCTCTCCACTCCACCCCAGGAGGTTTTATAGCAGTAGCACCAACTGACAAGGGGGGGAAAGAGCCTGCTTCTCTGACTTTTATAGCTCAATCTGCAGCAATCGGCAAGCAAGCCTTTTCATTATCATAGAGATAAACATTATCCCTTACTAATGTCTGCAGATCAAGCTGCTGTTAAAGGCACAGGATAGCAGACAAAAAAAGAGGTTATGGCTATATTATAAAGTCATAGAAAAGAGCACTGGGTAAAATACCCTTCCTCAAAGTTTTCACACACCCCATGTGGACTGAAGAGCTAAGCTAAGTGCAGTGGGTAGACTATAACTCAAGAAGAACCATGTTCAAATCCTCCCATAGCCTTGAAGATCACTGGATGACCTTGAGATGGTCACGTCTGAGGCTGTGGGATTTGTTTACTTCTGTTATTTCATTTATATCCGGTAGCATCAGGCTCTAGAGAAGCTGTCTGGTTCTGACTCATACTGTCTTTGAAGATAGAACCATGGTCAGTGATACTTTGCAGCTCAGGATTGCATCATACACTTTCAGATCTGTTAAAATTTGTTGTCCAGCTCTTCAGATTTACAACTTTGTATGGCTGTCACTGTGGTTCTAGGAATTTAGTCCTTGCGGCAGTAAAGGCATAACTAAGTCAACATTTTGCAGATGAAAATTTCTGAAACTTATTGAGCCCTGAAGGATTGCTTCTTCCCCTTTTGAATGTTGCTGGGCCCTCTTCATTATTTCATCAACTCCAGAAACACACAGGGAGGCCATCTTGGGGGCTGCACCCAACAACAAAATTCCTTATACATATAATTATAGAATTCTAATTCAAAGACCAGGACAACTGGTAAGTTTGAGAGCAATATATGTTTAAAGACAGTGTGAATCAGAACTCCGCAACTTTTCTAAGAACCAGACTTTCAGAGTGTTCTTGACTTGCCAAATCCCTAGCCCAAACTATGGATTGTTTGTGTGATTTAATTAAACATGCTGATGTGTAATTATTAGTGTAAAGCACTATAACCTAGGAATAAAGTGGGCTAGAATTCTAAATGAATTCACACTCAAATCTTCCAATATCTGTTAGCAGCCAGCTAGATAATTCAGAGGCTCTGCAAAATTCAGCAACAAAACCCTTCAATCCTGTTTTTGAGGTGTAGGTATGTGAGAGAGTGTGTAACAGTGTTTAGATTTTAATGCTTTCATTCTATTGCTGTGTTTTTATTGCTTTTACCTGTTTGTAAGTTGGCCTGGAAAGTTTTTGTTTTTTTTAAAGTGAGGTGTAAATATTTCAAATAAACAAATAAAATAATCATTCCTGGTTCTTTCAGTTTATTAAAAGTGCTAGCTTTTCATCATTTTTACTTTCTGTTCAAAACAATGTAATCAAAGGACACTTTTCAAGATGTTTCCCAGAGGAAATAAATTCGCTAGGTAGGAGGGATCTTTGATATTAAATATTGGGAATATTTGGTGATCTATCATCTAGCTTGTATGCTGTCGATCTCATGAGAGCAAGGAGACCCTGCTGGGAGAAACACCTGGGGAGTTCTATTTCTAAAAAAAAATCTCCTCCTTTGACAGCCAAGGAAAATAGGTTTCCCTCTGCCATCTTTTCCATTAGCCTGTTATGCTGCTGATGGCAACCAGTCAGGGATTGCTGTGAGCAAGTAATGCTGTGCTTTCATGGTAACCACCCAGAAGCAGACAAATGGGTAGCACTTTATAGCAGCCCTGCTGGGGAAAAACGAGATAAGGCTGGGGGAAAGATCTCACAGTCTGGAATTTGGAATGGCCATGCAATGAGCCTTTTACAAAGATGTATTTGAGTCGGTTTCCCTTCGCTTCAATAAAGCAGCCGCAATCTCCTCCACTTCAGTCACCTCCACCTGGAAGGCAGCAGCCATCTCATTTCTTGCCAGTTTCAGGAACGAATAGTCTTTAGCCAGGGAGTCAAGTCCTCCAGAACTCAGAGCCTGCGGGAGAAGAAATGGAAGCCCATGCAATTAACGTCAATGCATTTCAGTGGAAGAGAAACACCAAAAACAATGCAGAAAATAACACAGTTATTCCATGACTAAAGAAATGTGTCAGTTCTGTTCTGTACGGATCCATGCTAATTGTGGTGATTTTTCACTCCCATTTCCCATTTAGGACTGAATTCTCTGACATCCCTATTTCCCTTCTTCAACATCCCATTTTGTCCCTTCCTTTGACCCTGTCTCAAACCCCAACCACTTCCAATGAACTTGTGTGTGATGCCCACAGCTGTACCTCCCGCAATGATACATTGGGCAATAGATCTTGGTCATAATATCGATATGGAACCATGGGAACGATTGTGGAACATGGTTATAAAATTTACAGCATGCTATGGTCTAATAGAAAATTATATGAGAATGATGTATCGATGTTACTACAGTATAACACCAAGAAATTGGCAAAAATGTATAAATCCAAATCAAATAAGTATTGGAAATGTCAAGAGAAAGAAGGTTATTTTTATCATATGTGGTGGTCTTGTAGTAAGGTTAAAGCTTACTGGGAAATGATATATAATGAATTGAAAAAGATGTTTAAAATAACATTTGTAAAAAACAACAGCAACAACCAGAAGCTTTCCTTTTGGGAATTATAGGGACAGAACTACCCAAACTGTAAAGAAATTTATTCATGTTTGTGACTACAACAGAAATAATGTTACTTGCCCAAAAATGGAAAGAAGTCGTCCCAGCCAAAGAAGAATGGATACCAAAACTTATGGAATATGCAAAAATGGCAAAACTTACCGGAAGATTAAGAAATCAAGATAACAAACTTTTAATAAAAGAATGGAAATGGTTTATTGAATATTTACAAACGAACTGTAAACAGATAAGAACATTGGCAGGATTATTGTAATAACCTGCAGTTTTATAAGTTCTACTTTATATTTAAAGTAGATGAATAAATGAGCAAATTAAGTTAATTTGGATATGCAGAAAATATTAAAAATAAATTTAAGGAACTGCAGAAAGAGGAGGAAGGAAGACAAGTTTTGAAATGTTAAAAGGATTGTAAGATTATTGAAATGTATAAAACTGAAAATCATAAATAAAATATTTTTAGAAAAACAACAACAGCTGTACCTCTTGGATGAGCTGAATGGAGGCAGGGGTAGAGGTTTCCATACTCCTTAGTGCATATCCTTCATTGCTGCTTGCAGATGGTAACCCTTCGCCATCATTGGACTCCCGTTGTGAACCAATGGACTTCTTTGGGGGAAATTGCATGGAAACAAGACCAGATAGATCTGAGTGGCATCAATCACCAGTCTCTTTATTACCCAGAGTGCAGCAGGCCCTGCCCCCACCCCGGTGACCTTCCTTATTAAGATTGTTATCCCCATTGATCCTGAGGCACAATTTGCAGACGGACATATCTACAGTGAGGATAAAGTGATTGCTGCCCATATTTTAAGAATTAAAATACTGTTATATAACGTTGCCAGGTGTGTGCATAAAATATGGCTTGGACAGTTGGATATGCCATGATGCTCCCCCCGCCCCCTTTGAATTTCATCTGATATTGGAAGAGGAGATAGACAAAAGTGCTTATCCTCTAATGGAGATGGTCTGGCACAACCTCAACATCAAATGAATTGTGTTTACTGCAAGTGGGTGCATCCGTCAGGCACTATCCACCTGTGTGGATGTTTAAGAGGGGATGCAAGACCCAATTTCCTTGAGTAGTCCAGATGTCATTGCTGATATATTGAGGTCCATTTTCCCTGTGTTGCCCTCCGGCATTTTGTCAGAACTGATCTGTGGCAATTTTTTAAAAAACTGCAAATGCAATTGCTGAGTCAGCCTGTCCACTGTGAATAGGCAAACCGCTACTGAATGTTTTCAAAGCTAATGTCCTTCAATTAAGTTTCTTCCTCAGTGGTTCTATCCTTTTATTGTTTCCTGTTGAGTGTGGCTGACATTCATCAATCCACAGAACAGTGCCTCTGAATTTCCCTTTATTGTCAGTTTCTGTTCTCATATGAGAAGGCTTAAATTACTGATTTCCTCCCATTATTTTACTTTTTTTCATGTTCATGTAATGAACTTTGTGTGTGTGTGTGTGTGAGAGAGAGAGAGAGAGAGAGAGAGAGAGAGAGAGAGAGATGGTACTTATTGTATGGAGTACAGTCACCTCTATTTCTGCTCCCCGTGGCAGCCATTTTGTACCACTTTTATCAAGGCTTGAGTATTAGCACCTTATTATTATAATATCAAAAAAGGCATACACACACACACACACACACACAGAGTGATAGACAATTGAAAACAAAAAATAATAATGGGATAAATAAATAAAACCCTCCTCCAAGGGAACTGAAACTGAAATTAATGAGCAACTGAGGGTGGTTATTTCAGAAGCTGAAAATGACTTTTGCTGAGTGAGGCTTAAATGCAAACAAACTTTACAGAAGGGTTTTGGCTGTGGGGGAAAGCCATTGCTGGATAATATGGCACTATATTAAGTGTTGTGTGGAATCATATTAATTCTCCTTTCAGCTGATTGTGGAAAAGCAAAGCTTCAACAATGCTAAATCGTTCTAATGGGACCGTAGCCCATATATGTACACATCCTGTCTTTTGTATCTGATGGAGTTGTATGGGGAACACTGAAAGCACAGCTTGGGTTGTGGTCTCTTTAGCATGCCTAAAGTGAAGCAATGCAGCATTTACCTGCTGGATGGAAAACTGTAGTTCTGATTGGCTCTGGACACCATGAGTTGGCACCTTGCTCATTTTTCGTTTACGGTTTTTAGGCCGAATAGAGCATTTGCTGCCTAGAGGGGAGAGGGAAAAGAGACAAAAGGAATCAGAGATAATTACATTTTCCAAGTCTTAAAAGGTGCTATTTTGACTAGACCCATGCCAGTTGCAAATGCTTTCATTACACAGTCTCCTTTGTCGGATCAGCAGTTAACCTCCTCCCACACTAACCTGAGTACAGTGGTGCCTTGCAAGACGAAATTAATTCGTTCTGCGAGTTTTTTCGTCTTGCGAAGTACGGTTTCAGTTTTTTCAAAAACCTCAAAAAAGGCTACCACACCGCGTGCTATGAGTTGCTCCCCAAAGTCAAGTCGCAACTGCACCTCTTCAAGCAATGCACCCTGTATTACTGTAACAGTTTTAAGGAAAAGGAAACAAACTTGCAAGACGTTTCCGTCTTGCGAAGCAAGCCCATAGGGAAATTCGTCTCGCGAAGCAACTCAAAAAACGAAAAACTCTTTCGTCTTGCGAGTTTTTCGTCTTGAGAGGCATTCGTCTTGCGAGGTACCACTGTATAGGCATACAGTGGTATTTCGGGTTAAGTACTTAATTTGTTCTGAAGGTCCATTCTTAACCTGAAACTGTTCTTAACCTGAAGCACCACTTTAGCTAATGAGGCCTCCCGCTGCCGCCGCGCCGCCGGAGCACGATTTCTGTTCTCATCCTGAAGCAAAGTTCTTAACCCGAGGTACCAGTACTATTTCTGGGTTAGCGGAGTCTGTAATCTGAAGCATATGTAACCTGAAGCGTATGTAACCCGAGGTACCACTATATAGGGATTATGAGATTAGACTGGCCCTGGAAATCCCTTGGGCTGTTAGCAAGAACTCACCTAGGTCAGGGAGCTGATGAGATGACGGTAGCGCCCTCTCTCTTACTAGTTCATTCTCATACATCACCCTATGGAGCAAAGCACTGATAGTAAGTTCCAAGAAAATACCCTGTCCCAAACAACTATTAGTACTCTTTAGGGTGACCCAGAAGACTATGATTTTACATTAAAAACAACAACCCAGAGTTATTGACCAGACCATAGCTCTCCAGCACTTTCTTTTCCATTTTCCAAACTTTTCCTTCTCTCTCTGGACTCAGCTAGATTAGTAAAGAAAAAACGATTTATATGTGTTGTATATGCAATATAACATACCAGATGGTGCTGTGGAGTCCCGTTTTTCTCTACCTGTTTTCTCTGTTTAAATTTACAATGCATTTAACTGAAATGCTTCTTTGATGTGTCTAGATCCAGCCTCTGTGTGTGTGTGTGTGTGTGTGTGTGTGTACCACAGCTAAATATATGTATGTGATGCAATCCTCAAAGAGGCTTCTCTTTATGATGGTTTAAAAGTTTCACTCAGTACAGAATGCTACTTTCTCTCCGCAGAAAGAATTGAAAACATACCATGCATGCTCTGGATCCCCTATCCATCAGTTCAAGCTTTCGGAAAGTTGGGCGCAACCTATTGCCACCTGTACAGGTATATCCCAAAGCATTTCTAAGGTTTAACATCCATGCACTAAGTTACCACTGCGAGGGCATACAGAAGTGCATTCTCATGGGTGCCCATCACTTCTGGAATGCTCTTGCCAAGAAAGCTAAAGCTCAGCACCTTTCAGAAGTGAACAATATGACTTCTCTTTTTTGGGTAGAATTTTGGTGAATTGGGGTAGAAGGTGCTAAGTGGTGTCCCTTATGGTGGTTAGCGGAAGGCACTTTGATAACATTCCCAGGGTAGAGAGAAAAAAAATTCTTCATTTTTTAACAAAGGTGGGGTTACCAGTAAAGGCAGGGGTAATGGTGTATTTTTTAAAAGAACCCTTATGTCACAAGAATATAAGAACAGCCATTTCCTTTTGCATAAATTTACCTGGCCACAGCAAGCCGGGCCAGCATGTTCTCCCATAATGCTTCATTTCGAACAATGTTACGTCATAACTTAGTGTTGCTCCATATGTATTATAACTTGGGGTGAGATAGTGATGGTATTCCCTACTGCTGCCATCTTTTCCCCCAAAAATAGATCAGGAACATTGTGAGAGAACGTGGTAGCCTAGCTAGCTACTGATTGCAGCAGTTCTTGGCTGCTTCAATCGGTTGGGAAAATTTCTTTAAAATGAAGGAAAGTGGGTTGTGTTGTTTTTTTTAGGGTTGCCATCCCAGCCTTTACTGGTAAGTCACCCTTCCTCCATTATTTTTTTTATAACTCCTGAATGCTAATTCATTTGCTTCCCCAACTTGCCCATCCCAACTCCCCCACTCAGCAATCAATGAAAAACTTTTAAAGAAAAGCTTTAGGACAATTCTAGCCCTATCCAATCTTTAGTGGTCCAATCTCATGCCAGAATCAGCCCTCTGAAAGGAATGCCACTCTCCCAGCTTGTTATGCTCTCAGTTTCTTGGGCTTTACCCCGTTGTTGCATTGTTGTTGGCGTTGCTGTTGCTGTTGTTCACATTGCCACCCCCTCCTGGTGGGAAGTCGTCAAGGAATACAGGGGAATCCAAATCTTCGCTTCCCATCTCGGTGAATTGTAGAGGTCTCTGGCTAGCCACATGAGGTGGTAGCGGGCTGCTTGGTTCCATGAAGGTGTCAACCTGGCCAAACAACCCCCCTGTCCTCTGCATTCAAGGGCAGGGGAGAAAAGAGGAGGTTGTTATTTTGGTCTTTATTAAGCCCTTTGTGTTCCAGCTGGGGGATGGCAGGAACAAGATCTAGTTAGTGAGAAAGCACAAATTATATTTAGGGGCAAACCAAACATTATTTTAAAAGTGTTTTAAAGTACCATGTTTACAACTACCTAATTCAGGCTTCCTCAACCTCGGCCCTCCAGATGTTTTGAGACTACAATTCCCACCATCCCTGACCACTGGTCCTGCTAGCTAGGGATCATGGGAGTTGTAGGCCAAAAACATCTGGAGGGCTGAGGCTGAGGAAGCCTGACCTAATTATTTTAAAGGGTGGACTCAACCTAGTAAAGGTAAAGGTACCCCTGCCCGTACGGGCCAGTCGTGTCCGACTCTAGGGTTGTGCGCCCATCTCACTTAAGAGGCCGGGGGCCAGCGCTGTCCGGAGACACTTCCGGGTCACGTGGCCAGCGTGACGAAGCTGCTCTGGCAAGCCGGCACCAGCGCAGCACACGGAAATGCCATTTACCTTCCCGCTATAAAGCGGTACCTATTTATCTACTTGCACTTAGGGGTGCTTTCGAACTGCTAGGTGGGCAGGAGCTGGGACCGAAAGACGGGAGCTCACCCCGCCGCGGGGATTCGAACTGCCGACCATGCGATCGGCAAGCCCTAGGCGCTGAGGTTTTACCCACAGCGCCACCCGCGTCCCGGACTCAACCTACCTAGTGATTATTATCTTGGGGTTTTCAATATTTAATATTTTACTTGTGTTAACCGAAAATAGTAGAAATTTTAAGAAAATCAACTTTCAGTGTGTGCACATTTTATTTTGCTCAAAATATTTTGTATATAAATACACACACCACAGAAAGCTTCAGGACGCCTTGGCTTTATTTGTTGTATGTTTCTTTAACTCGACTCGGGGTGCTTAACATTGAATGATGGCTGACAAGGAGCCACAATCTGAGGTAAATGTGTTAGGTGTCTCACATAATCTGTGGGGGTCTCAACTTCCTCTTAGGTTAGAATTCCACTTCTGCTTTATCTCCTCCACCCACCATTACAATGAGTATTCTATAAGAATATAAAAGACCACTAACACAAGTTTAGTCAATCAAACAAACAGAAAACAGAATAGCACAGGTGCTTCTGCTCTTTAACATTCAACAAAGGAAACAAAACTGAATGATGAATGATAACTTCATGAGGAAACAAACGGAGTGGGGAATGGACTCATTCTGTGAGGGGAGCACTGCAAGTGTGTCATTGCTGAAGTTTTCAGCTGCGGGTTAAAGGATATATTGGATGCCCATTAAGCAAACTTTATATCTGTGCTCATACTCACCCTATAGATGCCCTCCTCCATTGCTGCCTCAACCATGGCTCTCTCAAGTTCCTCCTCTGCCGTCAGATCCCCAGAGATTGCTCTTTTGATCTCAGGAGCTGCTTCCTCTTCAATGGTCCTCAGGCCAGCCTCATTGAAACAGCACAGAAATGATTATCATTGGCAGGGACCATTCATGCCGGAGAACAGGGAGTTAAGGTGTGACCCAAACCACCTTCTCCTAAGTCATGATGACTTTCCTTCCCATGAAATTAACTTGGAGGTCAGGCTCTTACAGTATATATCCCTAATCATGCACAGCTATGAACTTGCCAGCTTCACAAAGTACTGTGTATAAACCAGTGCTTATGTTGACAGGGGGAACGCTCAGTTATGCTACATCACACAAGTGGGTGTGACATAGCTGGCGGGGGCGGGGGAGTGAAAATTCACCTGAGCACAGCATTATAGTGGCATGTTGATCTTTTTAAAAAGTTCTTTTAAAATGTGCTATAACACCCTTAAAATTTTAAGCATTACTGTGTGATGACTCCCCCGTCAAAAAAACCTAGATTGAAAAGGGCAAATTTAAATAATCAGAGGGAGAGAGAGAAATGCATGCTGCTAAATGGCATTGACTGGAAAAGTCCTAACAGAAAGCATTGACTTAGACACCCAATTAATTTCCACACACATCAAAACCATGCATCTTCAAATGCTAGAAAGCTCATTGCCGTACAACCACCCTATAAACAAATCACAACAAATGCACAATAAAGGCCAGATATCATCTAACCTCTGTTGTAAGCTTTGTGCAAGAAATTCAGGATGGATGCTCAATAAACAAGTTGCCCAGAGGAACTCTAAAGCTAAGGCAATCTACATATGCAGATACTGTGCTATTGTCCAATTCTTTCCAAAAACAAAAAAAAAAAAGAGCACACAGAAACATTTGATGTCAAAGGATGTGTCCAGATGGACGTTGATTACAGGATGGACTTTACTGGGTGCTCCCAGATGGGTGTTTATTGTAGGACAGTGTCAGGGAACTGCCATCAGTGCCGGAGGGAGAGAGCAAAAGCCAGAGGGATTCCAGAGAGCGTCCAGGGATTGGGAGAAGCAGCCCATCTTCTGGGGAAGAGAATCAGCGTAGCACCAGTGGAGAAGGGGGGCAGATGGGGGAAGCAGCAAGGCGGTCCCATGACTCCTTGCCTGGGACCAGTGGGGAGAGTAGGGATCCTCCATTGCCCATGCCCTCCTTGCGCAGAAGGCTTTCGCGCAGAGAGAGTAGGAGGAGATGAAAAAGGTATTTAAATATACCTTCCTGAAGAAACCAGAGGCCTTTCTTCTGGGCATAGTCGGCCAATCGGTGCCAAAGAAGGATAGAACTTTTTTTTTATGTATGCAACAACAGCAGCAAGAATACTCATTGCAAAGTATTGGAAGACGCAAGATCTACCCACTTTGGAAGAATGGCAGATGAAGGTGATGGACTTTATGGAATTGGCAGAAATGACTGGCAGAATCCGAGACCAGGGAGAAGAGTCGGTGGAAGAAGATTGGAAGAAATTCAAAGACTATCTACAGAAATATTGTAAAATTAATGAATGTTAGAATGATGTTGGATAGAAATTAAGTGGTTTCCTGCTGTAATGCTTTAAGGGAATATGAAAAAAGGGTTATTAATAGGGAAAAATCTAATGCTATTATTTTCAAGATCAAAGATTAGGATAAATAAAGAGGGTAAGGATTTGCTGAACCAACGAATTGAAGTGGAATACAAAAAAGGGAGGTATGAGGAGGTCCGGGAAACAAGCTAAAGGAAAATAATCAATGGAAAATCTGTGTGTTTTTAACTATTTTTATTTTGTATTTTTGTTATTTTTTTTTTCATTTTTATTGTAATACTTTAAAAAAGCTTAATAAATATCTTATAAAAAAAAGAGAGTAGGAGGAGACTAGGCGTCAAAGAGCTTCTTTGCTGGAAGAAGTTTAAGAAACGCCCACTGACGGATTCTGCCAGCGATTGAGTCAGCCACGGGTGAGTGGCTGTCTGGACAGAAAAGGTTCACTTAGGCAACCCAGCCAGGTGTTTGCACCCAGCCGGGGAGATAAGCACTGGCTTACGCACCAGCAACCCCTAGAACCCTCACAGACAGCTCCTCATGCATGGTTCTCTCTCTCTTTTTTTTAACTGGGTCCACACAATGTTGTTGGAATCAAAATGCCAGACCATATTGTCTCTCCTCCACCCACCATTGAATCTGGATTTCCTTTTTCCAGGGAAAATCTAATAAATTACAAAGGCCAGTTACAAGGTATGTGGACAACCCATTTGCAATATCAAGCCCCTGCCTGTAAGCACCAAATGTCATTCAAATGCCCTCTGTAAAGTGAATGAACCAAGAGCAGCGATTCCAGAGGAAACCCAAAGCATGAAAAATTCCAGAAAGATTTGTCCATAAGCATTTTGTGGGAGAAGATGGGGGGGGGGAGGGATAATAATTTTGTGGGAATATTTGCAGAGAGATTATTTTGTTTAAAATGCCAGCTCTTTAGAGAATCCCAAAACAGGGCCATGAAAACTGCAAACAACTGCGTCACAGTACCTGGAATCTGGTGCGTATGAGAGAAGCCAAAGCACCTCCGTTTCCTTCTTTTCTTTCACTCCATTATGGGCTGGAAATCTTTCTACTCTGCTGGGTCAAGCATGTTCCAATTCTCACTTACCTGGATTTCAACAGCATTCTTCTTGGGCCGGTATCCGTAATACTCTTCCTGGCGCTTCATGAATTTTCTGAAGTGCTCCTGGATGAGGAAGGTAGCGTAGAACTTGCCCACGGTCACCTCATCATCTGGAGGAGGAGTAGCCACAAGCAGACATTAAGTTTGCTCAGCAAAAGAACCCAGCCAACTTGTATGCCAGGCTGCTTGAGAACACACAAAGGAGATTTGTGAAATGCAAGTTGTAGAAAGAGGGTTAGCGATAAAAATATATATGAAATAAGGTAAAGGTAAAGGTACCCCTGACCATTAGGTCCAGTCGCGGATGACTCTGGGGTTGCGGTGCTCATCTCGCTTTACTGGCCGAGGGAGCCGGTGTTTGTCCACAGACAGCTTCCGGGTCATGTGGCCCGCATGACTAAGCCGCTTCTGGCAAAACCGGAGCAGCGCACAGAAACGCCGTGCGTTTCCAGCTGGAGCGGTACGTATTTATCTACTTGCACTTTGTGCTTTCAAACTGCTAGGTTGGCAGGAGCTGGGACTGAAGAACGGGAGCTCACCCCGTCGTGGGGATTCGAACCAGCAACCTTCTGACTGGCAAGCCCTAGGCTCTGTGGTTTAGACCACAGCGCCACCTGCACATTCTATTCAGTGCTTCCTTTAAACATATTTGTTTCGGTAAGCCTATCCAGGCACACAGAAGTTGACATGTTTTAATCTCTTTTTAGATTATGGCTGATTTTAATTATTATTTTTTAAATGTTTTTAATTTCTTGTTTTAAACAGTTTCTATTGATAACTTTGATATTTCTTGTAAACTGCTTAGGGTTTTTGTTAAGGTCAAATGGCATTTAAATAAAGAAATTAAGGACTTGCCTCCAATTGGTGGAATGACTTGATCCAGGAGCTTCATGCTGGTTCTCTTCCATATTTTTTTAATAATCATCCTTAACTCTTCATTGGCTTGTTCAAAGTTACCTGCAAAAGCACCAACCGCTTTTATACGAAACTTACTGCATCAGATAATTGGTCTGTCTTATCCAGTAGAATCTACAATATTCCTACATTTCCCAGTCTGCTACACGAGACTCTTTTTAATTGAAGGTGCCAACTGATTGAACCAGGCGTTTTCTTCATGCAAAGCATCCATGCATGGCACTGAACAAAACATTACCAATAAGTCAGCCACAATGGTTTATCCTATCCTCCTCATTGTCTGCCCTCAGACAACAAGTACTCATGCCCAATTAATCAATGCTCTCTTAATTAATTCATTAGCATCCCTTACAATAAAATCTCATCATCTCCCCCACTTCCTGACATACCACTGTACAGCCTGGTACTTGGGGTGAGATCCTTTTAAATCAAACATTAGCTTTATTGTTGGCTTGCTGTCCAGATTTGTTAAAGAAAAGTTGTTTCTGCTGCTCTTTTGGGGGGCTGCTGTTGCATTGCATTGCATTGAATATTTTTAGCTGCTTTGAGGTGTCTCCAGACCAGATAAGGCTGGCTACAAGAACAACAACTATAGCACATGTTGCTGTTGTTAATATTATTGTGTTAACACAGGTAAGTGCTTTCATTTTTATCAATCCTCAGGTGGACAAAATCCTTAGTATTTGCCTTTGATAAAGCTTAGGCTCCTTAAAACTCCAGAAGCGGCATGGAGTTGGCATGGCTCCACGCTGAAACTACTTATGCTAATTTAAAACAGATGAAGACCCGACTCTTGGAGGTCTTGTGATTAAATGCACCAGAAAGGCATTAGTTACTGTTGATTTATGGCATCATCTGCTGGGCCTATGTAATCACGCAGTAATGGATTTTGAGGTCAGCAGAGCTTCTGCTGACATATAAGGTGACTAATGTTCTTCAGAACTTGTGAGATGAATAATGGCAGCTGTGGGAGAGTGCAGAGGAGTTATTCAGGAATGGATGTAGCGATTGATGCATTTCATCTCTCACCTTCTGTCTTGATCTTGAGAGCCGTTCTCACCAGAGCAAAGAGTGTTGCATTGAAAGTGACTGTGCCGTCACTATTCAGGGGCATATTCATGCTCACCAAGCGCTGCAAAACACACACCATGTCAGAGACAATATATCCTAGGTTTTTTTCAGGCAGAGTGTGCTGAAACTCACTTCTGGCACCTCTCAGGTGGGCGCCATTGTCATTATATGAGAACAAGGGTTCATGGTGAGTTCTGGCACCAATTTCCAGAAAAATAGCACTGAATGTATAATTTACATTCACAAACAAACACACTTGGAACACACCCATATGTCCCATACCTGAAGGAGCATTTCCACCTCCATTGTTCGGCCCAGACACTGAGGTCCAGCTCTGAAGGCCTTTGGCAGTTCTGTCACTGCGAGACGTGAGTTACAGGGAACCAGGCAGAGGGCCTTCTCGGTGGTGGTGCCCACCCTGTGGAACGCCCTCTCATCAGATGTCAAGGAAATAAACAACTATCTGACTTTTAGAAGACATCTGAAAGCAGCCCTGTTTAGAGAAATTTTTAATGTTTGAAGTTTTATTCTGTTTTTAGTGTTCTGCTGGGAGCCGCCCAGAGTGGCTGGGGTATAAACAATTATTATTATTATTATTATTATTATTATTATTATACTGTAGATTACCATTATTCATTTTCTTAAATTTATATTCCACCTTTCTCAAGGTGGAACCCAAGACATCCTGACACTGAGCAGACCTAGACCTGCTTCACTTCAGTGAGACGAAGGTCTTATGTGCCCTTCAGGCCATAGCCAGGGAATCAGTGTCCTACCCTCCATTTGACAGATAGCTTTAAAAACACCGGTTCTTCATTCCTTCAGCTTAAAAAAATAATCTAGTGCGATAAGGACTGAATTTTGTACAGGGGCCAGGGGGTGGAGACTAGGACACGAACTCAGACCTAGTTTGGACTGGTAAAGAAACATTTCCTCAGGACTCCTACCTTGCAAGCCACACGGTGTGGACAAAACTTCCCAAAGCCCAGGGGAGGCTGGATTCGTCTCAACAGAGTCACCACATCTAGATGTTTGATGCGGCCCCTGAGGAAGAGGAAGAGACAGCCATGTTGCAGAAAATGGCACACAGGTTTCTAGCTCGGGGAGCTGAAGAGGCCATGATTCAATGGTTTATTTGGACCATTCTCTAATCCCAGTGAATGCACACACAGCACCTGCTTATTTTCTTGACATGGTGATAGAGCATACAATTAAAAGTATATGTTTTGAAGTATCCTTGAAAGAGGCAGGTACTTTCTGCCTTAGAGCACACTAAAAAGTAGGAAGCCCGCCATGTGGAATGTTGAGTGGGTGGGCAAGGTCTCAACACCCTCCAGCTTTGTGGATAGGTGAGGACCGACATGGGCTGAAATCTTTTGCACATACGATATACAAATGTGCTATATGAAACAATGTAGTCTGATGAGCCAGTCCCCCTGCCTCATATGTGGCACTGTGATAAAACACATGTTTGCCATGACATGTACAGGCGATGCAATGGGAAGCCATAACGAATCCCAATTCCCTCCTGTATGCACACCTCCATGATAAAGAAATGCAAAAACAGATATCAGTTTATGCATTATTGTTATGTGAGCACAATCTGTAAAGTGGGTCTCCTGGTTTATAAAAAGATCAGCTCTCACAAGAGACAACTGTATTTTTTTCTAAGTTTTTTGACCACATTTTATTTATTTAAAGGATTTCTGTCCTGCACTGCAAAGAACAATTCTAGATTTCACCAATGGGTGTTAGTCACGTGCCCAGGCAAATAAATCATTCTGAGTACTTGGAAAGTCCTTTCTCACACCTGATCTAGCCTGCTGTGTCTCAAGAGGCATCAGCCATTCTAAATCTATCCTGCCATAATTTGGAAACAAAACACTATATCTTCTTCTTCTTCTTTGGCAATCACTCGTAGCCGAGTAAGATCGTCTTCCATAAACACGGTTTTAACAATGAGTCCATAAGTGATTGTGGAGGCCAATTCTGGACCCACATGTCCTTCCACAGTGCAGACATTGTTTCCTGGGTGGGAGTTGATCACAGTGTGGATTTGCCAAGCGTGCCTTCCTCTTAGCACGTTTCTCCCTTGCGTCCTGAGTTCCCTTTTACCAGGGCAAGATTGACCACAGCTAGAAGCCCCTGATGTCCCTATTTGAAACATACCTTCTAATAAATTCATGGGGATTCCAAGCCAGTGTAATAAATCAAGGTTTTATATTAAGGCTGAGACAATCTGATAAATGAAAAGAGAGCTCATACCAATATTTCTCATTCTATTACCACACATCTGACTTTGTACTCATATGCCTTCCAAGCATTGATGTCCCACAACATTTCTAGGAAGTTACATTGAGCTCTCTTTCCACTGCCAGTAGAAACTCAGAGCCAAATTAGACAAGACATTTGCCAAGTAATCTGTTTTCGCACAGCTGATTAAAAAAAGAAAAAGCTGGTGTAGGGCATCAATGGAAGGTTTCCTTTCACTGTGGATAGCAGAAATGGGGCGTAATTCTGATCAAGACCATGGCATAAGCATGTACCGGCTAATTATTATTTTAACATAAACAAAAAAATTGACAATAGGTCAAACTACATGATAGACTTCATGTCTAGTTGGCCCACAGATCCAGTGATTACAAAAGTAATAACTGATAGTTTCTCACTTGGCTTCAGGATCATATTCTGCCCAGATTTTTTTGAATTCATCCAGGTGATGAGGACCCAATATGGACCAATCCCGTGTGAGGTAGTCAAAGTTGTCCATGATAACAGCGACAAAGAGGTTGATAATCTAAGGAGATATACATTGGCACAGCTTAGGTGAAAGATAGCAGAGGATAATGGACCTCTGAGCTGCCCATTGGAATGAAGTTGGCCAAAGGCCTGTATACCAACCCACATAAAACTAAATAAAGTATAATCGAAGGGGTAGTTTGTCTGGGAAGGCAATGCATGTCACAGGCATTGGTTAGTTCAATTCTTAGGCTTGTGAATACACCCTTCCACCCAGAATCCTTGGAACAGTGGTTCAAACCCCCCCCCCGAGCTATAATTCCCAGCACCCTTAAGAAACTACTGTTCCCAGGAGCCTTTTGGGGCCGGTGAGGAAGAGATGTGATTTAAGTGCATGTGTAGAAACAGCTAAGTGGTCCGTTCATATGTGCAAGTCCATCAGGCAGCCAACCACGATAGTGTGCTAGGAGAAGAGTGGTCTTTATACAAGCGTGCTCCAGAAGTACAAGCAATGACTGAGCACACCACTGTGCTGGGCTGCTTGTGGTGTCACTTTGACTTGCTGTTTGTGATTGTGACAAATCATTCATATGATTCCCTTGCCACATTGATCACCGCTCTCAGCCTTGGATGTAACAGAACCGACCTGCCACTGCTCAGTGCCTAAGAGGCAAAATTGATGAGAGAAGGAAGCAGAGAATTCCAGGGCTACGTTACACATTTATAGCTATGCGTTAATATGAACTGCGGCCACCTGAGAAAACTAAAATGAGACAGAATATTGAATGAGTGCCCAGGCCAGGGCTTTGAGAAGAGTCATTTCTGTTTCCTCAGCATGACAAATGTCAGTAGCTTATTTACTGCAAGCTGACTAAGGAATGTTTATTGATGGGCAGCTTTATACGTTTATTATTTATTTATTAGTATTTATTGTTTAGTGTTTAGTATTTATTAAATACCGTACATTTAATACTTACATGTAATAAATATAGTAATAATAAGTAATGTTAATCTAATCTTCCCTTAATCTTACTAAATATAGCAGATGAAAACTGGTATAGGGGTAAATAAAGCAGGTTAAAGACTCTCTCACACTGGCAACGCAGGTGGAAAGAGGAAGAGCAACAGCCCAGCTAAATGCATTTCATTCACAAGCAAAATTCCCTCTTTCCCTCTCTCCATAATGGCCGTTGATTGCCTTTCAGCAGCAAACACAACGATACCTGCTTTCTGATTGTTCCTGAATTTGCAGCCTTTGAGTGGATTTGATGGTCACAGATTGGCCCCTGAGCTATGACTGGTGATCAGCAGCTCCTAAACCCCATTTCTGGAGTCCCCTTCCATTAGCAAGAATGAATTGAACTATGTGTAAAGCCAAGACTACTGCTGCAGAAATGCTACAAGGTCTCTGAAGGAGAGAGGGGAGTATTTTAAAAAGGGAGCTGAAAATGGTTTGGGAGACATCATTACCTCCTGCAACATACACAAAATTTTTGATTTGACCCACAGTTTTGCAAAACCTGTTTGGCCAAAGGTGAAAGCAGGGTGATGTTATGCATCACATGCAGCAATTCCCTCCATCAAACCACCTTCAACGCCCCCCCCCCATGATCATGTCTAGTTCGTCCCTTAATGATGATTGCTACTGTACCATATTTATCCATATGCTACAAGTATCTGCTAACTGACTAGGAAATAAGCACAAGATCAGAGAACAGAAATAGCCTACCAGGAATGCGCACAGCATGTAGAAGCTGACTAAGTAGAAATAAGCAAAGTCTGTGCCACAAGTATATTCTTCCCCAGGAGCAAAGTCAGACTCAGGGTCACATTGCTTGCCATAGCTGGCAGCCAGTAAGATCTCCTGCCAGGCCTCACCAGTTGCACACCTAGAGAAAGGGATAAAGTGAGGCAGGGGCCCCTTTCCAGAAAGTATTCTCTAGATTAGAGGATATGGAATGACCAGCATTCTAGGACTCTAATCCTGGGTACTGCAAAATTGCAACCATTACCTCGTTTCCATTTGTGGGACTTTCATTTCTGAGTTGCCAGAATTAAAATGAGGAGTGAACCTAACACTAAGGGTCTATTCTGGCATGTTGTTATTGTTTATAGCCCGGCTTTTCCCAAAACTGGGGCTCAAGGTGGCTTATAAATAAAATAGTGACCACCAGCATATGAAGACTGAGGAGGTATTGTGGAAGTGCCAGGGTCATAACTCAGGGAATGGGCAGGACATGCCATGTGTTTAAAGCACATGGCTTCCCCCCCCCAAAAAAAAGAATCATGGGAACTGTAATTTGTTAAGGGTCCTGGGAATGGCAGCTTTGTGAGGGGGAAACTACATTTCCCAGGATTCTTTGAGGGGAAAGTCATGTGCTTTAAGTGTGCATTGAATGCACTTTAAATGTACAGTGATACTGACCTGAATAGCAGCAGCACTGCTTGTGGGAACGTCTGGAAGTTGTTGTTCCGATTTATATAGGTTCCATCCACCAGAGCAATTTTCCCAAACATCTGTAAATCAGAAAGTGCCACTGCGATAAACCTCCACTTTTTGTACCAAAACCTGTTCTCTTTGTACCAGTTTCCTTTCGTTTCTTGCTACTTGGTTGGATATAGTCTTAGCCATGTTTAAAGTAGACTCACTAAAGTTAATTGAACAAGTTAGGCATGACTAACGTAAGTCCCCTCAATTTCAATGGGTCTCCTCACGACTTGGCTCACATCCACAGTATACAGTTTAAAGCAATCTCATACAACTCTAAAATTCATGGCTCTCTCTCCCCCCTTTCCCAAAGAATCATGGGAACTGAAGTTTGTTAAGGATCCTGAAAGTTGTTAGGAGACTCTTAGTAAACTACATTTCCAAGAATTCTTTGGGAGAAGTCATGACTCTTTAAGTGGTGTAAGAGTGCAATCTAAGTCTGAATCTAACCAATTGCTGCTTTCTACTTTAGTTGTTTACTGTCTTTCTGACTGCTGACACCCCCACCCTACCCCACCAAGGAAGTGAAGTGACTGCAGTTGCAAACCTCAAGCTTACTAGAGATTAAGTTACACTGAACTCATACAAACATAGCAAGAGCTCTCCTGAATCAGGCCAGGGAACATCTAACCCAACACTGCTTCATAGAATGGCCAACAAGATGTTTCTGGGAAGCCTACAAGGACAACATGAAGGAAACAGCCCTTCTCTGTGCCATTTTCCCCACAGCAACTGGTATTTAAAGGCCAGTTGCCTTTAACCCTGGAGGTTCCATTCAGCTATTAGCTGAGGACAGATCTGGTCTCCATTAATTTAACTAATCCCTGTTTAAAGCCATTTACACCAGTGGTCAGTCCCATAGAACTCATGGGACTTATTACTGAGCAAATATGCCTAGGATTGGGTTGTAAAACTCCAGACTGAAAGCTCACGGGAACTAAATTCTTGTGGCATCCTTTCAAGTGACACCTCTGTTTGCAGGTCAATGGAGAAGGACATGAGACATGCAAGGTATAATTATTTAATGGGCCAGATCAGGCACCATGTCAAGAGAGATACACCTTGTTTCAAAACCTCTGCAGGATACATGGTGTCCCAAGCAATTGGGATGAGGAGAATGGGGAGCTGAGACTGAGGAAAGCTTCCAAGGAATAGAATGGAATGACAATATGATATCTGGCCTTATTACCATGGATGGTTTATAACTGGGATCTTGGCTTACACTGCCACTGAGAGAGTTTTTTTGTGTGTGTGTATCCTCACCTGCATCCCAATCACAGCATAGATAAAGAACAACATCACAATCAGCAAGGCCACATGTGGCAGTGCCTGCAGAACAAAAGAGAGAAGAACCCAAGGGTCGCAAAACTGCAGTGCAAAGTCATGAGCCTCAAATGAGATGGGAAGCGTTGAATCACAATGCTTGTCACCCAACCTCTAGAACTCTTCAAGCTCACATCCTTTCAGCCAATGTGATGCACTTGCCTGGAAAGACTTGATGAAGGTCCATAGTAGATTTCTAATGCCTTCTGATCGGCTCAGCAGTTTTACCAGCCGTAGGACACGGAAAAGCCGGAAGAAAGTGATAGAGATTCGGCCACCCTCATCAGGATCTATGGCTTGCTGTGGAAGGAGCACATCCCTTGGGCAGTGAACAAGCATGAAGCAGGTAGAAGGAGATAAACTTCATTCAAGAGTAGATCTGGTGTGTTCAGCAGGCATGCCCATAATAAGACAGCAACCACCCACAATTTAATTGTGGATTAGGGGGCCAACCTGGTATGTACTACTGAGACCTGGGACGTCAGGCTGCAAGGTGTTGACTTTCATCAGCAATGTCTGTCTGGGTTCTCAGTGCACCACCAACATAGATGCGGGCTGGAGATGGTGGGTAATATCACTGTGGCCTATAAGGATCCAGTCTTCCTTTACTCCACTTCCCTCTGCTGAATTCCTGTGTCCACCAGTTTGGGCACCAGGAACAGATGGGGAATTCTGCTGTTGTACCGACTGCTGCCCAGCAGCCCCCATGTCTGAACTGACAGAAGTGGTCTCGGCATGGCTACTGACAACCCCCAGACTGATTGACTACTGTAATGTGTTGTACCCAGCTTTGCCTTTGAATACTATTTGGAAACTTCAGCTAGCTCAAAACACAGTCTCCAGACTGTTGACTGGGACCAGTCAGTTGGTGGGGGTGATATATCTCAATGATATTGAAATAAATTCACACTGGCTTCCAGTCAATTTCTGATCACTCTTCAAAGTGCTGGTGTTTTCCTTTAAATGCCTACACAGGTTAGGTTCCTGAAGGACTTCCTGCTCCCAAAACAACCTGAGGCTGTTCTATAGTTGTCCCTGCCATCTGAGATAAGGCGGGAGTTTATGGAATTCCCTCCCCAGAAAATAATGTTGGCACTAGGCAGATTTATTGTTTTTGCTGCCTGACAAAACCATTTTTATTCTCCCAGGCTTTGTAATATACCTTAATGCATTTTTTCTTTTTTAACATATAATGTTCTATTTCTCTGTGTTTTTCTTGTTTTTGTAAATGACTTTGGAAGCTCTGCTGAAGGATGGTGTGTGTGTGCACACATGTGTGTGTGTGTGTGTGTGTGTGTGTGTATATATGTATGTGTGTGTGTGTGTGTGTGTGTGTGTATATATATATATATATATATATATATATGAGAGAATATGAAAGGGGTAAAAAAACACTTACTGGTGTTGTGACGTCTCCCTGGATCACCGGATTCGTCTGTAAATATATCCCAAGTTATAAGTACAGCAATAATTTCAGTGCAGGTAAAACAAGGACCTCAGGGCCAACAGCATGCTAAGCTAAGGGACTGGATAATACTGCAGGGGTCATTGCATGCTGACTCAGGTTTGGAATACAGGAAGGAGTTTCATGCCACCGCCATTAAAAGGTTCCTCAACCTTCTAATGGATCTCTTGGTTCTAAGCCTAGCAACCCCTCCCTGGGCTAACTTCATGTTACCTGTAGAACTGTTGAACTGCTGGGTTTACTGAAACTAAGGATGAGTCTGCGCCATCAAAAATCATGAGTCCAGCATGACAAGAAGGAAGTGAGAGGAACAGTCAAAGGACACAGTTTGTACCTTTTTATCAGAGTTGGGGGTTGGATAATTTGGTGCCATCATATATTTTATTGGAACGCCTATGCCACAAGGGCAAACTGGATCAAAGCTGCCATAACTGCCAAGGTCTCTCCCAAGGAATCTTAGGAACTGTAACTATGTGTGGATATAAAAAATAACCTTCACAGATGTACCGTTATGATAGGAGGCTCATTTTGGGAGAAGCCGTGGCAGGAAACTAGTTTAGATTTTTAGTGCAGACGTAACCTAACACTGTGCAAATGTTGGCACAGTGATTCTAGTAGTGAGCACTCAGTGCATATTTAATGCACAATCAGTCCCATGGCGTATTTGCAGAGCAGATCGCCTGGGTCAGTTGTGCAAGAGCACACAGCCAATGCAAAACTTGTCTGTGGATTTGTGCTTCTGCAGAGTAGTAAAAGCATCATTTTGAGAAAAGTAACTATTGCATTCAGACTTCAGTTTTCTGGCTGTTAGCTACAGAATCTTCAGATCTTGCTGTATCTTCTATAATGAAGCTGCACAGAACACATCGGCAAGCTGGACCAGGAATGGAAGGAAGCTATAGTGTAATCTAGATATGCAGTGATGCACTTGCTGTGCATCAGAAACAAAAGCTGATAATTGCACTGCCAGCGCTTTGCAGGACTGTTATTTTAGTGCAACCATAAAAATGCCACTAAAGCTGTGTTAGAAGCTAGAAGCTGTTAGTTCTATGCAACAATGCTTGTACAGCACCTACAGAATGTGAAAAGAATGTGATATATTGCTGCTAATCTTGTATGCGTATTACCCCAACCTCTTGTGACAAGCCAAAAGAAAGGCTTCTCTAGTTGTTGAACATGTGAAAGGGGAGCAAATAAAAACAGCACCCTCCCACCACCAGCATCGTCTTCTCTTGAGGCTCACAACTTTCTCTCCCTTTTCCTCCTCGATGGCAGAATCTCTGAAGACTCATGCAGTCCACACTAACACAGCAGGGCACAGCAATATGGAATGGTCTAGGAAGGGACAAAGGGATATATGAAAGAAAAGGTTCTCCACAACAAGCTCATGCAGCTGATATTTACAATGCCATTACAGCCACCGCTTAGGCAGTACAATCCACCTCTGGAAGCAAGAATAATCTGTTAAGAGAATGAAAGAATCAGCCGAGGAATCCCACAAATGTAGTGGGAAAGTAGAGAAGTGAAAGACAGAAAGAGGGACAAGGGATGGAGGAGAGGAAGAGGAGCCATTTTTATGGAGGAAGAGAAGGTGGTCCACAACAATAGAAGGGCATGATGGGAGATCCTATGAGACCAACAAAGAAGAAGACAGGCAGAAAGGAATAAGGGATAAAGGATAAAGGAATAAAGGATGCAGTGACTGATGCATGGAATGAGGACTACAAATGACTTGAACAGAGCCTAGTGTCTCCTACTGGAAAGATTTTAAAAAGCAGCCTAGATAAGAAAGTTCCAGCTAACAATATACTGCAATAAGCCTTAGACAAAGAAACCTACTGGAGCATCATTGAAGGCACAGATATTCCTAGATTAGAAGCCTACAGAAGTCTATGACGCATGGCCAGCTACACTCATATTCACCCACCATCAAAAGACCACTCATGAGCCAGAATTCAAATGGGGGGTGGGTTTCAAGTGCTATTAGACCCCTCCATAAGTGATTAGAGTTCTTAACATGTCTTTTCCCTGCAAGGAGCTCCTACGGTGATATTTCATGGTCAGCTCTTTGAAGGATGGGGCTCCTGGAGTGCCGCCCACCATGCTGAGTTCTTCTGAAAACATTGACCCTTTCTTTCACACATTGAAATAATCCAAAGACTGGGCAGAACCCAAGGGGAAACAGGGAAGATGGATTTTTGCGGAATTAAACAAGATGGCTCATGCCAAGAGAAGTATTTTATCCACAAATGCTTGTTACAATTAATTTTTAAATATATTCAGACAGAACTAATTAATAGCCAGACATTTTAAAATCCTGGCTGACTTGTGTGCTATACCTGCTGCAGATGGTTATATTGACTTCAGCAGCAAATAAATGGTTGTGTGCCTTTGTTGGATTTGTGCTCTGATTGGTTATTTGCATTTTCTTGGCCAGAAACTCTGAGAAAAGTGCTGTATCTTGCACAAAGCAACATATGATCCCTATGGAATGCCCACAGATTATGTTAGAGGCACTTTATTATACTTGCTGCCATTTGTTCTTGGACAGAAGACCATAAAAAGAGCATTATTAGTTCATCTAAACAGCTCACCTAGCAGGGAGTTTATTAAACATCAATATACAAATAAATGAAACAAATGGACTAGGAGGGAGGAAGGAAAGACAGGAAACATGGGAAAGGAATAGGCTAGGTTCATAAGTCAAAGATACAGTGTGCTGGAAGGGGAAAACAGCAGCACTAATGGTGGTTTTGCTTTCTGTGGAATCAAAATCAGACTATGTGATCCAGTCAGCACCACAGGGTGTACAGAGAGTATTTTAGGAGAATCAGGGCTCCAAGCATTATCCCTCTCACTTTCTTGCAGTTCCCAGCTGTTCAATGGGAAGCAGCATTCCAGTGGGGCAGACAAAGAATCCTGGGAAGAATGAACTCAGCGCCATTCTGCCTCTGGTACTGAACCAAACATCAGGTGCAAAGGCAAGGGAAGCAGAATACTTACCAGTTCCCAAGTCCTCAGACTAAATTCCTAAATACCATTGAACTTGATCCCATTTCACCTTAACTACTTAGCATATAGATCTCTCACCAGAGTTTTTTTGGCATTTAATGAATCAGGGCATATTCAGCAAGCATTGAGGTGGGTGTAAATCTAGTAGATCTTGTAGATCTTTGCATGTCCCCAAAGATACCTTCCATCCCCTGCTCGCCTAATAAGAGAACAACAAAAAGTTCAGCTGTATCTTAAAGCTACATCCTTGGAGTGACTCTTTGTACTTGGGCTTGGAAACAACTCATCAAGCAGGGTAGATATTTGCACTGACATTTCCTAATACTCTAGCACTGGCTAGAGGCAAGCTGGAGCTAGAAAGAAACACAGCAGGTTTTTCCAGGGATTGGAGTATTTAAAGGAAGACAATGTTCAGTATAAAGAGATGATGGTTTTGGTCTTAGTAATACTGAATCAGGCATGTACACTATTGATGAAAGCTGTTCTAGATCTACCTCCTTCTAAAGCTGTTTCTGTAGCCATAGATAACTGAAAATAGTAGCATTAGCAGTGCACTGAGAACATGAAGGCACATAAATGCATTTTTAACCCAGCAATATCTACTCTTGTCCTTTCTTTAAATTCATATGCAATGCAGAGTACACATGTGCTATTCCACCCATGGTATATTTTCAATATACTCTGGTGTGTATTATAGCATCCATGCACATATATATATAGAAGGCACAATTTATATATGCAAGTGTTGCCATGAAAATAGTCACACTGTAAGCAGACATAATAAGCAAATACTCAAAGCATGGTTGCCATGGACAGCAAAACAAAAATGATCTGCAGGTACCATGAGGCAAACCATCTCAAAGTTGACTTTATACTAAATTTGCCAGCTACATATTACTTGCCAAGAACATATGCTTAGAGAGAACACAGAGATTACTAGGCAGGTGAAATGTCCTGGGCATGGGGCCACATCAGTCCATTAGTTATGATCAAGGAAAGGTCACCTCAAAATACTTCTTGATGCCTGAAACTCACAGTATCCACTGAACTTATCCACATTTGTGGATTGTGAGATGCCTACCATTCCCTTAGCTTAAAGGCAATAAACCCTCTTATCTCCAGAAGGAAACTGAAGTAAAACAATAGCTTCTGTGAAACAGATATTCTGTTTAGACATGCAATAATCACAACTGTGGAAAAGTTGGGAGACTGATGCTGCTATATTAGCATGAGGAACAGTTTTCTACTCTTCTTCACTTTCATGCCTGCCCAGTTTGACATGTTCCCAGCCCCCACACTCATCCAGTGCTGGGAGCCTTTCACTTACATCAATCTGACTCAGGATGACATCAATGATGCTGCCAACGACTATAAGGAAATCAAAGACATTCCAAGGGTCCCCAAAGTAGCCCTGGGGGAAAAGGAATAAGAAAGTAGGTTTCAAAGAAGTAAGCCAGGACCTTTCTGGCACCTTCCCAACCTAAGGACCGATGTTGAAACTTGTGTGACTTGGTTAGGACTAAAAAAAAACTTACATGCAACCATTCCCTCCTCCCCAGCAGTATCCCCCTTAAAGTGTGGCATGTAACTCTAAGCCAGATATAGGGAACCTGTGGCTCTCCAAATGTAGTTTGACTACAACTCCCATCATCCCTGGCTATGACTATGCTGGCTCAGGCTCATGGGAGTTGTAGTCCAATGATGTATGGAGGGCCATCGCTTTCCACCACTGCTCTAAGCAAAATGACAGACCCACTTCCCTCAAGGAGCCTTATAGGTCCATATCCCAAACTCACCTTAGCCTTGAAGGCTATAAGTTTAAGGATCATCTCCACAGTAAAGAGAAGGGTGAAGACCACATTAAGGATATCTGAGAGATGGTCCATTGTCTCTGATTGATTATAATGCTGTAAAGATGGTTAAAAGTAGATGATTAATAGAGCGTTGGTTTGAGTTAGAAACAAAGCCCTGTAGACCCAAAGGAAGTCTATATTATGCCAAAGGGAGAAATCATATTGATTGCTAGATAACAAGTAAAAGAGATACACATGCAGAGAACAGGCTCACCATGATGAGTGAGCTGTATGGATGTAAAACCCCACTTATCCAACATACCTGTACTAACAATGCCTCTCATTGCTCACTTGTACAGTGGTACCTCGGTTTAAGAACCGCCCTGTATACGAACGATTCGGTTTACGAACTCTGCAAAGCCGGAAGTAGTGTCCTGGTTTGCGAACTTTACCTCAGTCTAAGAATGGAATCCGAACAGTGGAAGGGCACCGGCGGTAGTAGGCCTCATTAGGGAAAGCATGCCTCGGTTTAAGAACAGTTTTGGTTTAAGAAAGGACTTCTGGAACGGGTTAAGCTCATAAACTGAGGTACCACTGTTTTCTATATTGGAATCCCTGGAATAACATCCCAGTTCAGTTACATTGTGTGTAGTGTACAACCGATGGATAATAAGACCCACCCATATTTCTAAACACCAGATCAGCAAGTGCTCATTATAGGGGCACTGTTTTGTAATTCTTCTTCTCCAGGCAGAACTCAGGATCCCACAATCATCACTACTGCTGCCATTCTACAGCTGGGCAGCTGTTCCACTCATCCATACCTGCATGCCCAAGCAGATGGTGTTCAATGTGATCAGGAAGAACATAAGGTACTCAAAGTAGGAGCAGGTCACAATATACCATATCTGGTACTGGTAGGGGTTCTTGGGAATGTAGCATCTCAGAGGGCGTGCTTTGAGTGCATATTGCACACACTGGCGCTGGAGCGAGAAGAAATACAATGTGGGAATGGGGCCAAAAAAGGCTAGGCAGTGCCTTCCATACTTTAGGGTTTCTTGTTCATTATCTTAGCATTATGTGCCATACCTGGTTCTTGTCCAGCTCACAGTTTTTGTACTCTGTTTCACCCTGCTCCTGGAAGGTTACGATGATAAAACCTACAAAGATGTTCATCATGAAAAAGGCTATGAGGATGAGATAGATGATGAAGTAGATGGCAACGCCCATGCGATAGTTGTAGATGGGGCCCACGTCCTCAGCGCTTGTGTCAATTGCTTTGTACAATAACCTGGAAGAGTTAGAACAGCGGTCGAGATTAACGGGCCTGGGTAAAAGACCTTTGAAGAAGTGGGCTATGAAAGGACTTTGCTCGATGGGTTATCAACTCAGGTATCCATGCCTCCTCTGACAGGGGCGGCCCACTCTCAAAGGGTTTTCCAAAAAATCAGTATAGTTAAATAAATGTAGAGCTATAACTCTTTTATTGAGTGGGTTCCAGGCAACTTTTCCTTAAATTGCTCTGTTGATGTATTATGCTTTCTGATTCTCAAAGCACAATATTTTGTTGCTGAGAAAACATGTTTTTTAAAAACCCCAGTAACTGCATCAATTGCCATGGTTACATGAATGTCTGGTGTAGCTCTCTGCATATAGTGTCTATAACATCGTTAGCGAGATGCATTAAAGCTTCCCCTTTCAGTGTTATTTTGCTTGCACAGTATAGCTAATTAGCAACAGTAGCAGCATACCAGCTAATCCTTCTGACAATTCCCAACAGCCCACCTTGCACTTTGCCCCATGCTGGGTTCTGAACTCACTTAGGCCATCCTTCAAAGGTGGAAACAGTGAAGAGAGACATCATGGCTGACAATACATTATCAAAGTGGAAGTCATTGAGTTTCCACATTCGCTTGTCCTCCACAACCTGCGTTGGATCAGCATCGACGTATGTGATGAAGTATCCCCTGGGACAAGAAACTTTATATTAGTTACAGACAAGGAGCCTGCACCTTCTGTTAATTCGTATTAGACTACAGTACAGTTCTATGCAGGTCTACTTGGAAGCAAGTTCCACTGAGTTAAGTTAAGGATTGTAGCCTAACATTTCACCAATGCTGAGATAGTCACTCAACGGCAGTCACTACAGCAAAAAAGGAACTTGTTCAAGTTGCATAAGACTGATCCAATGAATCCCAGGCTGGCTCATCCCCTCCTTGGCCCTAGAACATCCTGTCTGGGGCTTGCCACTGGCTGCCACTGCTGGGGAACCCATTGGTAGCACTTCTGTCTGCTCACACATTTGGTGAGTGGAAGAGTACTGCATCAACAGAGTAACACAGGAGTCACTCTGCAGAAAGACACTGGCAGAGGCTGGCAGGGCTGGATGGAGGGATACCACCCACCCACCGACCCCAGCCTGGCATAATGGGGTGTTTTTTTTCTTTTATTGCTCTGTTAACGCAAAAACTACTCTGGCCCACAGCTTCCCGTCACACTACAATTATAGTGTCCCAGGCTGCAGAAGACTATGACGCATAACCAAGGCTTACCTGCATTCTTCTGCAGTGATCTTGGTTGAATCTGTGCAGCTAAAGAACTTCCCCTACATTTAAAACAGAGATCAAAAGTTATAGGGATTGTTGGTATTTGGCTGTTTCCCAATTATGGCCTCAACAGTCCTGAGAGTACTGAAAAGTGAATGTTTCCAGCTACACAAAAGCCCAGGCCCAGTTTTTACTGCTGAAGGAGAGGAGACAGTAATTCACGACAGTTTCCCGTTGCTGACTGGCAAAGCATGTGGGAGTTGTATTGAAAGGGAATAAGATTTTGCAAGTGACTTACACATTGACTGTGAGGAAACTGCAGTGATGTTATTAGCTTCCTTGAGGTATGTATTGACAGGCTGCATTGGCACCATGTTGCACCCAAGATTGAGAGGGCCCGTTGTGCGTTGTGTGTGTGTGTGATGTCACACACTTAGACCATCATCTGGGTAGGTTTGGAGGATTGAATATGCTTTTTTAAAGGAAGGTTACACATCACAGAAGGACCTGAGGGTGACCAGACCAAACCAAAGGTATTCGGCCAACCGAGACAAATGAGAATGGTTAATTCAGTATAGGGGCCCTGAATTGATTATCTCTGGCAGCAAGCTATCCTTGTTTATATAAACAAGCTTTTACAAACTCATGGACTCAAACAGTGTGGAAGTTCATTCTATCTAGGAAAGACTGTCACCTTGAAGAGCTGCACCCCAATGCAGGCAAACATGAACTGTAGCAAGGCACTGACAAGCACAATGTTGCCGATGGTCTTGATAGCCACAAAAACACACTGTACTACGTGCTAGAGAGAGAAAGAGAGGTTGGTTAGATTTTATTTGTCCATTGCTCACTGTGATTTTTCTGAATAACTGCGGTCCAGCAAAATATAAGTAGAGATTGCTTTGCCTGGTTCTTGCATACATTTCAATGCATGCTGCTGGCTTAGAGAGGTCATCACATTTCCCTTACTATCCCTGATTTCTGGGTTATCCAGAAGAGGAAAACATTCCTACAACCCCACTCACCTTCAGCCCCTTTGCTCTGTTAATGGCTCTCAGTGGTCGCAGTACTCTGAGCACCCTGAGGATTTTCACTACTGAGATGGCACTGGACCTGTGGCAGAATATGAGGAAAACATTACAGCGGGAACCCTTATTGTGCTTATGTTACATGGATTCTGCCCTGCCTACAAAGAATGACTATGGCCTTTTGATTATATCTAGTGATTGAATGGGCCATTCTATGGTTGGGACCACGAACCAGAGAATGATATAGGACTGCCTTGCTACCGGGGCGGCTTCAGAGAATTCTTCAGAAGGCAAAACCACTGCAGGGTGCATTCAGACATGCGGAATACTGCATTGCCCTAGTTTTCCTGATTGTAATGCTAGCACTTCTGAACCATTTTCTAACATTCCTTTCACAATGCAGTACTTCTTGTGTAATGGAACGATGGCTTTTTGATAGATGTACGCTAAATTTCATGCACATCTGTGAGTGTGGAGTGACACAACAAGAAAACATCACTGGGCGATGTCACTACTCCTCCACCCCTTCCGCACATGTGTGCTTCTGTTCGCCCATGATTCCCCCATGAAAACAGCAGGAAATAACTGTATGCTTGTACACCGTCCCAAATTTCCTCACTTTACTCCCAACTCTAGATGGTACAACCAGCCACAGTAAATTACAGAACCAAAGAGCCTTTGAACGAGGGTGAGGGTACCATCGGAGGAAAAAGGCAGACCTTTGCAGCAACTAAGACTTTCACAACCCAGTCAGTAGGATCAAACTACAGGAACTGATTGTACATCCACTTCTCATACCGATGCAGTGGGGGTGAAGGATAACTGTTTGACTCTCAGAGCACACCCACACCACAGACCTAAACTGGTTTAACAGCCAATCCCTTTTTCCAAGGAACTCTGGGGATTATAGCTCTGTGAGAGGGATAGAAATTTCTTAACAATTCCCGGTACTCTCAAGAAATTGAAGTCTGCAGGAATCTTTGGAGAAAACAGTTAAAATAGTATAAAATCGATGCAAATGTAGAGTGTGGATGAGGCCTCAGTATGTTGACTGATAATGATGGCTGTGAATATTCATTGCTTTGGGAGCAGAGCTCACTACTCTTCATGGAGCTCCTAGTTTTCAGGGTCTGAGAGACGGTCAGCTTCTCATTACAATGTTTTCCTTTATATTTCAGGGTATTTCTTACTACTCTATGGTCACACTGATACATCCCTCATATCCCACAGTTGCTGCCAAAGACACAAGGAGAATGTTAACCCCTATCCTACTTCCCTCAGAGTTGGCCCTACCACAGATTGATAAAACCCAGGCCTGTTCTTCCATCACAATGCTTACTCAAATCCCATGGAGATAAGAGAGACAGCCACAACGAGCAAGTCCAGGATGTTGAAATAGTTGCGGCAGAAGGATCCCTTGTGTAGGATAGCACCATAAGTAGTCATCTGTGGGGAGCAGGAAGACTCAGTTAGGCCCAGTTTTTGTATTACTTTGAGGATACTTCTCTCAGCAGCCTAATTCTGTAAATCATTGGACCTGTGGATGTTGACTGCTGTGTTCAGGATGAAGCAGTTGTCTGAGAACGAACACTTCATCATCAGCACAGAGAGTTGGCAAGCTTGAATTTGATGCCCGCTATTTGTACAGGTGGTTAACTGTTCAGATTGCCAACTCAGCACAATGGAGAAAAGATGAATAAGTAAACATTGGTGATTTCCATTCCCGTTTTATGATTCCATTGGAATTCCACAACATCTCTAAGTGTGACTCACCTTTAGAACGATTTCCACTGTGAACACAGAAGTGAAGCCAATGTCAAAATATCCTAGAATCTGGAGATAAAACAAGCAAAGAAACAGGATGCTATTTTTGTCAGGGCAACTCTGTTGCTATATATACAAACATGTCTTTTAGCAAATTTGCTGGGTTCTGGAATGAGAACTATAGAAGAAATATTATCTGAATATTATTAACAGAATCTCCTATTTCTTCAAGCTCATTTTGCAGTCTCCAGGTAGTCCCAGCTAAACCAGCATGAACAGTACTCTGATTTCTAAAAACAAATGATTGCAGAAATATTTTTGGTTATCCCCAAGCAAACCTGTTTTTCCTCTACATATTATTTTAGTTTGCAAATACATTTAGCCATGAATACTTTTAACTTTTTACTAGTTGTCCATTATCTTCTCCTTTTAAAATAATTGCTTCTTATTGGTTGTATGATATGATTGGCTCCATCCTTATTGAGTTTCATGAAGAGATGACTTTTAAATAAAGACTTTGGGTCAGAACGACACTCTTTGGCTTTCTGCGATTTATGCATGAAAACCAGTCACTTATTTTCATCTACAGCTTCCTGTTGTTGCCTTTTGCATGTTGTTTCAATTTCATACCAAGTAGTTTTCACCAGGAGGCAATTACAATGGATGCAGGGCTTTCGTAAGTCACTCTGGACCACCCACTGGTACCTTGCCAGTAGCGCAAGCAAGTCTATCTAGTCACCTTATTCCTGAAGGACTCAGCCCGTAATGGATCCTCAGCTGCCAGTGAGACGCTGCTGAGCAGAATGAAGAGGAGGATGAAGTTGGTGAACCAGGTGGCATTCACAATCCGGTGGCACAGTACACGGATCCTGAAGAGGACAATTTAGGGAAAGAAAGGGAAGGTCATATTCTGCTTAAGCAAAAGAGTTCATAGTACAAAGGGCACCCAATGGGGGAATTACACTGTTCATCAATGTGCTGGTAGAAAGTGCACATGTGATGTTTCTATCCCCCTCAGAGTACATTTGGAATATGGGCACAATTTGTAGAGCAGAATTGTTGAGTGAATTGAGCCTGTGTTTATGTGGGTTCTTGGACAAACCAGTCCATAACATTACTAAAGGAATTACTACTTTACGGTCCTTTCACTGCCAAACTGCAGCACTTTTACAGCTGTGGTGCTAGTTTAATAACCATTCAAGGAAAGTCTGAAGACCAAGAGGATAGTCTGAATCGAAGGCATCTGCCTATACTGATGTCTTTGCCGAGGTTAAGCAAGCCTGGCCAGGAAGGAATTTGTGCCTAGTGGCAAATATTCCCGGTTAGATCGTCTTCGTATCTGAATTCCTAGCCAGTTCAGAAACCTATTCAGTTTCTGTTGTGTGCCTAGGTAAGAGAGAGAGAGGAAGGAGTAAGGCCTACTTGTTGGTTGGGCTAAAGATGAAGAATGAGCTGGCTTCGGGCATGGGCACTGCCTTCTCCTTCAACTGCAGCTCTGCCAGAGGACGTGGCCGAGGACTCAGTGGAATTTCAGGCTCATCTTCTTCATCGTCACCTGCAGGACACACAGTCGGTCACTGAAAAGCTTCATGCAGAGGCGCTACATGCATAGCCAAAAGGTTCACTCATTTCTAGGCTTGCTATTAAGCCAAAATATAAGCATCAGAGTATCTCAACATCCCTAAGGGACACGGGTGGTGCTGTGGGTTAAACTACAGAGCCTAGGACTTGCCGATCAGAAGGTCGACGGTTCGAATCCCTGTGACGGGGTGAGCTCCCGTTGCTCAGTCCCTGCTCCTGCCAACCTAGCAGTTCGAAAGCACGTCAAAGTACAAGTAGATAAATAGGTACTGCTCCGGCGGGAAGGTAAACGGCATTTCCGTTGCTGCTCTGGTTCGCCAGAAGCGACTTAGTCATGTTGGCCACATGACCCGGAAGCTGTACGCCGGCTCCCTTGGCCAATAAAGCAAGATGAGCGCCGCAAACTCAGAGTTGGTCACGACTGGACCTAACGGTCAGGGGTCCTTTTACCTTTACCTTTATCTCAACATCCCAACACAGCATTAAGTCAGTTCAGCCCAGAATTCTCTTCATTCCTGTGGTGGGAATGAAAGAGACAAACCTTCCTTACCTGGGAAGTCAGCGGAGGGATAGGGGTCCTTGATCTCATTGACATTTGATTCAAACTCATCCACTTTCAACTGAACAGAAGAAATAAAAATGAAAGGAAGCTCAGCGGCATAGGCAAGCTCACTCTGATACAGTTTCTAGGCATGCTCTGAAAACCTTCCTGTTTCAGAGGACTGATTTCTGCTCATCTATTTAAAATGACATTGCTTTTCTTGTATTGTTTATTCTTAAGGGATTCTTAACCATTTTTAAAATTTCTGTTTATACTGTCTCTATCGTACAGTGTTTTGTGGGGGCTTTTTTTAAAAAACCTAAACAAAAAAATAAAACGAAAGGCGGCAGATGTTGCTGTCACCCATGGGGGAGACATTCCATTCAGTCTGCATTGAAAGGTGAATCTACCTAATTCACACTCTCTGAAAGTGGAGAGAAACGCAGTGATCCGTTGAAATCTTTCCAAATTTCTCAACACAGTTCTCCAGCCAAGAAATGTGTACAAAAATGCACACACTAGCGTGAAGTGTGCATAAAAATGCATATATTAATTAAATAACATCAAAAATGAATTCTATTGGGGGAAATGGATTTGCAGGAATGTGTTTTTTTAGATAAACCTGCATAGAAAATTCACAGGAGAAATTTGTACCACAATGCTGATGAATTTTCATGAGGACTTTTTAAATATAAATTTGCATACCGATGTGGAAATGTGGGGAACTGAACTCTGGATTGGAAAAGGGACAAACGGAGAAAAAGCAATATTGACTGATTCATCCGCTCCTAGTCACCCATGGCTGACCTTGGCTGTGGTGGGCATTCCTTCTCCCTTGGCTTTCTGTTCCAGCTTCTTAGCCAGCAACTGCTTTTCCTCTTCTGACTTCTCCGGGTAACCTCTAGAGTGAAGAACCAAGAAAGCAAGAGGAGAGGGAAGTGAAGCCAAGGGGAAGCTATTATTGGGGGGGCGGGGCGGGAAACACCTTACAGTTCAGCCAAGCCCCCTGTTGGGTCCCAGATGAGAACCCAGAGGTAGATATTGTCATGGCCACCAGGAGGCACAACTGACCGGCCCATTTTCTTTTTCTTCCTCTCTTCAGCTTTGGCTTTCTGGGCAGAGGTCAAAGTTTCAGCTTCAGCAAGGTTGTCCACGGCAATAGCCAAGAAAACATTGAGCAAGATATCTGGGTTGTGGGGAGGAAGGCTAAGGAATTATACAGTGTGAGTTTAGGTAATATAAACCTGAAGCCCTGAGCAATTTGCATCCAGGATACCCAAAGGACTCCCTGAGCCCTTCTATCCCAGCATGATCACTGAGATCAAGAAATGCTGTTGGTTGTTCCCCACGTTTCAGAAGCTTGACTGGATTCAGGAAGAAGTTGGGCATTTAGTATCCCATGCTATGAAATACTCTTCGAGCAGAGATTTGGCAGGCATCCTCAATTCTGACCTTCAGATGGCTCTTGAAGACTATGTCAACAGGCCTATTCAATGTTTTAATTGTTTAAGGTGAGTTAGTCACTTTTATGATCATTACATATTGTTTTATCTCTTTTGTACATGTGGTTGTACACTGCCCTGATATTTGACATGAGGGATGGTCTCTATATTTATAAATAAATAAGACTTAAGAGCATGTTCTTAATAAGCTAATAATCCTAACAATGGGGTACAGCTTCCCACACCATTCAGTTTGGCAGGTAGAGCAGAATGAAAAGTGCAGGAAGCAGTCAGAAGAAATGGGAACCTCATTTCAAAAATGAGGACCCTGGTGTGCAGATTGTGTACTGGTCCTCATAGCCACATGCACACACCCATCTACTGCGTGGACAGAAAATGGACCAACATGAAATGCTGTCACCATGAAATGCTGTGAGAAATACTTACATTGCATCTTATGGTGATGTTGCAAAATGAATGCATGAGAATTCAGTAAAGAAGAGCTTTTATCTGACTCTATTAATAGAGGACTCCACCCCCCTAATGGGGCAAAGAAAGGATACAATTCCCACAGACAAAGAGAACAATGAAGTAAATGCAGACCAGCACACCAGGGTAAACTGGCCCTCCATAAGCCATTATGCCATTGTACATAACAGAAGTCCAGTCTTCCCCAGTCAGGACCTAGAAGTAGATGAGTGAGATATTAGCAGCAACAGGGTATCCTGAGCACAACCATTGCATGAGGCCTGGCTTCTCCAACCTGGTGCCCTCCAAATATTGTTGGGTATCTGGTCCCATCAATCCCAGCCAGTATGGCCAATGGTCAGGGGTGATGGGAGTTGTTGTCCAACAACATTTGGAGGACAACAGGTTGGGGAAGACTGCATTAGGTTCTCATCTGAGTTTGAAGACCTCTTCGTTAAAGACCCTTTTCTCAGGCCCCATTGTCCAAAAAGTCTATGCGTTCCCAAAGCTCAGACAATATCCCACAATTCACAGATTCCTATTTCCCCCATTGGTCACCCATTTTCTGCCAGAACTTAGTACAGAAGACAACAATTGTCACCTACAAAACCCTGCCCTTAAACTGGCTTATTAAAACCCCCAAGTTGTACCTGAAAGACAGTGATGAGAGCCTGAGGGAAGTTATCAAAGGTGCTGCGCCGTATCACTGTATCATCAAAGTCAAACCTCCCTCCAAAAAGTTGCATCCCTAATAGGGCAAAGATGGTCATGAAGAGGAAGAGGAGAGTGAGGAGGGAGATGATGGAGCGCACTGAGTTCAGCAGAGATGCCACTAAGTTGTTCAGAGAGGTCCAATACCTAGAGAGGGACACCAACGTTATGTGCACACCTATGTGAAGATGCTAAGATACTTGCAGATCCAGGAGCCAAGCTTTGAAGTGCAGCTTTCTAGCTAAAGACAGAGAATATAAATCATCCTAATGACTAATTAACTAAAACTAGTTATAATCTCATGGCTGCCATCTTGAATGCAGTTGAGCATGTGCAGCCACATCCAATAGGGCAACAAACACAATTTATTTATTTGCTTTTTTCACCCGCTCTTCATCCAAGAAGTGATGCCAAGGTGGGATATGCCAAAGACCAAACAAAGACTATAGCAGCTCAAATAAAGACATTAAAACAACATAGCATCGATCTGTATACGAGACATACTGTTGGCTATATTAAGTACAGCTGCTCAGTGTGCTCAGTTGCAATCGGCAGGGAGATTGCTATGCCTGGATGACTCCATCTTCTGTTCTACCATCTAATCTAGCTTGGTACCTAACATGACTAGTTCCCAGGACTAGAGAAGCTATTTTCAAACATCATAGTTCATCCAAGGGAACGTTTGACAAATCACTGCTCTCCACTACAGATACGTAGGCAGAGAACAGGTGGCAGATTTAATCAATTTGTTCAGCCTCACTCAGAGACACCAGGAGATGAAATCTCACATCCTCTTTTACTTCGTAGAGATGGACTTGAAGCAGGTAGCCACACGGTGGTCACAAGCGCACCAAATATTTAAAGCACTTTAACAGTCATGGCTCCCCCCAAAGAATCCTGGGAACTGCAGTTCATTAAAGGTGCGGAGAGTTGTTAGGAGACCCCTTGCAGAACTAGTTCCCAGCACCCTTAACAAACTACAGCTCCCAGAATTTTGGGGGTGGGGTGGGGGAAGCCATGACTGTTAAAGTGCTATGGGAGTGCTTTAAATGTATGGTGCGGATGTGACCAACACTATGGCCACCAAATGAATACAAAGGAGCTCTGCCAGATAGTATGAGAGATGCATCTAGTCTAGCATTATGTTTCCAAAACTAGCTGGATGCTTCTGTTCTGCTTCCAAGCCTCCTGCATCTCACCAGGATGGCAAAGGTTCTGGAAGCCAAGTCCTATGGGAAATGGTTGTCATACTCACTTAGTTATTTTGAAGAGCCTCAGCAGGCGAATGCACCGCAAAACAGAGATGCCCAGGGGTGTCATGGAGGTAATTTCCACCAGTATGATCTCTAGGATGCCAGTGCACACCACAAGGCAATCAAAGCGGTTGAAGATTGACATGAAGTACTGGCGGAAGCCCAGAGCATACATCTTAAGAATCATCTCTATCGTGAAGAGGGCCAGAAGCACCCGGTTGGCAATATCTGTAAGCAAAATGATGAATGGACCAGATCTCTGACCATGAGGAGCCCAATTCCTCTTCAGAGAGAGAGCATGAGGGTTGGGAGGAAGAAGTGGAGACAGGAAGTCCAGAATTACTTCCTTCACTCTACTCAGTTCTCCTCTGCTGGTAAATAGTGCTTCCACTTGCAGAAGCCAGCTAACAGAAGTTGTTAAGAGTGCATGCAAGAACCAAGCTACCCGTTACATGTAGCGGGTGTATAATGTTAGGGGTTTGCGGGGGGAGGGGGTAGCCTGTATGCTGAGACCCTTCTAATTCCTAAACACAGCACGTGTTGAAAATCTAAGGTAGGGTTGAAACTTCTTGATAATGGCCCTCTAAATATGGGTTGTTAAGGTAGCAGGTAAGGAAATAACTGAGCAAAGTTCTTGCTGCTCTTGCATTTTGAATAACATTTTCCAGTTTCCAATTTAAATATATATACCAATATACTTCCTGTCCTATGTTCCCCTGCTGTCTGTTCAGTTTTCCCTTTGACTTTTGCCTTTCACACCTTAGAATCAACCTCTTACATTATGGTTAGGGCTAAACTATATTAAATGCAGTTGCTGCTTGAGGCAAGAAGGAAGTATATTGGTATGGGAACATGTTTGGCATGGGGTTAAAGTGGGACTAGGGCACTGAGAAGCAGAAAGGAGGATCAAGCAAGGAAGTTTAGGATTGAGAGCATCACAGCACCACCCCCTGTTAATCAGAACCTTCAAAGTTCCCTTAAACAGAGTGCCCAACTCACCTTGAGCCTTGGTCAGCCAATCAGGTTGTTGGTGATGCTCAGTAGCTATTGAGATGGTGTTCAACGCGATAATCAAGAGGACAAACCAATAGAAAAACCTGGACTTAACCAGTTCGCGGCATTTCCTGCGGAGAAGACGGTTCGATCGTCGCCAGTGTCGACTAGAGAAAAAGGAGACAGTTAAAACCAGAATGGTGGCACATGAACCCCTGAAAACGGCTTCAGAACTCTACCTATTCTTAGTTTTCACTTGCTCTAGCGCCTGTGTTTAGAATTTCACAGGACTTTTGAAAAGCATCACTCTTACTAATATGGTTGTGGTGATACAGCTCTAAAGCAGGCCTGCAAAACACAACGTTCACCTTCTTCCCTAGGTATCTGCAATCTCCAGGATGGCTTCCAAATATTTAGTTTGTGCCTCTTTAAGGGGACCATATAAGGCCTAACAAGGCCATCAAAACTGCAGGTGCAGATGGAAGAATAAATAATCCCTGTGGTCTCTGGGAGAAATTCAATGTTATGCTAAGTTAAAGTACCTTAGCAGTGCACTAGTAGTGCTAGCAGAATGGCTGGCGCAAGAAAAGGCGGGAAGCGAGCATGGTTCTCGTGGTTGGTGGCACAACAGATAGATGGGGGTGCAGGGAGAAAATGCTTCCAACTCTATGATATACCCTCCAACATTTCTCTGATGAAAATAGGGACATCCTATTCAATAATAATAATAATTTTACTATTTATATCCCACCCATCTGACTGGGTTGCCACTCTGGGTGGCTTCCAACATATATAGAAACATAATAAACATTAAAAATTTCCCTATACAGGATTGCCTTCAAATGGCTCAGGGGTAGGATAACTCCATACCCTCCAAAATTTCTCCGATAAAATAGGGACATCCTACCATACCCTCCAACATTTCTCTGATGATAATAGGGATGTCCTAAGGAAAAGCAGGACATTCTAGGATCAAATCAGAAACTGGGATGGCTTTTGTAAATCTGGGAAGTTCCTGGAAAATAGGGACACTTGGAGGGTCTGCTATGGTTCTTTGACTCTACAGTGTAAAAACACAAAGGGGTCTCAATCCTTCATTTACTCAGTTGACAGAGATGATCTGACTGATACTGGACATCTCTGGCTTTGGGATTTAACGAGCATTGCATTAAAGAGATAGAGTGAGAGAAATTGCTGTGGAGTGCAGAAAGGTCCAACATGGGAAATATTTTGATTTTTTAAAAATGAATACTCACATTTCCAAAGATATGGGGGGGGGGGGATATTTGAAAAAAGAAGTAAAAGTGATGCTCCCAGCAAGATTTGAGAGCTTTGGGGCTCTTGCACTACAGCAGGACATGAGCATGTTTGGATTGCCATGCATGATATGCATGCTACTTACAAAAACAAAATCCATTTATTCATGCCCTCAATCTCATACAGGCTCTCTGTCTCTGAGCCACCTTCGTCTGATGGCATCATTCCTGTGAAAGATGAAGAAAGGTAAGAAACCTGTTGTGTTATTTACAAATCCATTAACATCAAATGCTACGTAGCTCTGCAACTTTGCCCAGGCCTTCGATTTTCCTTCCTGCTTCCTAATCTCCTTTTCTCTCAGACTACATTTCCCAGCAAGCACTGCTCTCAGCCCTATTGATTCTATGCAGTATCATCAACAGGCCAGAATAAACAAAACCAAAACGACAATAATAAAAAGCTTAGTACCTTCTCCACGTGTCCGGTCGCTATCCATGACTTCTGCATGGGTGATCCAGTCCATGTAGCCTTTCATGTCTTCCTCCAACTGCTGCTTCTCCCTCAGTTTCTGGAAGGTACCCCGTGATTTGGCTTTCTCACGCTCTTTGGTGAATTCCCTGGGGGGAAAACTCAGATGAGAACTTGTATGGCATAGTGATGGGTCAGGGAGTCGGTCCTGAGTTCAAGTCTCACTCAGTAGTGACTTGGTGGTTTCAGTCAAGCCACTAGCTCTGTGCTTTAAACACACACACACACACACACACACACACACACACACACACCTCCCTGCTAGAATCTGGACCTAATTAAAGTGTCCTACATTACAAGGTGAGGGTTAGAAGGATTACTAAGATAATCGTGTTAAGCCATACTTAATGTTTTACTGTGGTTCAACATGAAAGAGCAGTGTGCTGGTTCATACTGCTGAAAAGTCCCTGCTTTGCACCACCCCTAGTCCTGGCAGTGCCATGCTTGCGAAGTGTCCCCAGCCAGTCCAATATGTTGCAAGCAGAGCAACATGCAACTGCTTGAGTGTACTCTATCCATGCTGCACCACAGTATGTGCTCATATGTCTATGATGTCCCTTTCAGGCCCTAGCATTCTATTGATGCATCAGGTCTGGCAGTGGGAAATGGAGCTACTGTAATATGAGACAAAGGAAAGGAAGCTTTCATGCATTTTTCCAGCAACATAAAAAAAAAAATCATCATTTCCTCATAGGACTTAAACTGTTTTAAGTCACATTCAGGACAGACTGCCATGTTGATGCTGCTGAGAGAGTAGATAGCATACCACATGCTATGAGCGGCTTACCCACTGAGCACACCCAGGATCAGATTAAGGATAAAAAACGACCCAAGTAAGATGAGGCTGACAAAGTAGATCCAGGGCCATTCATTCCCAATGGCATCATTTACCTAAGGCAGAACAGAAATGTGATGATAATGATTTGTAAGGTGGTCCCATATACATGACACTCTGGAAATCTTCTACTCTCTGGGGAAAGGGCTGGAGAAACAGCCATGACAAATCTGGGAGTAGACCATGACTCATCCATCATACCTTCTTTTCCACTAAACAAAAACAAACAAAAACAAAAACCTGGGAGACCTGGTGGGTAAACTAAAGGTGAGGATGTGGACCCCTCCTAGATTTCCTGCAGTATCTGTTTTGACAAATTATTTCTTGTTTGAGTCGGTGCTAATTTCAAAGGTAGGTATGTTGCTCACACTAAGTGAATGTTTATGAGGTTCCAAATATCTTATACTTTTGGGGACTCCTCGAACTGGAGCCCACACTTTAAGGATCTTCTAGAACTTGCTGTCTAGCCTGTGCAGACAGGTGCCCTAACTAGGGGAATGCTCTGCATGTGGGGTGACCGATTCACTGAAACAACAGTGTCATTCTGTCGTGAGTGAGTCCACTACCCGGGAGATGACATGACTACATGCCCTTAGTTCCTCATCCCTTACATTTTGCAAAAGAGCCCTACTTTATCTTCCTCCCTTCCCGGCCAAAGCTTAGCCTACCCAGTAGAGGACTTCAGTCCAGCTTTCCATGGAGATACACTGGTAGACAGTCAGCATAGAAAACCCAAAGTTATCAAAGTGGGTGATGCCATAGTTGGGTCCTGGCCAATAGCCCCTGCACTCTGAACCAGGAATAGTGCAGCGGCGCCCATGGCCTGAATTTGTACATGGAGATGGTTTTTCATTTTCCACGGTTGCAATGATATCTAAGGAAGGAAACAAAGGGACAAATGTGAGGCTCTGTCAGGGTAGCTTGTGCTCACTGTTATCTGTCTATTTTAGCATGTACAGTGGTGCCTCGCAAGACGAAATTAATCCGTTCCGCGAGAGTCTTCGTCTAGCGGTTTTTTCGTCTTGCGAAGCAACCCTATTAGCGGCTTAACGGATTAGCGCTATTAGCGGTTTAGCGGCTATTAAAGGCTTATCGGCTTATCGGATTAGCTGCTAAAAGGCTATTAAAGGCTTAGCGGCTTAGATAAAGGGGGGGAAAGCGAAAAAAAAATCTCAAGACTCGCAAGACATTTTCGTCTCGCGAAGCAAGCCCATAGGGAAATTCGTCCTGCGAAGCAACTCAAAAATGGAAAACCCTTTCGTCTAGCGGGTTTTCCGTCTTGCGAGGCATTCGTCTTGCGGGGCACCACTGTACCCCTTTCCCCAGTTCTAATGGAAGCAGTTTCAGAGGATGCAGCAGGCTTCTCGTTTGCATCTACTTCCTGTTTATGCAAGAGCACAAAAGGCAGATATTTTGCCTCATAGATGTAGCTCAAGGTGATGCCCCAGACCCCTCCTTGCAGCTTTATAAATTATGAGCAGATCAACTGCACCCCCTACCTGTTCCATTGTAGTAGCAGGTCTTGTGCATTTTGCCCTTGAAGAGCTCCTGCCCCATAATGGCGTAGATGACAAGCATGAAGACAACAAGCACAGCAATGTGGATCAGAGGCAACGTAGCCTTGACGATTGAGTTCAGTACCACTTGCAGACCTGTAACAGGAAGGAAGAGAGCCAGCTGTTCACACCATCTTTATTCTATTGACTGCACTGGAGATGGGGAACCTGTGGTCCTCCAGATGCTGTTAGACTCCAGCTCCCATCAGCTAAACTAGCATGGCCAGTGGTGAGGAATGGTGGGAGTTGGAGTCCAACAGCATCCGAAGGGCCATAAGTTTCCCACCCTTGCACTACATCTTTCTGCTTTCCAGTTGCTGCCATATGCTGTCGTATGATCCCATCTACAATTTAACCTTCTAACCTCATGAGCACTGACCTGCATTTCATAAGGGAGATGTGGTGACTTCTACAAGACTGTGCAATAAATAAACAGTGGTGCTATGAACATAGCAACAAACACATCGGGGGGCAGGGCTTGTGCTATTTTTCAGTTTCCCCCAGTTTTACAACTGGATGGGTAGTTGAATCTTCCTTCAGCACTGGTCATGGGGCAGAAACTTCCACCACACTTGGGGGATTTATTAGTAGGCACTTGTCAGGGACTGGGCAGAGGAGGAATGGTGAAGACCGCCTTCCTATCCTGACCCTTCCAGTGAGGAGGAAGAGGAAGACAGGATAGATTTACAACAGGGGTTTGAGGGAGGTCGCAGCTCAGAGGGAGATGAGGGGAAAAGCTGGGAAATCATGGGAGAGCCAGAACCACTGGCGGAGGAAGAGGAGTGGGGGAGGAGCGCACCGCGCCCGGCAGCGTGATCCCGGTGGGGTGCCATCGCGGCTGCCCCCCGCCCACGCTGGGCACCACACCCCCGCAGGTGGCATGCCACGCCCCCAGGATGTGCACCACGCCTCTGCAGGCGGCGTGCCACGTCCCTGCAGGCAGCACGCCACGCCCTGGGATGTGTGCCAGCCCCTCCCCCCCTGCTCTCCGCCCCCCTGGTGCAGGAGCATGAAGCTCCACCACTGGCCAGAACAACACCAAGCTGACACGTTGTCATTGGAAAGCATTCCAGACCCTCCATCTCCCAGAACCCGGCGAGCCTTAAAAGTAGGAGAGCAAAGAGCTCAACGACAGAAGTCACGTAGCAGCACCCGTAGAGGAGACAATGAGAATGACGGATGAGGTAGTGGGAAAGACGGTGGGGTGGAGATTCACTAGGGACAATGCCATTATCCAAGAGGCTGGGTTCTATAGCCTCTCTCTGTACAGATTGAAATAAAAAAGGAAAGTAAGAAACTTTTCCTTTGTCTTTATACTTTCCTGGGCAACCAGCCAGGAGATGCTGACAGCATCCTGACAGCACTGGGCACAGGTTATGGCATATGGCACAAACAGCTGTATCCTTCAGCACCTCACTGCCACTGCCCCATCAGCACCTGCCATCTGAGGCAGAATCCTCGCTTTGCCTCATGGTAGGACTGGTCCTACCTGGGAGAAGTTTCTTACTGCTATACCCTTTCTGTAGCAACAAGGCTGCTCTTTTCTTTCAGGAGGAAGCAGAGACTAAAGTCAGACTCATGGTGCTGCTGCTCTTGAAGATGAGGAAGAGCCTCCCATTCACTTTTAGCTGAAGTCAAATAATGTGCACAAAGTTAGTGTCACAGGCAAACTGCATTATTTTGAATCAGGCTATTGGTTCATCAGTGAATTGGTTAAACAGTATTGTCAACACTGGGTGGCAGCAGCTCTTCAGGTTTTTCAGAGAGGAATCTTTCCTACCCCTTCACAGAGGTACCAAAGATTGAGCCTCGGCATTCAAAGCATGTACTCTACCACTGAGCCACAGCCCTCCTTTTGGTGAAGGAAATAGCACAGAAGTTCTTGCCACCGTAGCCAATGTTCTCCATGAATTAACAAATTGAGTCTTTAGTGTTTGTCAGTTACCTAGACTCAATTACTGTTTAGGTTGGCCATATCTGTTCTCTCTTCCAAGGCTACCTCACTGCCCCCCTGAGTGTTTGGATGTGATTAAATACTTTTCAAACGCTTTGAAGGCCAACCTGCAGATGTCACCTGTTCTAGTTACTTGGCATAGCCTGTTACAGTTTCCTGCTCCTCACCCCAAACAATTTAACATAAGAACATAATCTATTTTTATTTCTTATTTCTCTGATTATCAATGGAGTCATGGGTAGTCAATGGGGTGCTCTCTGGATGTTGTTAGATTCCAGCTCCAGTCAGCCTCAGTGATGGCTACAGTCCAATGCTATCTGGAAGATATCTGGCTACCCCTGGCTTAAGGGAGTTGTGTCCAGTCATCCTTGCTCTAGCCTTCTGCCTGCATCTACTCATCTAACCCAAAGGACATTTCACCCACTTGGTACTCCTGACACCAGGCGTAGGGGCCGCAGCACCCGAAAGGCTCTCAGGGCTTTGACATCAAAGCCACCCTGCCCACTGAGAAGGGCGCTTTCTATTACGCTGACTCTCTCCAGGATCACTGTGAAGACTCTACAAGACAATGGACAAAGAAAATGGTGAACAAGGGACAGGAGTATGGTGGGAACTATGCAGATGCAAGAGTCAAATAACGAATGAAAGGGAAAGTTTTTAAACACCTCCCCACTATGTTCCCAGGAGGAAAGGAAGCTTGGTTCCTATCGCTTCTGCAGCCACAGTGTGCATGTTGCAGCTGTTGCATGGAGGCTACTTTTAAATCACTCCACATACCGTATTTTTTGCTCTATAAGACTCACTTTTTCCCTCCTAAAAAGTAAGGGGAAATGTGTGTGCGTCTTATGGAGTGAATGCAGGCTGTGCAGCTATCCCAGAAGCCAGAACAGCAAGAGGGATTGCTGCTTTCACTGCGCAGCGATCCCTCTTGCTGTTCTGGCTTCTGAGATTCAGAATATTTTTTTTCTTGTTTTCCTCCACCAAAAACTAGGTGCGTCTTGTGGTCTGGTGCATCTTATAGAGTGAAAAATACGGTAGATTGAGTCCAGTGGGAAAGCTCTGCGGTAGAATGACAAAAATAAAATAAAAAATAGCCTGATTTGCACACTGTGGGGCGCTGCACAAAAACAGCTCGCCACATCGGCAACCGCACGAAGCAAGGGCAGTATAGGCCAATATGTATCATGGTTGAACCTCACTGCATTTCTGTGCTATATTAACTGGGTGATGCAGAAAAATACTAACTTCATCACCTCGCTTCTCTGCAGCACACTGATTAGTAACTGCGCAGGCAAAACTGTATATTCTGGGTTAAAAGTCCGGCTCTGCTCTAAGCTGGAGTGCCTGGTTGGTCTCACAGCTGAATCATAAGGTTCAGCAAGTGGTAGCCTCATATGCCTCATACCATACTTTGCTACTTTTATTTGTAAATGTGTATTTATTTTAATGCATTTTGTACAATGTTTAAAACTCTAAAAAGAAAAAAAGCCACAACTTTGCAATCCTCAAAATGCCTACCCAGAAGCAAGCCCCATTATATTGCAATCCTATAAATGCTTACCAGGGAGCAGTGCTTTTTTTCTGGGGCTACGCAGGGGTGCGCATACACCTAAACATTTCATGAATCTTTGTACTTTTGTCCATTAACTGTATTTATTTTCCCTGATTTGGACTATAAATGGTGATTTTCTTGGGTCCAAATGAGAGTACCCCTAAACACGTTGTTGTTTTTTTAGGGGAAAAAGCACTGCCAGGGAGTAAGTCCCACTAAAGTCAATGAGACTTACTTCTGAGAAGACATATATATAGGATTATACTGTTAATGTGCTTTTAGCATTTATTTGAATATGTTTAACATAAATTTCTAACGAAATCTAGACATACACACAGACAGAAATAAAACTGAGCTCCTTTACCCCAAAAATACTATGGTGAAATCCAGCACATTCCAGCCATTTCGGAGGTAGGCGTCTGCATGGAATAAAAATCCATAGGCAATTATCTTTAGCAGTGCCTCAATGGCAAATACTGTGAGAAAGAAGTATTCTAGCTTCTCCTGCAAGACAGAGAACGGGAGAGGGAAGATGGGCAAGATTAGTGATATAGATTACAGTCTCAGTCAGATTGCCACATTCTAGTTCCCTTCCCTGCAATACTTTGGACCACAACTCCCATCAGCCAACACATTTCAGCCACAACAGCTCTGTGCTATCTCAAAATTCATCAGAGCAGTTGCATCTTAAATCCATAATTTTCCTGGTATTGTTTGGGTCACAGTGGCATTTCCTCTTCTTTTTATACAACCTTCCACACTACCAAGTATACCTTGGTTCCTGTTTCCTTTAAAAGACTGGGATAGGGAAGCTCAGGCCTGAGGGCCACATGCAACCACCAGGTCACTCTATTTGGCCCTCAGGGCTCCCCCCAGCCACACCTCTCACTGGCCTTGCTTTGCACCCCAAGTATTTTTGCCTCCATAGTGTTATGTCCTTAAAGTCTGGTAGCACCTCTTGCTTGTCTGGATGGAGGTTTGAGAGGGGTAGAAAGCAGCCTACTGCACAAAGGTTAACTTTACATTCATTGTTCTGTCTGCTTTCACCTCTGACCCCTGTATCATTGGCATGTAGCCCTCAGAAGGGTGCGCAGAAGACAACGCAGAAAATGGTTCCCCACTACTGATACAGGAAAACACAAATGGCCGTTGCTTTCCCCCTAGATCAAGATGAAGGAACAATCCCAAATGCAACATCCCTTTTATCAACAAACTTTTAAACATATCTTTCAAGTGCTCTGATTGTCCTACGACATCCCAGAATTATAGAAGTCATCCTGGCTTCTGATTTGATCCTAGAATGTCCCATTTCCACCACCACCCCCTCCAGTGCCGCCACCGAGCTCAGGGAAGAGAATGAACTGGCGCCTGCAGTGGTGTTGCGCTCTCACATGAGCTAGCTGACTTACGTGGCAGCACGGCATCAAAAGCACGTGTCCTGGTTTTCATCAGAGGGATGTTGGAGGGTGAGTGTGTTTTATGTACATCAAAGGGTCTTAAAGACTAACTGATCCGTTGTAAAATAAGCTTTGGCCTTTTGGGGACTAAATAAGATTGTGGGCCTTTTATAATTCTACAGCTTCCTTATTCATCAAATGCTAAGTAACGTGTTGCATACATTGTGATGCCAATTACACAGCCATATAATTGATGTGGGGGTAATTACAAATATGCATGTTAACCAATTACTGAGAACTTTTCACCCAAAAGCATGCTGATAGAGTGTAAATCCAATCAGCATGCATACTACTGTGCCTTGATCTTAATTTAAAGCTGGATAAGTCTTGTTATGAAGTAGTTTCCAGGGGGTAGCCATGTTAGTCTGCTGCAGCAAAAACAACAGAATTATTGCAGTACCTGACAGGCTAATAAACTACAATGCCGTAAGTTTGCCCACTTTGTCAAATGCATTCGTTCATCCACTTTATACATCTGATGAACTGGATTGTAGTCCACAAAAGCTAATACATTTGTTAATTTTTAGGGTATCGCCAGACTCTTTGAAATGTAAGAGTAGCCAATATTAACTAGAAAGCTCAACTAATTATTCAAGATGCTGGATGGTATTCAACTAAGTTTAACTCAGAGTAGACCATTGAAATGGACTTAAACTTAATGTCCCACTAAGGGCTCGTCCATACTTAACACTTGTCCTGTGCTTTCTAGAGATGGGTTTGAGTGCTTTTCTGTTTGCCTCACAGCTTTCCCCCAGGAAAACCTGCCCTTTAGCACTGAATTGGAGCAAATGCAAATCCACAGAAAACCCAATTCACAATTGCTCCCATTTAGCAGTAAAGATCAGATTTCCCCATTTTGCTACAATCTATACAAGATGGATTCATGCTGACAGATTTTTCATGGAAGTGGATACCATGTTTTCAGCCAATCATTCTTTTAGGGTTGCCATCCCATCAGGGGGGGAAATAACGGCTGGCCCTTGCGATGCTTTGACAGCACTTTTCTCCCTGGCGCTGTTGGGCCTGCCCTCACTTAAATATAGTGCACCCACCTCACAGAACACCAATTACCCGAATTCCTACAAACTACCCCAGATTATCTTGTGGGGGACTTGTGTGAGGGAAAACTTAATAATTTGGAGTCTCAGGCAGGATTTGATCAAATAAACAAGAAATATTTTATTAAACATAGGAAGTTAATGACACAAAATGGGTAAAACATAGGATACTTCAGTTTATAATGTTATTTCACTTCAGTTCTTTCTCTGTTGTTGCACAGCTGTTGCCGCTTAATACTTTGGTTCTTAAACAAGGTGGTATTTTCTGCAGTTGCACACCCCTTTGACAACCCTACTCCTGAGGTACTCCAAGTAACAGACCCAAGAGATCACCACACCCCTCTTAACTGGTTTGGGAGTCCTCTCCTTTTGTAGAAGTATTTTTCCCCTCCTGACTAGAATGAGTCCTAAGTAGACTGCATTCTCACAGCTTCTACTTCTCCTGGCTCAGCCTCAGCCTCCCAGTTAATTCCTGGCCTAATTTCTCTTACAGGACACCACACACTGTCCTTCACACTAAGCTCAGAGACTCCTTTCTCTAGCTTGTGATATATTCCTCAGAGTGGATGTTTCTACACAGAACCAACTCTCTCTCCTCTCACTCCCTATCTCCCAACCTATCTCCCAACCTATTCTCCCAAACTCTATCCCAACCTAATAAACTGTCTCTCCAAATCCTCTCCTTTTCAGCTCCCCCTCCTGGAACCCCGCCAATCATGAGATGCCGTTTGTTCACCATTTGCTGGCAGGGAAAAAGAAAAAGTAAACACTTAGAGACCCAACCTGCCCAGCAAAACAAACTTTTCTGTCACAGCCCTCTCTCCCCCTTTTTTTTGGGGGGGGGGGTTAATTGCGCCAAAGGTAAGGGCAAATCTGCTCCTCATTTCTCTGCTAAGCCTTGGAGATAATATGACTTGGCTCCCTTCCTCAGCATCCCTTTTGCTTTGGCTCTCAAACGGAAGCAATATTAATCTGGTTTTGTGTTTTTATAGGGGGACCAATGGATTCTCTCCCATGTGGAGTGTCCCTGGACCAGCACTCCATTGAACAACTCTGCATCCCTGCCAGCGCTTTATGGCATGGGAGATGTTACCCAGCAAAGGTAAAGACAGAAGGAAACTGGGGCAAAGAAGCTGCAGACTAGCTTTAAAGCCTGGTCCATCCTTCTTGACCTGATTGTTGGCATGGTTACCTTCGCCTGTCACAGCCTAGAATAGTTACTGTGGTTGTACTTTCCTTCTCCCAGCATTCATACCAGAGGCTGCTGTTGCCTTCTTCTCCCTCACAGCTGCAACTGTCCGTCACCCTAAACTCCCCTCAGGGTTGCCAGGGCCCCTTCCCTGTCAGGCTTTGCATGTTTCAGAATGAAGCAGACTGACGTTACCTAGAGTTATTCTTTCTTTATATATTTTGCACTCATTCCCAAGACAAGACCCTTTCAAGTGTCTCTTAACATACAAGCAAGGCTGGTTCCAGGGTTTGAATGACAAGGGGGTGGAGAAGGCCCTTATGTTTTTCGATGATCCTCTTGGTTTTAGAAGGCTATGGAGAATAGGTGGGCATAATCTGGGTAAAATTGGGGAGAGGCAAGGGTAGGATTTGTGGAGTCCATTAAAGGCCCCCAAGGCCAGTCCTAGACATTTTGCTTCCTCAGATGACACCTGCTCCCCGCTCCACATACAGAAGCCAAATAAACACTGGTGATGGGACAGCACTCCCTATAGCACTTGAGCTATTAGGCTAGTTCAGGGCACCCAGAAGATGCCATGGGACAAAAGGCTGAAATTAGTAAGGGTAAGTGGCCCAGGAGGAATAGCTGGAGGCTGCAAATGTGCCACCTGAGGCAGGTTACTCACTCTGCCCAATAGTAGGGCCATCCCCGAAGGCCCCCCTCACTTATCCTCCATACTAATTGGCAGTTCTGCTAACACACAGTTCACAATTTGAAACAGTTTCTTACAATAGAACTACTAAATTCCAACTAGCACATGGTTCCTGTTTAGTAACTCAGTGGGTCCTAACTAGGCTCTCATGTCTGAGTGATGCGGGGGGCATGTTAGCATGCAACTTGGACAGGTCTCCTTTGCCTTTAACAGCTTGAAGGGCATGGGGAAGTCTGACAGATGCAGCAGGGCAGGTCACTGGGACAGTCTGCTCAGCATTTCCTTGCCTTATATCTTTCTATGAAACAGCAGCTCTATGTTGGATATCATTTAGCAATTCCAGTTATTTAGGAAGACATTCCACAGCTGGGAAGCAAATGTTAGCCAGAATACTGCAGCAAATTCCTTTAGAACATGCACCGAAGGGGCTGGATTATTTCTCTCTTTTTGATATATTATTGGGGGTGTTACTGTACAGAATCAATACACAAAATTGTTAAATATTAACAGAAAATTCATATTTTCGTTATGGAACTAGACACAGCATTTAGGAAGGGTACAAGCAGTCTCTTACACACAAATGTTGCAGACCACATAAAATTATTCCTCTGTAGTACCTATTTCACTACTAATTACAAAGTATAAAAAGTAAAAACAGCAAATGTCCTTTAAAATGTCTCCCCCCCTCACCCACAAAGAATAGGTATTTGAATCTGTCTGTGAATCCTGCCCTCCCTAGGCACACTGTCCTTTGTGCAGCTAAATTATGCATCAGTGTGTGCAACTAATACATTCTTTCATTCTCATTCTCTCTCTTTCCCCGTTCCCATGTTCTGCTTGATGACTGTCAACTATCACAATATTCAACATTACAGAAGAGGCAAGCTAAGAGTATAATGGACTGGGCTTGCTATGGATCAACTTTCTCTTTCAGAGATGCTCCTGAAAATATGGGCATCTGGCATTCACATAGCGCCTGGTAATAAAGGGATAAAAGTCTTCAGCCATATGCAGTTGTATCCCAGATGATCCATCCCTGAACAGTGCATAAAGGGAATTTTTCCTTCTTATCAATGAAACCATGGAGGTCCCTCTCCAAAATGCATTTTGAAGAAATGCAGGGAAAAGACAAAGAATATATTTTGGATGTGACATTGTTATGGAAGAAGAGGAATTCCAAAGCATCCCATTCTTGAACAGTAAGGTGAAACTATTTTTATGCTTGTAGACAAAATTTTGAAAATGATTGGGCAGAGAAAACAATTGCATCCCCACACTCTGATCAGAAATGGCCATGTGAAACTTCCAATGGACAGAAAAATGGCAAGAATGTGGTACACTTCCTTTCCCCTAGCTATTGTCCCAAGATGCAGTTGACCAAATATATCTGTGCACAAAACAAGTGATTCAGGTCATACAGTAGCTTGAGGTTTGAGATTTTGTACATTAAATATTAGGGACAGGGGATGATCTTTCTAAAGGTGCCTGTCTGAGCAATTACTATGAAGGTAAGCTTGGAGCGTCAGACACTGAAAATAAGTAATGGCTCAAGCCAGGAAGTGAAGCACTCCGAGAGAACAATAGCAAACAGAAATAATAATAGGAATTTCTTACCAGTCTTGTGTTCGCTTTGTTGGTGTCATCTTCAGGCATGGGCACGTAGATCGCCAGTGCAATGCAATTGGCAAAAATGGTCAGCAGGATGATGGTCTCGAAGGGTCTGTGGATGCTTGCTAAAGAAAATCTGGTCACTTAATATTGCAGCATGAACCAGAATAGTTAAAAACCATTTAGAGGGCATTCGTGTTAATAACAAATGTTAATTAAAGAGGATTGGGAAAGGCCATCGCCGATGAGAAGACTGAGCCAGAAGATGTTAAGAAAGAATGATCCTTATGGTCTTACTAATTATTTTATGTAAAATCTCATCTCTTTCGGGTGCTTAAATATATACCCTTTAAAATTACACATCACATTGTCCCACTAAGTTCCAGGTGTCTTAGAACACCAAGCTTGTCAGATATCATAGAATGCAGCCACAGGTGTGCTGGAATCTTAGGTACTAGTAAGGCAATGTTTTGCAAAAATATTTTCCCAGTTCTGCTGAAAACAGCAACATCACAAAAAAGGGATGGGAGGGAAATTCAATTCAGTTAACATTTAAAGGGAAACCTACCTAATATACACTCTCTGAAATAATATGTGAAATGAACCACAACCATCCTTTGAAATTCACACTTCTTTGAAATTAGCCATGCAATTCTACAGCCAAGTAATGTGTACAAAAATCCATGTACTAGGGTAAAATAGGCACAAAAATGCATATATTAGTGAAAATAACAAAATGTGTATTTGGTATGCAAAATGGCGTACAAAAATGTGCATATTAGGAGAAATTTGCATTAAAATGCAGGTGGTTTTTTAAAAGGACCTTTAAAAAAAAAATCGCAAATTGATACAAAAATGTGGAGAACTGAAAAATGAGAAAAATGAGAAACTGAGAGAAACCAAAATGGACAGAATCATCCAGACTGTATCTAGCCATGATTGATTATTTTCTGGGTGCAGTAACAGTTTACAAGGTGCCCAGAGTAGTTCTGAGGGCATGTAAGGTTGTTGGAGATGTGTATTAAATGTCACTTGATGCAAGCTCTCCCTCTGTCCGCCTCTGTGTGTGTGTGTGTGTGTGTGTGTGTGTATCTTCTTCCCTGTTTGTGGTGATCGATCCCTTGACCTTCCCAATGAGGAAATGTTTCTTCTCCCTCCCCTATACCCCAGAGGCATAAGAACCCACTCAATCCTCTCACCTTCAAAGTTATACTAGTCCCAGCATGCTGCAGTTTGTATGTGTGCAAAAGGTAGTTACAAAAGGCAGCTAATGGAATAAACCCAGAATTCAAATGCCATGAGTGAGCATGGTAAGGTGAGGCTTGGTGGTTGAAGTAGAACAACAAGGAGTTCTTGGAAATCAACCTGCGTGTACAGTGGTACCTTGGGTTAAGTACTTAATTCGTTCCGGAGGTCTGTTCTTAACCTGAAACTGTTCTTAACCTGAAGCACCACTTTAGCTAATGGGGCCTCCTGCTGCCGCCGCACCGCCGGAGCCCAATTTCTGTTCTTATCCTGAAGCAAAGTTCTTAACCTGAAGCACTATTTCTGGGTTAGCGGAGTGTGTAACTATTTAAAATGCAAAACTTTTTTAAAATGCAAAACTGTACACGCTCAGAGCATTTATCCTTTCCCCTCCTTGCCAGGTCTGGAAAACTGTTGTTTGTTTGTTGCTTTAACACATCAGAAACACAGAAGCAGTCATAAAGATGGAATGGTGGTGTGGGAATAGCAGCCCCTCCAAGTATCCTAATTTTCCAGGGACATCCCTGATTTAGAGAAGCTGTCCTGGCTTCTGATTTGATCTCAGAATGTCCCACTTTTCCTTAGGATGTCCCTATGCTCACTGGAGAAATGTTGGAGGGTATGGAGTTATCTGACCCCCGAGTCGTCTGAAGGCAATCCTGTATAGGGAAGTTTTTGTAATATTTCATGTTTTATTATGTTTCTATATATGTTGGAAGCTGCCCAGAGTGGTTAGAGCAACCCAATAAAATGTGTGGGGTATAAAAAGCGAAATTATCATTACAGAATGGGACGTCCCTATTTTCATCCGACAAATGTTGGAGGGTGTGGAATAGAAGGTGAATTCTACCTGTGTGCTTCACATCTGAAGCAATACGTAGGACCACCTAAAGCCCCTCCCCACTCCCAAGACCATTATGCCCAGGATCTGAAATTACCTAGCTGCACCACTGAGAGGAGACAACTGTGGTGGCTATGATGATAAGAAATGGCCGTGCATCAGCTATTAAGGCTGCAATCATGAGGTGGTGGTGAAATATGAAGGCAGTTCAACCACTTTATCCTGTGCTCTGCCAGCAGAGTGGAAGCATGGGTGGGGAATCCTCCGTCCACTTCTGGGCTTTAATTTGAAAACAAGAACCCAAACTTTACTGGACACACTTGGAGGGAAAAGGAAGGTAGAGATTAACTCATGTTCAGGAGTGTGACAACATCCCCCCCCCCCCCCAAATTTGAAGACATGTTTGGGAACTGGGATCACCCTGGAAAAGGCATATACATTTTGCAGTAGAATTCTCCTTTGATGCTTTGCCCATTCCTAGTTTACATACAGAGGGCCTTCTCAGTAATGGCGCCCACTCTGTGGAACGCCCTCCCATCAGATGTCAAGGAAATAAACAACTATCTGACTTTTAGAAGGCATCTGAAGGCAGCCCTGTTTAGGGACATTTTTAATGCTTGATGTTCTATTGTGCTTTTAATTCTGTTGGGAGCCACCCAGAGTGGCTGGGAAAACCCGGCCAGATGAGTAGGGTATAAATATATTGTTGTTGTTTTTATTAAGTTGGATCCTCTGCATCCGAACTGCTGATCAGTACACACCCTTTGGGACCTAACAAACATTGAGCTCTGATGTAAACTGGGCCCAGTTCATTGGAAGATCTGGCAGCCGCAGGGAGAGAGGATCCAACATCAGAATTCTGTCTCCAACGTTAGAGGAGCAGGCCCAATCTATCCCATGGCCCCTGGGGCACCCTTACAGGTGCCATAGGATTATACCCTAAGTGTTTGGGGGTCTACTACAACCACCACCACCACCTTTCATTCAGGCTTCAGCAGAGATGAAGAGCAGGGAGATGGCTTTACTTAATAAGTACACTTGAGATAAGCATATTTAAAATGTTTTGTGGGTGTATCGTGCAACTTGTCATTGATGCAATAATGGCACATTAGTAGTGGGTTTATACAGGACTATCCACACACAATTCTGCTTTATTAGTTGTTCTGCAATGCTTCCCCACTGTTATCACCTCATTTCTATCTGGTGGAGCACTCTTGCACTATGGGGTAACGAAAGGGACTGAAAAACAAGAACAAACCTGGAATATTTGTGGTATAAAAGCTACACGATTTCCACAGGAAATCATGGAACCTTGGAAATGAAGCAGTACGGCCACCCTGAAACATTTGTAGGTATAAACAGTATTGAAAGTGGAATCATGTATAGCCCCAGCACACACACACACGATACCATTGCGAGCACAATAAATGCTCAAGAATAGGCAATAAAAAGGACGGGGGTGGGGAGACTCTCCATATGCAGCAGTGGGACATCCTATATTATATGACTCTTCTACTGCAGCTGCTATTTTGATTCTGAAGAATCAAGGGATCTTTAGCACTAGGAGTATGAATTGTGTTATAATGTAAAGCATGCGGTAATGGTCACAGTGGACACCATGTTTTCATAGCCATTGAAGCTTTTATTATATAAGGATGAGCGGGAAATAGAAGCAACCATCCATCCAAGGAAAGAAACAATGATACTACCTGGAGAATCCCTGAAAATTTTTTAAAAGGGGGTCCACTATGTATTGCCATTAATTATTAGTAGAGTTCAGCATATGCAGAAGAGGTTAGTCTACTCCTACGTTCTTGGGTTTGGATGTTTTGTGGTTATGATTAAAAGGTTCAGCACCACACAAAATGGAGCTTAGAGAAAGGAAAAGAAAGAAAGTGAGAGTGAGAAAGAAGAGGAGAGCACAGGAAGTGGCCTTATACAGAGTCAGACTATTGCTTCATCTAGCTCAGTATACCAACACTGACTGGCAGTGGCTCTCCAGTACAGTCGTACCTTGGTTGATGAACGGCTTAGTTGCCGAATGTTTCATTTCCCGAACGATCGGAAACTGGAAGTGAGTGTTCCAGTGTTCGAATGATTTTTGGAAGCTGAATATCCAGCGTGGCTTCCGTGGCTTCCAATTGGCAGGAAGCTCCTGCAGCCAATCAGAAGCCGCACCTTGGTTTTCGAATGGTTCTGGGAGTCAAACGAACTCCCGGAATGCATTCTGTTCGTCAACCAAGCTCTCTCCCAGGCCTACATGCAGATGCCAGAGCCAGGGATGTTCTGCATGCAAATGAGATGCTCTCCTATGGAGCTATGTCGCATCCCCATTATGCAACAGCGTACACTTTAACACAAGAAGAAATACAAACTTCTGTTGTGCTAAGTGAACAAATGGTTTGTAGGAGGGAATACAGAGAGAGAGAGAAACTTCTATTCCTTGGCAAAGTAACAATGAAATATGAAACACCAAAATAAACATTTCCATGCAACCAGAAAGCATATTTCCACTGTATAAGTGCTCAATTTGAATTCAACACACTTCCAGTCCCAAATTTTAACATGCTCAGAATTTCATTTGCCAGGACCAAGGAATGTACTTAGGAGAAGGATCTAAGTTTAAGAGAGGTGATGCTGTACCAACCAAATAGGTAAAGATAGCAACTGAACTTTAATATTATGTACAAATTCAGTACAATGTGCACAATACTCAAACACATTTCAAGATGAGGTTAGCAATGGAGATGAGGCGTAACAACTGGTGGGTGGAAAGCAAAGAGCAGCTGTGGTGATGGAAGAAATGGAGATTTGAGTGTTGTGTGTACTCCGGCATGTTAGAACACACTCACTGATTCATTCCAGGCAATTCAGAGCATCTTCCTGCATTGACATTCCTACTACCTTAATCAAGCCCCTGCAAATGTCCACTCCCTTGTAAAAGTGTCCAAATCAGTGTCCTATTAACTTCATGCTTTTCTTTCTACTAAAACTATTACCTAGCATTACACATTGGGCATGTACACACTATGTGATAATACACATTCAGTGCTGGATGCAGGTGCTGTTCACACAACACTGTCCTCATGTCATTCTTGCCCACACTACTGATCTAAAACACATTCTTGCAGGAATGGCTTTAATCTGCTTTATGCTAAGAATGCACTTCTCAACTGCTTGCTGCCACCAGGTTAGTGATTTGTTCCTTAAAGCTAAACTTCATCATCCCAAGTTATAGTGTGTCACAAGCAGAGAGCAGGAGAGAATAAGCAACCACAAAGCAGAGATGTCTATGCCATTCGAGAAACAGATTGGTAAAACATTTCAGAAGGCTCAAGCAAATGAGTCAATTTGCACACTATCAAGATAGGGGAAAGAAAAGAAAAGAGAAAAGAGAAAAGAGAAAAGAGAAAAGAGAAAAGAGAAAAGAGAAAAGAGAAAAGAGAAAATAAAAGAAAAATCCTCACAAGATTAATAGCCAGTCTGACTTGGGGGAAATTCTTTCCTAACATCAAATATGTGGAGCTGTTAGATCCTGTGCCTGAAGCAAAACTAGCCTGTCCAGAAATATCAGAGACATTATCAGTGGTCTTTGAGCAGAGGACTTTCCTGCTTAACACTCATTGACTTCAGCTGTCAAATACTTAAAGATACAAGATGGGGAGGAGAGGCTGTTCCTGAACTCATTGTATTCCAGTCGAGGATCCAGATGAAAGAACCATCATAAGCCTCCCCAGTTCCGTTTTGAAACCCATACAATTATTTGCATCCATGACTGTGTTAGATAAATGATTCCAGGACTGTATATTTCTAATAGTCAGGGGCCAGGACTGTGTTAGTAGAAAAGCTCTTGGTTTACACTCACAGACACACATCCACTTGGCGATACAGACCAGAACCATTGCTTTCCCCCTTGAGTTCTTTCCTGCACCACCCCCACCGAGAGCCTTTCTGTGACAGAGATAAATGCCAAGATCAGTTGCTTTCGAGCTCTTCTTAAGGCGGACATAAAAAGCAACAGCTGCTAGGTAGAGCTTAGAGGTTTACAAGAGGGTTTCAGCGCTAGCAAATATCTCCCAGCCCTTCCTCCAGGTATCAGCAACCGCTCTCTACGCATGGCTGCTGCTGGGCTCCAGCTTAGAGACAACCCCACCGCCGCTTTCCTCAAAGGATACTTCCATTCCACAATGGCGATGCAGGCCTTGCGCACTGGGTTCTGGAGGGTGAGGCAGAATAGAGAGCGGAGAGGCCGGGGGGGAAGCTCCAGAGCTGCTTTCTTGGCCTTTTCCTTCTGTTGCTTTTTCTTCTGGCTGTCGTCCTGGCCAGAAGTGGGCTCCATGGTGACTCTTCCCCCGCTAGATGCCTACTCCAGCCAGGCTTGGCTTACTGGGCTCCCTCCTCTTCTTCTTCTTCGCCTTTGCCCCACAGCCAAGCCCCCTTCCTTAGTCCAAGGGAGGCTGAAGCCCCCTCTGGGTCCCTTTTCGGCTCGGTGCAGTGTGGGCTGCGGCGGGGCTGGAAATTGCACTCCCACAGACACAAATACACCGAGCACGAGTTTAAAATTAGCCATCAGCCTGGCTCCCAGGGCTGTCAGATTTCCTGAGACAGCAAAAGTGTCCCAGCAGCTGTTCCTTCTTCATACTCAGCTCATGGCCATTTTTGAGCTGCCCAATCCAGGTCAGGAGAAAGGATGTGTGGGGAAGGGGGGGCAGCAGATAGGCCTCAGACATCAACACTAGAGAAGGGAAGTTCTAATTCACTCCGCTTCACCTCCCTTTCCAACAGCGTCCCCATGTTCTCTCTGTGCAAGCAGCAGCAGCAGCAAATATTCCCTTTGGCATCTGCACAATGGCTGCAGATGGATCTTGCCAAGGGGAGTCATGGCAAACACATTCCCAACCCCACCCCAAAAAGTCAGAAGTTACTCATGTTGGTGTTCATGTCAGTGTGGAGGAAGTCATGTGATGGCTGGCAGCCAGTGTGGCAAAGTGCCACACGAGAACAACATGGTGCTTCATGAAGATTCGCTGTGCTGATTCAGCTTCAGGCAGCCTGCGTGCCACTTCATATTTGAGTAAAGTGGACCTTTGCCTTCAAATAATATCCAGGAGTCCCCAGACTGTCTTAAAACTATTTAAGGAGTAGTAGCGGCTGGTGAGGTAGTACAGGTACGGCTCTATTGCTCTCATGGCTTCCCAACATAGTGGGTCCTATCTGCTTAGAGAGGCATGGCAAGTATGTGGCAACAGAGCCAAACCAACACTCCTGCTGCCACACACCACCTCTTGATAAGTTGATATGAAAATCTGTATGCATATTTGCGCTCATGTCTCTTAAGAAACATATTTTTTTGTACACAATTCAGCCCAATTATACACATTTTGGCAAGTAATTTCCCATAATATGATGCAATTCTGTGCACACATTCCACTAATACGCACCTTTCGGAGAACTGCATTGCAAAATTGAGGGGAATGCTCATTTCTAATGGAAGCTCTGTTTGGTAACGGTTCAGAAAGCGCCAGGTAAGTAGATTCACATTATAATGTGTACCAGATCAATTTTCATCCCTACAATGATAGGGTTGTCACAAAGATGTACACTGAGATGTACAGGTGTAATATGTGAAGCAGCCCTGAGTCTGGCCTCCTGCTGGTGTCCTTCCTCTATCAGCCCCAAAGAAAGGGGCATTTCTAGAAATGTATATCTCTACCAGGGGAACCCCTGTCCTACAATTCCACAGTGCTGAACTGTTTTGGTGGCTTGGATATGAGTAGAAGTGGCTTCATTTTTAAAAGAAAATGTCAAATCTTGTGCTGAGTTATTTGTAAAAGTCTGCAGAGCCTGCCTCCTTTTGCCCAGACTTATTGTTTGGATCTTGATGGCTGCTCCTCATAACTTCAAGGCTTAAGTCCAACACTGTCTAGGAAACAAACCCATATTTTTGGCCATGCTGATCATTAATGATGTATTTGGGCCTGACCTTCAACCCTGTGGAATGACCTTACGAATGATTTCATGAGGTGATTTTGGACCAGTGGCTTTTCTTGGCCTATCCTGCTTCATGGGGTGATTGAGAGGATAAGTCTCTGAGCTCCTTAGAAATGGCTAAGACTAAGCGAAGGAGACTTAAATTCAACATCAGACCACTTGTCAGATTTCAATGAAACATAGCTCCTTTGGGCAGTGCAGGGCTGGTGTAAACAACCTCTGCTTATCTCTTGCCCAACGCAGCAATTGTTTACAGGTATAGGAATCCTTAATCCATGCAGATCTCCTCAGCCTATGACAGCTCTTCCATTATTTTCAGTTGAGAGACCTAATCCACATGTATCCCTCTCCAACATTTCAAGCATCCATGAATTGCAGCAGCTCATCAGCATTTGCCATTGGTTAGTTTGGGAGTCTCTCTACATTACGGTATATATTTTCATCTGAGCCCGAAACACTAACATAGCTGGGGGCCCTTTTGAAATAGTGTGTATGTGGCTTTCTCAGCAAACAACTAAATAAATACATCTGAAAAAATAATGCAAAAAGCATACAAACAAAAAACCTAAATAAAAGTTTCCTCTGATCAAAAAGCCAAATATCCTCTTGGCTTTTAAGGAAGGCAAAATACAGTCCTAGCTTGGAGCCTCTCATTCATATCCTCTCTTCTTGTCAAAAGGTTCTATTGTTTTCACTGAGGACCTTAGGGAGAGCTTTGAAGCGCTTGGCAAAGCTCCCGATGCTTGTAATGGGTTATAGATTACAGTTTATTTAAAAATAGCAGCAGGATCGTATTCACTTTGGGACCAATAGCAATAGGGAAGCTCTTTAGCGCCTGATAGACACAGCCAAAAAATAGTAACAATTATAACACCGGTGTTATAGGGTCATGGGCTGTGTGGACAACAGAGTCTTAATGCTCATGTCAGTCACGCAAATCAAACCTCACAGGCCCAAGATCGTAAACTTGTAGCTCTCCAGATGCTGTAGCATCACTTCTCCCATCACCCCTGACCATTGGCTATGCTGGCTGGAGCTGGTAGGAGTTGCTGTCTAACAACATCTGGAAGGCCACAGGTTCTCCACCCCTTACACCAGAGGTTTAAACCCTTTTTGAGTCCACGGCTCCTTTGACCAATTCCTTCTTTCTGTAGCTCCCCTGTGGGGAAATGCACTCTGAGCCCCAGAAGCCTACCTGCCTTCCTGCCCAGTCTCCCACTTGTCTGACCATTCCCAACAGCAAGGGCTGACGGACGTGCTGGTTGGCCTCCCTCACCCACTTGCTTAGTTACTCCAGCACCCCTTGGCTAGCCCCAGAGGCACCATTCACCTGGGGAGCTGCTGCAACAAACAGTCGTGCACACTTTTGGGAGACAGGGAAACAAGAGGGCATCAGAGGAGGGAGGGAAGGAAAGAGGGACAGAGGCCCTCTGTGTGGCCTGCAGCACCCCGACCATCATTCAAGGCACCCCAGGGTATCACAGCACACTGGTTGAAAACGAGTGCCTTACATAATCTCACTTTTCAATGGAGGCCATGCTTGCATTCTTTACATGATAATTATATAATACATGGTGTGTACAATATTACGTGCTGTGGGTTAAACCACAGAGCCTAGGACTTGCTGATCAGAAGGTTGGCAGTTCGAATCCCCGCGACGGGGTGAGCTCCCGTTGCTCGGTCCCTGCTCCTGCCAACCTAGCAGTTCAAAAGCCCGTCAAAGTGCAAGTAGATAAATAGGTACTGCTCCGGCGGGAAGGTAAACAGCGTTTCCGTGCGCTGCTCTTGTTCGCCAGAAGCGGCTTAGTCATGCTGGCCACATGACCCGGAAGCTGTACGCTGGCTCCCTTGGCCAATAAAGCGAGATGAGCGCTGCAACCCCAGAGTCGGTCACGACTGGACCTAATGGTCAGGGGTCCCTTTAACAATATTACGGACTGAACCTTTTGTTATAATCTATTAACATTATTTTGCAGTTTTTGTTGTGATGCCTCACATTTGGCATATAATCTGGTCTCCTAAGTAAATCTAGGCTGCGCTGTCTTCTGACTCACCGATGATGACATAAACATTTATATATAGCTCTTTTGGAGTGTTTGGAGCACTTTATATAAATTAGCTCATTCATCTTCACAACTATCCTAAAAAAGAAATGGGTGAGTCCTATTATAAGAATGTTACTGGTGGGGCCTGAGTAAATGCTGACATGGCAAAGGCCAGCTAGTGATCTTGTGACTATGCTGGTTCACACTTCCAGACCAAAGCTTAACACAATCCCATAAGGGTGCAGGTGTCCAGAAAAGAAACAGCATCCGTTGAGCCACCTTCCTCCTCCAAACAACGCACAAGCACCAAACCCAAGAGCAGACCTTGGTTACGGTTCATTGTTTGTCTGGAGTGAGGCACACCAGAAGTCTGGGTTTGCATTGCACACTAAGTCAAAGCATGGCTTAGCTCACACCAGCAATCCAGTGGGAAGATTAGCAGAGGAGCGCAGCAGCCAATATCTCTTGCATGCTCATATACATTTGTGCTAAGCAAAACAACATGCAAAGCGGCACTCTAGCTCAAATGATCGGTCTCACGTACGCAACAACAGCAGCAAGAATACTCATCGCAAAGTATTGGAAGACACAAGAGCTTCCCACACTGGAGGAATGGCAGATGAAACTGATGGACTATATGGAACTGGCGGAAATGACTGGCAGAATCCGCGACCAGGGAGAAGAGTCGGTGGAGGAAGACTGGAAGAAATTCAAAGACTATCTGCAGAAACATTGCAAAATTAAAGAATGTTAGAGTGATGTTGGATTGAAAATAAGTGGCTTCCAGCTGTACAGGATTTAAAGTTATATATAGATTAAGATTAAGGATTAGGATTAAAAAGTTAAAGGAAATGGAAATTTGGTTTTTAAGAGGTAAAATTTAATGTTATATTATATTAAGATTAAAGATGGGGATTAAAAAAGAGGGAAAGAAATTGCTGGACAAACAATTTGAACTGGAATACAAAAGAGGGAGGTATGAGGAGGTCCAGAAAATAAGTAAATTTAAAAATGGAGATGAAAAGGTGGTATTGTTTTTAACTGGTTTTTTTTTCTGTTGTTTTTTTTTTGGATTATGTATTGTGTATTTTTGAACTGTGTATTTCTTTTTTATTTTTTATTTTTTATTTTTTATTGATGTGTTCTTTTTATTGGAAACCTTAATAAATATCATTAAAAAAAAACCAACAACAAATGATCGGTCTCACAGGTGGGGAACCTCCAGCTCATGGGCCAGTCTGGCCCACCAAGCGGTCCAATCTAAATTGTTTTAAACTGTTTTCAACATTGTGTTTTAGTTGTTTTAACCTCACTTGGGACTTTAAGGTGAAGGGTGGGTAATAAATTGTAGTAGTAATAATAATAATAATACCCGTGATACCATTTTCCCCAAACCATGCCAGCCTTTCAATCAGCTGACATCTGTGGGTGATGTCAGCTGGTAGGTGGGGGTAGAGTTCAATTCTGCTGGTGAAGCAGCCCACCACAGAGAGCAAGACTGAGCCCTCTGCTGATCAGTCCAATCCTGCCAGGACTCCTCACTTACTAGTCACCTTATGTCACAAATATGTCAGATGGTGGGCAGGTGGATAGTCCCACCCACCTATCAAAGATGGCCATGAGGTGTGGAGAGATAAAGTTCTGGCCCACCAGACCAAAACATT